ATTTTGAATTTTCGAATTCTTGATAGCAATATCCCTGCATCCCCAGCCTATGATGTTAACATGTTGCAGTTTATTCGACATTTAAGGACCTGGTCCCATTATCACGACTTGTCTTTAAATGTCGTTGAGGTACATATATCATCTGTTTATTGTCATACATTCACATGTATTGTAAAATTGATAAATCATGATCTAAAGTCACGTGATATTATAATTGGTGAGATTAGCACGTATTTAACACATTTTCATCTGTATATATCAGTATCGAAATGAGTCTCCTATAATGTGAACACATTTTTTTCATTATTTATTCTTAATAGCTAAAGCGCGATAACTCCAAAAGACAAGAAGAGTTTATTGTGGATTTTAAAAATGGAACTTATATTGGGTTCGGTTGTTCACCATCGTAATATTTAAGGAATAGCTCTAGTTAATTATTTTTGTTTATATCCATCATAAAGCATGTGTTGTAAACAGACGCATTACCAAGATACATAAGTGAATATAGAAAACATGCGCCAAATCGTTTTTAAGTCTATTTGCCTGGGTTTGTATGATGGAGACATACCTGGAATGTCGACAGCTACCTTTCCAATGGCGTATCTCTGAAGAATTGTGGCTCTTGGCCATTTTCTTGATGCCACTACCTGTGGTATCGCCGGATGTTTTAAATAAAGTTCATCTGACGCACTTCTTGTCTACTTTTGTGAAGTTCACTCTTACATTGGCCCTTGAGAACATTGTTTCTACCTCTGCATCGATAAACAGTAAACTAAGTGATACAATTTTCATTTTATTTCGTCATTTTGCAGATAACCGCGGGAAAAGACATCAATTGTGATGTAAGAATCAGAAAACTTACAATACGGAAAGACCATTGTAAAATCACTTGAAAACAATAAACATGATGTCGTATATGGCTACATGATGGATGACGATGGATAAGTGTACACATTCCTGATCATGTATATCGGTGTTGATATATGGTTCGTGTTTTAACTTGCTTCACATTCCTTGATATAGGGCCTTAAAAACTTAACAAAGAAAATGATCTATATTTGGAAGACAGAGACAACGATAAAAACACATATTTTTCATGGGTCTCAGTTTCCGTGATTCTTCAAACAAATAATATTTCATGAACATTGATGTATTTATTGATAAATATAGCTAAATAAACCAATATAAACTAATTTTACCCAGTTCATTGACATCAGAATTCCAGGATAAAGAGTACAAAGTCAAAGTACAAAGAGTATAAAGTCAATCATAATATCAAATGTATTTATCATAATATACTCTTGTGATCTTTGAACAAAAAAGCATGCAAATAGTTTTAAGAGCTTCATTTCTGTAATTATATATATATATAGACTGTTAAATTTTATAAGGAATTGTTAAACTGATATAGTACTGAACAACACCGTTTATAGATTAAAGAGGCCGATCAGGGCCCGTATTCATGAAACCGTTCTAATGCTCAAGCATGAATTTTGTGCTCAAGCCTTATGTCTTGTTCAAGTTAAGAAATAATAAATACGACTGATTTTGCCACCAAAGATTTAAAAACAATTTTACAAGTCAAAGCTATATTCAAGGTTTAAATTTGACATTTGTATTATTTTGTATGATTTAGGTGAATTATAAAAAGTTTGCTTGAGCACAAAATCTGTGCTGGAGTATGAGAATGGTTTCATGAATACGGTCCCTGCAGATCTTTCTTCTCGTTGTCCGTTTTTCTTGTCTTTATTTCTCCAACAATTCGGATTACGTCCTAATTGTTAAAAAGGTACACTATATGTAAATATAGCTCCACACATACAATAGAGTGACTATTAAATCTGGAGGTCTATTCGGATACACAGGTCACATCAATATATTAAAGAAGATTCAATGTGGAAAATTATGGCCAAAAGAACCGTTGACATGAACAAATTTGAACAACAGCGAAAGGATTACGACCACGGGTTCCAGAACAATAAGCGTCCCCTGTCTATCGGCAACATTAGTCAAGTTATTCAAGGCCACATTTAGGTTTACCACGAGACGTGTCGCTGTAATATGGTCACGTGACAACACTTGCTAACTATTTTTTTCATCGTCAAAGATTCAGTCAAACCAATGTTACTTTAGCGCATGCTCACTATTATCGATTACTTTAACAGACGGATGAGAAAGCCTCAAAACGTTGCACCAATTGAAGACGGACTGACAGGCAGAATGGCAGAGGAGCCTGATTTGGATAGCATTCTTATCTTCGTAACGTTATCTTATATTTTAGCAAAGAAATGTCAGTGGATTAAATTGTAATTGCCATCACCTTAACTCAATGTGTAAGACGCACGAGATGGTAATCAAGTATATTGATATAAAATTGTAATCCTTCTGATTGCGATATTCATGGAGTCGACAAGCTATTCATACACTTCGTCCATTCCATGACAAACTGTAGTGCACAATAAGAAATAAATCTACAGAATTTACCCGTCATACTCAAATAGTTAAAAGTCATCGCGAATTGTTACTCATGTTTTTATAGATTAATAAATAGGAATAGAAAATAAATTCTAATGTTAACCTTGGAACATTTAAATAAAAGTTCACCAGGTTTTGTCTAATTTGACCAAGATCGGATGTCATTACTTAAAGAGTGTACATGCATGTCGTTATTCAATGATGCTCTACTATGGTCATCTTTTATTTATTTATTTATTTATTTATTTATTTATTTATTTATTTATTTATTTTTATGTATTATTTTTCATTATTATTATTCCATTACTGTTCATCAATCAAAAAAATGATAAATAGTCTATTTATACAACAATATTTACCGCTGTAGTGTAAGAACGACAACTCTTGTTTTAAGATGCGGCAATCAGCCAGTCAACAATTTCGGACCAAATATACTTTTGGTTGATGTAATAAATATTTTAAAAGTCGGTCAAAAGGTAATTCTACGTAATTACTACAAAGTAAACGTGTATAAATGTTACTGGATGGAAGTAAACAGTCGACATACATTTAAATACAAACTTGGGAACAGATAGACAGAATCTCGGTCGTTAGAATGTCATGATTACCGGTCATCCAAATACCGATTGTTTACTACCATCCAGTGACTGGTCACTTATTATTGGCAATCTTATATAATTTATTATCGTAATCTGAAATAAAAATCACGTTTAAATTCCTCGTTTAACCAAATTTTGACGTCAGCAAGTTCAAATCCAAGAAGAGCCAAAAAATTAAGTCCCTTGCGTCATCACAGACAATATTTTTATGAAATAGGATTATCACAAATTGTCGGGCGACACCATGGTAACGCACTCGCCTTTCACCTAGCCATTCGGGGTTCGATTCCCAGAATGGACGTGAACAGGTATGGGATCACCTGCCCGATCACGTGGGATTTCCCCCCGGGTACTCCGGTTTCCTCCAACAGAAAGACCCCTCGCACGCTTCCATCCGAGCCAACAAGAGTGATTAATATAAGTTTGTATACTTATTTCATAATTGTTGTTAAAAAATAAAAAGTTCATATTCACAAATTGAACTTGTTTTCGTCATATAAAAGTGTTATCGTTATGTTTTTATTTGAAATATTGATAATTGATTTCTAATTTAAAATTGATGCGTCTCTTAAATAATAAGCGACCTGTCTTTGCATTTTCGTGTCGTGGATTTATGCTATTTTTAGATGAGAATAACCATGGAAAGTAACAAAGATCACAAATACACTTTATTTATAACCGATTTTATTCGTTGACTGTCGGATCGACATCTAACAGACGACGTTGATAAACTTGGCACATCACGTGTTTAACAATTTTGTTCTGTCATAATTCATAAAGACATGTTTTTAATTTGATGGGCTCTAACTTAAGTTTGACAACTTCGGATATAATAAAATCTTTGATAATTGAATGAACTAAATGATTTTCAAACGACAAAAGTCAAATGGCCTATTTCCATTACGTCTCTAATATGAGAAGTGCGTGTGCTCATTTTTATATATGATTAAACAAATATATGTATGTATGTTAATTATGCATACATTTTGCACAGAAAGCAAATAGAGCGTGTTTAGTGTCATAGTAACTATATATAAGTCAATTCACATATTCATGTGAATTGTCAGAAGTACATTAGCACCAAAACTTATGAATATATTACATGATAATACTGGAGTCGTGTATTTTGAAATTAGATTGTTTTATGTTAATATATCTTAAATCAGTTAATACTGTCGAGGAAATACAATCGGGATTAAAAACAAAAAGTACTAACAAATTTGAAATATAGTAATCAAAAACAGCTTATGCTGTTTTTGATTACTATATAGTTAGAATCAATCTCATCAGTGATACTTTCACAAACAGGATAAATCACAAAATCAATATTCACGGAAGAAAGGCCAGTCTCTACATTAATTAATATATATTTTTACTAATTAAGAAAAGAAATACATTATTCTCAGTATAAATATCGTAAGCTTCTAAGCTTTTCCATACAAATTGAGCGGGATTTTTTTTTAATAATTTCAAAATCAAAGGCAAAATAATTGAGGATACTCACACGTCACGCGTGATTCAATATTCGTATCTTTCATCTTAAATAATATCGTATAATAAAAATAAATTTGGTGTATTTGTATTTATAAATCAAACATCCCTGCCATTATAAGTGGTTATGCATGCAACAATAATTACAACAGTGCCCGTTACTTTCATGTATATCTCATAAAATGCCGGATTTTATTACCGTCATTGCCTCTAAAATTGCATGTGTCATTGTAGATACAAATTGAGTGTGATATATTTGAGAAAAGCGATTGAAACTGTATTTCATGATATTCATATGATTTATCACAGTTTCTACATATATATTACATGTATACTTAGACAATAGAGACAATGCCAGAGTTTACAGCGCAGTCCCTATCTCACAATCTTAAAAAGCACGCTAATATTATATCTTTTGAACTCTTTTGCACTCAATTAATCAAAACTCTCAAATCTATGTTGATTGGAATTCCGTCGCTTCCACAAAAGAACAGTGCCAAGAATGACAGCTACGATACCAGATGCTAATGCTACTGCGTGCCCTCGACGAACACACTCTATACCGTTACAGTATATATCACTAGGGTTTTTCTTAGCGGCGTCATAAAAAGCGCCAAAACTTTCTTGTGCTCCTAGACCCATTAATGACCCAAGGAACAGAGCAATACCCCAGTTTCGCCCAAGGTCGGCAACATCGAAGAACTCGCTCATAATGGTCGGAGAGATGGACCAGACTAATCCAACTCCTATACCGCAGAATATGGTCGCAATCACGATCCACGTGTAGCCATCTGCCAACGACACTACAAGTACCTGACACACGACGAACGATATACATCCCGCTATCAAAATGGTCAACCGCGGTAACCTATCTCTGAAGTAGTCAGAAAATGTCCCAATGCACACACTGATTAAGGCATTCGTTATGGGAACGATGAGCACCACGTCGGGGTCGTGTGAGGAAAAGTTCATGGCGTCAGTCGTTTGTGTTAAAGCTATAACATACACTAGTCCAACGGTGGAAGCGAAAGTAAACATCAAAGTGAAGATATAAAAATCGACATTTCGTAAAAGATCGCGGAGCGGAGTGCCTTCAATTTTTCTGGTTTTTGTTACCTCATCGCAGCAAGTGCTTGAACTTTCTTCCATAGAAATATTAGTTTGCAGTTCACGTTGTTCCATAAGTTCATTCGGTTTTGTGTAAATTCTCAGAAATATCATACATATGATATCTGTAATACCAAACGAGATGGCAAACATCAACATCATAGTTGTAAAACTTTCGGTGCTTGCTGGATCTCCTATCACATGGTAATAAATAGCCGCGAATACGGACGGACTTCCAGCGAAAAACGCATTGAGTAATCCCACTATTTTGCCTCTGTGTTTTTCGTCAAAATTTATGACATTTGTGTTGAGAGCTACCATGTAGGTGAAAACAGATCCAAGACCTGAAAAGTTACCGATCAACAATATTAAAACAAGTGTTATTTCCCAATGTTTCATTACTTAAGGTATATGTTATTATAAATAAGACTGTAGTTTAAACGCCTAGATACAAATCTGTTTTTTTTATCTACTTCAGCTTGTAGATTGATTTAATCAATGATTACCTTTAACTTAATATGTGATAATTGCATTGCTGTTAGACATAGACTCCAGTCGACATACCTGACAAGAAGAAATAGATTGCCATCAACCAGCTCTTGTTCTGGTAGAAAGACACGTATTTGGTGGTACTCCATAGTAGAGTGTAGGCAAGCACCGATACAATTACGCCCCCTAGCGACGCCCATTGGGGTCCAAAATGGTCATAGAATTTGCCGGGAATGAAACCAAAGCCAAGTCCTATGTTAAGCAGCGATGACTGAAGTTGAACTAGAAGAAAAAACACACAAGAAAAGTTACATATTCAAATGAACTGATATTTGACTTTATCAATACTTAAGACATTGTCATGCGTGTTCGATTGCTGTCAATAAGCTTTCTAATCCCGTTATTTCGAAGCATTTATATCAAGAAAAGGCAGTTCAGCACTAGAAGTTGAATTAATGGATTGTGGATTTAACAGACTCCCATAAAGCTTTTGACCCGTTTTATTTCTCTCCTAAACTTCAGGAAAGTCTCCATCCGTTAGTTGATTACTTTAGATTCCATCAGTCGCATCCTAGGTTTCAAAATTTAGGCCCTTAGCATTACAAACGGGTTTAGAAGGACGAAACAGCTGTATAATGTTTGACTCCATTTTATCTAACTCTAAATTTGAACTAAAAAGTTCTATTCACTTGTTTCTTTTGTGTTATCTTAAGAAAACTTTCTTTACAAATACTGAAGCATACTTCGTGTAAAGTAAGTCTTAAGGCGAAAAGAAATTTTTGAAAGTCTGGTTGACAATGTCTTTACAAAGTAAGGTGGGAAGATGTTCAAATTGTTAACTGGCATAAACATGGGAACGACGTCTCTCTCTTCATTTGTTTTCATGCGATGCCAAATTTACAAGAGATCTTACAAAGCATATCACAAAGACCTTGTAAAGCCCTTCAGCTTCACTTTTAGATATATTGATGAAATCTTGGCAATAAATGTCAAGATTTTTTTTTCATTTGTATAACGTATATAATCACCTGAATTGGAAGTCAAAAACACGACACACTCTTTTTCTTACAGCAACTCAATACAGACGCCTATCCAACTAGATGTATGATAGCGTGATGATTTCAGATTTCCAATTTTCCATTTCTTGATGGTGATATTCTTGCTTCCCCTTTCATTTTTATGGCAAAAATGATTCCATGTTCAAGACTTTTCTCCAATTTCATGATTTTAGTATAAGATAATGACAACTACAGTGATCTCATTCTGGAAATATGGCATATTGTCATGCCTGGTAGTAGGTTGTGATGCCGATAGTTAAAGTGTATAAGCCACCATACCCCTACCTCACCCTTCTCTAGTTAGAGTGTATAAGCCACCATACCCCTACCTCACCCTTCTCTAGCTAGAGTGTATTAGCCAGCCTACCCCTATCTCACCCTTCTCTAACTAGAGTGTATAAGCCAGCATACCCCTACCTCACCCTTCTCTAGTTAGAGTGTATAAGCCAGCATACCCCTACCTCACCCTTCTCTAGTTAGAGTGTATAACTCACCATACCCCTACCTCACCCTTCTCTAGTTAGAGTTTATAACTCACCATACCCCTACCTCACCCTTCTCTAGTTAGAGTGTATAACTCACCATACCCCTACCTCACCCTTCTCTAGTTAGAGTGTATAAGCCAGCATACCCCTACCTCACCCTTCTCTAGGTAGAGTTTATAACTCACCATATCCCTACCTCACCCTTCTCTAGTTAGAGTGTATAACTCACCATACCCCTACCTCACCCTTCTCTAGCTAGAGTGTATAAGTCACCATACCCCTACCTCACCCTTCTCTAGTTAGAGTGTATAACTCACCATACCCCTACCTCACCCTTCTCTAGTTAGAGTGTATAAGTCACCATACCCCTACCTCACCCTTCTCTAGTTAGAGTGTATAACTCACCATACTCCTACCTCACCCTTCTCTAGTTAGAGTGTATAAGTCACCATACCCCTACCTCACCCTTTTCTAGTTAGAGTGTATAAGTCACCATACCCCTACCTCACCCTTCTCTAGTTAGAGTGTATAACTCACCATACCCCTACCTCACCCTTTTCTAGTTAGAGTGTATAAGTCACCATACTCCTACCTCACCCTTCTCTAGTTAGAGTGTATAAGCCAGCATACCCCTACCTAACCCTTCTCTAGGTAGAGTTTATAACTCACCATATCCCTACCTCACCCTTCTCTAGTTAGAGTGTATAACTCACCATACCCCTACCTCACCCTTCTCTAGTTAGAGTGTATAACTCACCATACCCCTACCTCACCCTTCTCTAGTTAGAGTGTATAACTCACCATACCCCTACCTCACCCTTCTCTAGTTAGAGTGTATAAGTCACCATACCCCTACCTCACCCTTTTCTAGTTAGAGTGTATAAGTCACCATACCCCTACCTCACCCTTCTCTAGTTAGAGTGTATAACTCACCATACCCCTACCTCACCCTTTTCTAGTTAGAGTGTATAAGTCACCATACTCCTACCTCACCCTTCTCTAGTTAGAGTGTATAAGCCAGCATACCCCTACCTCACCCTTCTCTAGGTAGAGTTTATAACTCACCATATCCCTACCTCACCCTTCTCTAGTTAGAGTGTATAACTCACCATACCCCTACCTCACCCTTCTCTAGTTAGAGTGTATAACTCACCATACCCCTACCTCACCCTTCTCTAGTTAGAGTGTATAAGTCACCATACCCCTACCTCACCCTTCTCTAGTTAGAGTGTATAACTCACCATACTCCTACCTCACCCTTCTCTAGTTAGAGTGTATAAGTCACCATACCCCTACCTCACCCTTTTCTAGTTAGAGTGTATAAGTCACCATACCCCTACCTCACCCTTTTCTAGTTAGAGTGTATAACTCACCATACCCCTACCTCACCCTTTTCTAGTTAGAGTGTATAAGTCACCATACTCCTACCTCACCCTTCTCTAGTTAGAGTGTATAAGCCAGCATACCCCTACCTCACCCTTCTCTAGGTAGAGTTTATAACTCACCATATCCCTACCTCACCCTTCTCTAGTTAGAGTGTATAACTCACCATACCCCTACCTCACCCTTCTCTAGTTAGAGTGTATAACTCACCATACCCCTACCTCACCCTTCTCTAGTTAGAGTGTATAACTCACCAGTGGCGTAGCAAAACATTTCTAGGACTGTATGCTTTCAAGAAAGGATCCAAGGGCGAAGCCCCGGTTAAGGGGGTCTAGGGGCGCAGTAAGGTTAAAAAAGAAGGGCAAATATATCTCAATGGAATTCGAGTGTATGTTTAAGCATACAAGCATACATTGTTGCTACGCCTCTGCTCACCATACCCCTACCTCATGCTTCTCTAGTGAGTGTTTATAAGCCACCATCCCCCTACCTTAGCTGGTCTATGTCTTGCGATTTTGTTTGTCATCCTCTATACCCGACTATCAATATTTTTCGTTAATCTGATAATGAGGTAGTTACATCCACAACACTTACCTTCAGTTTCGGTGTAATTAAATGTGGTCTTGATAGCGTTTTCATATACGTTGAAGACAAACAATGACCCCGTCACAAATTTGGCGAGACATCCCACTGCCAACCCTACCCACTTCATCGTGTGGAAATGGCGCGGGGAAGACGTCTCGTCCGGAAATAGCCCCATCTTACAAACTGAAATGGGTTACATAGCTGTTGGACGGAGGAAAGAAAGTCATCTGACAGATAAATTTGTAAATATTACGTACAAGCAGGACTGTTTGATATCGCTATATTTGTTTAACATACAAATGTACTTACTAATGTGTTACTATACCATAAAAAGTCACAAAATGCACCAGCTGTCATTTCCAGGACTAAGCATTGATCCTATCTAGGTATAGCCGTGTACAGTTGTTGACATAAATAAATACTTAGACAATCATTACTCCATCATACTGACTGATACAAGTTGAGATCGATAGAGGATCGTATCCTAGAAATGACGATGGTAGTGTCATGTTGAAACTTATGATGAAATGACAGCTGGAGTGTCCAGTCGTTACATAAGCTACATACATTGAGAGTATCATTTGTATATGAATTTTACAAGCACAATATTTAGTTTCAGCGACCTATAAACGTATGTTACTCACCAGATCACCGCCCGATTCATCTGGACATCAATGTTTATGTTTCTGCACACTTACAGCTTTTATAAATCACGAGCTAAGACATTCTTATGTGACACACAATCAAAGTGAAATGTAAATCATAGGAAGATAAATTTGCTTACATTCTGAGTTGAGTTGATCACCTGTTTAGGAAGTCACGTGTCTCGATATAGTACATTTACTGTATATGGTTCGTTAGAGCGTGGTAGCTATTTAGTCCATGTTTCAAATATACCCTTTCCTTTATCACTAACCTGAACATCAGTATATAGAACAGTTCGTATACACTGTACACACATACTGATAGTATGATAACCGTGCCTAGGGCTTCCTATTGGACGAGGAATTAGTGAGTGAACTGGAGAACTGCTGGTTCATTTATTTATTTAGAAAAGATTACTACTATTTCCGTTTTCATTCCTATGTAAAGTTGCTGACCGACCGACCTGCTGACCTAACCGATATAGCATGGACAATGATGTTTATTTACGACATCCCCTGACAAGATAACAGTACTAAATCACGTGATCTGTCAACGCACCCACAACGTGTGTGTTTTCCTTGTTTGTTTTTGTTTTTGTGTTTTTTCCCAAAAGAGCGGTGTTTGCTGGAGTTTGCGACCATAACAGATTTTTTTTTCTACAGTCAGTTACTTTCTAGCACATAACTTCTTGCCCAGTCACCTCCTAGGTGGCTGACGAGTCCTAGAGATGCGAAGCAGCTGTATTATGCAGTTTAAATCATTTTTCGGCTCAAATGTATCAACACTCAATTCACAATGAAAGATGTTATTTTCCTGTGTATTTCATGTGCAGTCATTTCGACTGCAGTGTCGACAACATACACCATGTCATTGCTGTTCAACAGATCTCGTACTAATCCGGCTCACACAATCCGTTATTTTATTCATAAAGATTCGTCTTATCATATATTTTGCTGTCTCTTTTGTTCTTATTGTTGTCTCTCTTTCGTTTCGGTCATCGTAAGTCATTACTGTGCTGTTTAAATCGTCTTCAATACCATTTGACATCTTAATCTCAGCATTGTAATTTTGGTATCTTTGTCACACCTAACTCTGTCTACTTTATGTTATTACCATCCCTTTACTTGTAAAATTGGTAACAGATGGTTGTAAGTAAAATTAGGGGAGAGGTTTTATCATCATCGTACAAACTTATTTACTGTAAGCAGTGTTTCAGATAAGCCCTTTCGTTAATCCGTATAAAGGGCATAACATTAGACTTAAACAAAGAATCGTAGTAAATCGAATTCAAATTCGGTTTCCATACGAAGTTAAAGGTCGATATTTCACTCATATATATCAATTAACTCAATGACGAAAGTGATCTGTGTATGTATGTTTTCAGCGTATTTGTAACTCAAACTTTTACAAGAATAAGCAGTATTTGAGATTTAAAAAAACATTTCTCCTCTGTAAGATATTGCCACAAAAATACTTGTTTTGAATTTATGATAATAGACCTTATATGTTAGTATCGGGGACTAAATAGGTATATTTTTCCCGTGTGAGTTATATCCCTTGTACTATCCACCAGCATTTGCAATACAGATACCCCCCTCCCCCTCCCCCTTGAATAGGATTCTATGTTGCACTGGAATACATTTATTAAATTATGGACGCAGGCTTAAAGCCTCTATGTCCATATCAAATATTATATATTGCATAATAAGTAATTCCTGTGTAATGGCTTATATCAGTTAATTAATGTACAATCATGTATAGAAACGGATATTTTCCCAATCTTCATCTAACCTTATTTCAAATTTTATTACAGAGTCCACATTGATTACTGTTTGTGGTAAACTATTCCACAAATCCACAACTCGGTAACTGAAAAAGTGCTTTCTAATATCAAGACGACATCGTTTTTTGAATATTTCTTGTTATGACCTCTAGTTCTGCTTATATTGTCCATTTCAAAAACGTTCCTTGTTACCCTACTAACATATATGTTGTTTACTATCTTAAAAACGTTTATCATAATCATATTATTCTTAATTTCTGAAAAATGCCACTTATTTCCCTGTGGAATTATAGTACAAGAATGGGTAAAATTTAACATATCTTGTCTTTAGAATCAAATGGTACTGTGAGGACAACTCGGAAAACTTCAGAGAAGTGAACTGTAAACGTTTTGCATGATTATAGTGTTCACTATTTAAACTTCCGCTTAATAAATGTTAAGAAAATGTTTACATGTAAAAATAAAACAAGTTAACCAACAAACTGAAATATAATCTTTTTGATAGTGTGAGACAAATGTAGCTGATATAAATGTAAATTATTGAGTTAATAAATTGTATTCAAATCTGCACTAGTATTTAATAAGTTGCCGCCGCGCACCTGCTCCCTAGCAACTGTAAACACTACAAGCGGAAAGAGAAATATTCCACACTTCCGGAAAATGGAATTGTGGTATTGAATTCCGTCTGCAAGCAACTGAAACACAAATGTGCCGTTGACATGAGTTAGGGGTAGTGATACTATTTGAACGCTACTTCGTTGTTGTAGAGCAGACGTATGGTTGAACTTTATTCAAGTACATAAGTAGAAACATAAGATTTCAACATGGATGCGAAAGTTATGAAGAAAACTCAGGACACACTGGGCAAAATCATCAAGAAACCACCACTGACAGAAAAATTGTTATCCAAACCACCATTTAGATTTCTTCATGATGTTATGACATCGGTAAGTGATGAAACTCGCTGAAAACTCTTATAAAACCTTGCATCCTTGCTAGTGGTACGTAAGCCTGTGCAGCAGTGGACATGTTTTAGAACGAATCACTTTAGCAGTAGCTATTAGCAGTACAGTGGATTTGACATTTCGATAGATTGAGATTATTTGTTGCATCCAATTGAAAATCAACAGGTGTCCACAAGACAGCTAATATCAGAAGTATGATACACATACGGTATGATTTATTGAGAATGGTCCACATACATTATAATTTATTGAAGTTTAATCGGACAGTATACGTGGTATAGAAAGTATATGTTCAAAGTAAAAACAGAAAACTTGCACCAGGGAATTGGAGCATTATTTTGTAAAAGAAATGAGTAATGGAACGTATACAGTAATGCCTCTGCTGTATTAGTGAAATTTTGCTCTCTAACCAGACTTTACCATTTGTCTAAAGGGAAATTAACCCTAGCCAAGACAAGTACTATGACCTGCACTCGCAACCTTCTACAGTACTCCGTCAGGTTTTCATTCCTCAAGGCAACCACAACCCAAGTTCTCGAATTTCCAAGGAAACTCTCAAGAGCAATGCAGACAGTCTACCCACCGACTGGTTCAAATACTTGAGATCTGTACTCTCTACTCCTGTTGTTCTCTGGTACATGAACCAAGATGTTTTATGTGGTTCATTTACAGTTTTAATGTATAGGCTATGGTAATTTCTGTAGGATTTTTTCAGACTAGGCAAGAAAATGATTTTCCAAAAATTCAGTGAGTTGTCACTTAATACTAAGAGATATGGAGGAACCTCAAAATTTTAAAGTCCTACAGGAAAATCATAAGTCCAGGACTCACAATATCGTGGTCCCAAAAATCACTTAATAGTTGCAATATATCCATTGCATAGAAAACAAAGAGCTATTATATATATTCTTAAAATGCAAAAACGTTTTTCTCTCAACTGTTAAAGCTCTGTCATATTAAATGTGTTAGTGAAGTATACCTGGTAGATATGTCTTGATCTGTGACAACCAATTCTATATCAATTGTTTTACTTGACAGACAAATGTATGAAGCTTCATCAGAGTATATGTATCATGAATTGAAACCTGATATATTGTACCATACATTTAACACAAGCTTGATGTGAAGGATAATTGATATCAGAACAAAACTTCAATTTTTCATCACATACTTTTGTGGAGTATGCAATACAAATACAAATGTTTTATTTATTTCAGTTAATAAAAACAACAGGATTCATGAAGGGTTTGTTCACCGAGACTGAAATGAATTCAGAAAATGTTAAGGTAAGATTTTTTAGTTGGCAGAATGTTTAGTATACAATTAATATCATATATATTGGTATAAAGTTTTGGTATTGACCAGTGGCCATTGCATGACATGTTGTTCAACGTTCAGTAATCTTAGTAAGATTTGTGTTTTTTCTTTTTTTTTTTGTGAGTCCAGAGCACAATTTCCAAAATTTTAATGAACCCAGTTACAAAGAAATAAAGTAGGCTCTCAAAATTTGAGTGAGTCACACAGGAAACACACGGAACAACATATTCCTGACTAAACTTGATTGAATATTTGTCACCTCTTTGCTTTCCTTAGCATTTCATTAATTAGAGACCATTGGTTTAACTGTTTATTTACAGAAACTTTTCCCGCTAAAATTTGACACAGGAGAAAACAATATTACTCTAGTTGATTGGCAACAAACACTAGTTTGATATTTGCTTCTATGCTTGATATGTTTACAGAGTTGCCCCTCTAAAATTATCTTCAGTTCAAAAGAGTTCGTAATTGTGATAAATGTCATTGATATGAAACTATTTGATTTAAGGGTAATGTCTCCATTTGTCAAATAATTAAGGTATATTGAGAATAAGATATGAAGGAATTGTAAAGAAAAATAGAAACCAGTAATATTGAAAGATGTGAAATTTCTAAACTGTTTAATTCTCTTTGCAGGATAAAGATAGCAAGATGGCATTTCTGCAGAAAGTAATTGATTTCACATGTAAGTAAAATATCTGATTGAATGGGGTAGATTGTCTGTTATATTTCTTTTGTCGTCATTACAGTAAAATAGTAACAGCGAGCAAAATTTGACTACAGTTAGTTCCAGAAGAGAAAATCTTGGCATTTTAAAGTATCCTGTACATGAAGATGTTAATCACTGATTCGACAATTTTAAGAATGAAATGATTTTCTGCAGAACTAACAAGCTCTATCAACTAATACAGCTGAATTTAATTTCGCAGATCCAAGTATATCAGGTAGTCTAACACAGCATACTCATGTTTAAAAAAAGTCTTATAACGTTTAGAAGGGGATAAAAACTATATACTTCTACTGGTGAATATACCTATTTTTGCATCAAAAATATAGCTGATGTTATTTTTAGAATTTTCTATATGAATTTTTAAGCTTCTGTAACTGGCAAATCTGTCTCTGCTAAACCAAGTAAAATTGTGGCTGGACATGAACCAGAAAAGACAAATGAGCTTCTACAGAGCTTGGCAGCAGCTGTCAATATGAAGGTAAGTTTTACACCTTAATCTATATCTCAAGCTAGACAAAAACTCCCTTTATTGTCTTTTATTTATACTAATTTCCCATATGATCAAGTGTGGGAACTCAAAATTAATATACCATAACGTAGGATACTTTCAGTACCAACTGGTGTGTCATGCAAGAGGTTTGTAATCCAGTCTATTATTCTGTTCATCCCTCTGTCAGTAATCCAGTCTAGCGTTCTGTTCATCCCTCTGTCAGTAATCCACTCTACCATTCTGTTCATCCCTCTGTCAGTAATCCAGTCTATCATTCTGTTCATCCCTCTGTCAGTAATCCAGTCTAGCGTTCTGTTCATCCCTCTGTCAGTAATCCACTCTACCATTCTGTTCATCCCTCTGTCAGTAATCCAGTCTATCATTCTGTTCATCCCTCTGTCAGTACTCCAGTCTATCATTCTGTTCATCCCTCTGTCGGTAATCCAGTCTAACGTTCTGTTCATCCCTCTGTCAGTAATCCAGTCTATCATTCTGTTCATCCCTCTGTCAGTAATGCACTCTATCATTCTGTTCATCCCTCTGTCAGTAATGCACTCTATCATTCTGTTTATCCCTCTGTCAGTAATCCAGTCTATCATTCTGTTCATCCCTCTGTCAGTAATCCAGTCTAGCGTTCTGTTCATCCCTCTGTCAGTAATCCACTCTACCATTCTGTTCATCCCTCTGTCAGTAATCCAGTCTATCATTCTGTTCATCCCTCTGTCAGTAATCCAGTGTATTGTTCTGTTCATCCCTCTGTCAGTAATCCAGTCTATCATTCTGTTCATCCCTCTGTCAGTAATCCACTATCATTCTGTTCATCCCTCTGTCAGTAATCCAGTCTAGCGTTCTGTTCATCCCTCTGTCAGTAATCCACTCTACCATTCTGTTCATCCCTCTGTCAGTAATCCAGTCTATCATTCTGTTCATCCCTCTGTCAGTACTCCAGTCTATCATTCTGTTCATCCCTCTGTCGGTAATCCAGTCTAACGTTCTGTTCATCCCTCTGTCAGTAATCCAGTCTAACGTTCTGTTCATCCCTCTGTCAGTAATCCAGTCTATCATTCTGTTCATCCCTCTGTCAGTAATGCACTCTATCATTCTGTTCATCCCTCTGTCAGTAATGCACTCTATCATTCTGTTTATCCCTCTGTCAGTAATCCAGTCTATCGTTCTGTTCATCCCTCTGTCAGTATTTCAGTCTATTATTCTGTTCATCCCTCTGTCAGTGTTCCAGTCTTATTTTCACTCACATGTCCTTGGATATTGTGAAGTCATTTCATTATATTCAAACAAGATGGCTGCAATGTAGACATATTTGATTTTATTGTGAAATTTTTTTATTGCTGGTCATATGATTGAAATGATAATCACAATGTTTGTGATGTTTCCAGGGTGACTATGATGCTCAAGTTAGCAGGTTTTTAAGTAAAGGATCAAAAGAGGAACCAGCGAAGGAGAGGTCAAAGGACAAAGAAGAAAAACGTAGAAAGGAACCAGAGGTACAATAATGTGTATTGAAGTTCAGTAAAACATAGTGGTAAATCATGTATAAGGCTAGAAAAACAGTCAAAATAATATCTTATTTTGACAGGTCTTCATAAAATAAATTACATTGTATTAAAAAGATCCACTTAATGCTGGAAGTAAAGAATTCACCAAGTTGTGTTGGAGAACTGTTTGTTGTCTTACTCTGTATGTTTTCATTTATCTTTCATAAGATATAGACCTTAACTGATTTTCTTTATAGTTTTGTTGTGAACAATAGTGCCTAAGAGAAGGTCATAGATGTAAAGGTAAAATACTTCTGAGTGTAAAGTCCTATTAAAATCTTAAATGTAGTAACTACAGAAACAAATCACTGAATGGCAATTACATAGATATTCAAATTGATGACTAGGAGAAACGTGATAGAGAAAAGAGCAGGGATCGAGATAGAGGTCGTGAAAAGGAAGAAAGGGGAAGGGATAAAGATGACAGAAAAGACAGGTCTCGAGATAGAGATGAACGGCATAGAGATAGAGAGGACCGACACAAGGACAGAGAGAGAGATGATCGGCATAAAGACAGGGAGGATAGACACAAAGATAGGGAAGACAGACATAAGGATCGAGAGAGGAGGAAAAAGGTGAGATTTACAGGTCAACTCATTGGATAGAATTTTACAACTTTAGTCTATGTAGTTTTATATGAAAAAAATCGATATAGAAAAGGACTACTGTGAGAAATTTATAGGTATTATTTATCAACAGCTTATGGATATTTCTGTCTCTGTATTATTCATGAACATTTCAATACAGCTCTTGGTCCACATGACATACTTCTGTAGTTGTAGATCTGCTAAAATCTAGAAACGATCGGAATTGTTAATATGATAGAACAGGGATTATTATACTAACTGATTTAGCTGTTCCTGTCAATGTTTATATGGGCATTAGTTTATGATAGAAAATGATAGTGATAGAACATTTATCTGATATAATAATCATTTTTCTTTGTGTCCATAATTACAAAGGAATATGAAGAATTTTAGTTGGTGTTTCTTGTTCTAGTTTGCTACAACAGTTATTTTATCTACTGAAGGATCAGGGATAATTCTTTAGGGGGTCAAGGGGGCTTAGGTCCTTCCAATATAGTATTGACCCCTTAATGTTCCCATTTTCTTTTAATTTTACATATAATATCCCCTCTGAATTCCTATATTGCCTTAGAATGGCTAAACATGACCAATCACGTCATCATTCCATTATTATATGCTGTGTAGGTCATTGACATCCCCGACCCTGACACTCTGGCTGAGTTTCTGTGTGCCGATGACCAGTCAGACGGCAATACAGACTCAGATATGGATCTTCTTGCAAATCTATCCGATAGTGATTTTCCGAATCACCCTAAGTCCTCCGATTTGAAGAATAAGAATGCAAAAACCATTGAAAATTTGACTGTAAATGCTATCTCAAAAATCGAGGAAAAAGAAGTAGCCAAAACACCCAGGACAAATCGTCCTGGAGCAGCTCGACCACGAGTCAATCGGCGCCCAGATGTTTCCTACAGTAATGAGGTGGTGCACAAGTCCCAAGATATGGAGCATAGAGAGACAGTGAAGAAGCCTCATGACGCTGGTTATCCAGAGAAGAGAAATCAGGGCGTAGATCTCCATGAGACAGTGCAGGGGATTCAGGACACAGATTATGGAGAGGAGATACAAAGGATTCAGGATGCAGATTACCGAGAGGAGGTACAAAGAAATCAGGACGCAGATTACCGAGAAGGGGTACGTAGGATGAAGAATACAAATTACCGAGAGGGAGTAAAGAGGAAGAAGGGCAGAGAGCAACCAGAAATAGATCATAGTCTAGAGGACATCGTGTACCCAGAAGTTGGGAAGCTAAATGCTGGAAAAGCACAAGAAAGATTTGTAGACACAGGTGGGAAGAAAAGAAAGTCTGGTACAAAAAGTCGTATGGCTATCAGGGAGAGACAAAAGGAAGAGGCCATGAAAGTTATACACGGCAGTAGTAGTAAAGTAAGCCCTAAACAAGAATCTGGCAAATCATCTAAATCTTCTCCAGGTAAAAAGTCATCATCTAAAGACTTTGTTGTCCTAGAATCACGATCAAAATTTAGTAAAAGATTGCAGAAAAACAGAGGAGCCAAACAACCTGTATCTGGAAAGAACAGTCCCTCTAGATCAAAGCGTCACAGAGATAATGTGACTCCGGCTAGGTCAGCACCAGGTCAGGAAGATTCATCCAACAGCAAGCTTAGTCATGAAGAACAGGTGTACCAGATTGACCCCTACAGAATACAGGACATCAAGAAAAAACACATTCAGGTCTACTGTTCAGTTCTTTTGGAGTTACAGTTCACGGTTACTTTTTACTGAAGTTGATGTTGGATGTTTCCTCAAATTTGAGTTACATGTTTCTTTTTCTCCTGTTAATGTATAGATAAGTTGATATTCTATAAAGGTAATTGTTGATCTGGACCTCATTACCACCCTTTGATATTCTTTCAGAGAACTTGGATTGATTACCTCCCCTTAATATGTAGACTTGACCAAATTACCTCCCTTTACTATTCTGTCAGGTTGGGTATGATCTCATGATTGCATCCCTAATAATCCATCATTGATCAGGGTAAAGGTTGGGATTGATATTATTACCTTCCTTTATTCTTCTCTTTAACTTATATTTAAGATAAATTTCATTACCTCTCTTGGAATTAAAATTGGTTTTGACTTCCAGATTGTGGTGTTATTACAACTACCATTTGATCAACAGTAACATTAGGAGGCAGTAACTGTACTGTGGAGTTGTTTGTACTGTTGGAAATGTTCTTTTCTTCTGTCAAGTAATAAATTTCCAGTTTATGTTCTGTTTAACAAAGTGTTATGATTTTTTGTTTTTACAGTTATTAATTTATGTCAGTGTTACCTGTTACTTCCGAATGAGAGTAAAAATTGGTGAAATTCAAGACTTCTTCCCCAGGATTTCAATCACTCTCCAATATAACTGCATTAACACGGGTTCACTTTACCCCCAGTTTCAAAATGCCATTGCGAACACTATATGTCTTTGTTAGTATTGCCAGAAATTTTACAATGGTTGAAGTTAGGTATATACTTGTTTCTAGTAGCTTTCTTTTTCAAGATACATATGTCTGTTTATGAAAAACATATTTGTAAAAAAGAAACTTTTCATATAACTGTATTTTAGAAGTCTTGAAGTAGCAGAAAAGGGTTACCATAGATCTGTAATACACATGTCAGGTGTTACAAAGATTTCTGTAATACACATGTCTGTAATCTCTGTAATATATTAAGTTATTTTTTGGTGTTACATTTAATGCTGGACTTTCGTGTTTGTTAATTGATTGTTTAATATAACCATACCCGTATTGCATAAGAAGGTTATCAAGCATTTTTAAACTTCCTAGAATTATTGAAATTCAAAATTTCTCTAAAATTTTCAAAGTATGGTTGTTGAAAAAATTTAATCTAATGGATTAAATATGAAAATGTCACATACAGATAACATCAAAATGAATTTGTACTTCCATAGATTAAATTCCAAACTTATACTGATTTTATAAGAACCACTTGTATGAAGTGCTACAGGATGAAAGGTGTGGTTTTACTACCCTATACAGTGTAGGATGTTACATTTTGATTGTATCATTTATTTAATCATCTGTAGCATTGCTTCATCATAGATTGAATTTGTATTAGTGAAAGATGAGAAAAACTTGTTTGAAATAGGGCCAAGTGACAGGTAGTTGAGGTTTTAGTATTTTATGGATTGAGAGGTACTAATTGAGATTTTAAAATTTTGAACATGACGTACTTTAGGTGTTAGTATTATATGACTCAGAATAACTTTTTCGTATTATTGTGTAACTCATAGAATCTACTCTTTACTTACAGCACAGAGATGATGATGAGGGCAAGGAAAATGAGGGCATGGTGAATGGAGAGGTTAGTTGCATTTTTATCAGCCCATAATCTTTTATAAAAATGTCTTTGAAATGATATCTCATCCATGTGTTTTAGTCTAGTAGTGTATAGGCTAGTAAACAATGTGCATCATAAGTTGAAACACCTGATCCATTGTACCTGGTATATACATCACATACAGCCTGAATTCTAGTAATTGTTAATGGATTTATGTCTGATTTAAAGGATTTTTCTCAGTCCTATTAGATACTGTGTATAATGGACATCGATCAGACACCAGTTATAACTTAAAATCCAATTAATTATTGATAGGGAAATTATGGTACTTGAAATGTAGAGTTAAGTAATGAATTTGACCTTGGCAGATTACAACGAAAGTGGAAAAGTATTCTTCCTAATGAATGTTGATGTTTTGCTATGGTATACATAGATGTCAAATATAGAGTTTAGAAATATTCTTGGGTACTCCAACAACGTTAGACAACTACATGACGAGAAACTTACGTCAAGTGCCTAGTGACCTCAATCTGCAACAGTGGTCTTTTATGTTATGGTACAATCTGGGCTGATACCATGTTAGTATAGCATATTTTACTTTATCCCAAGAAACTCAACTCAAGCAAGATTAAATATTTATCAAAGTATCCATAATTTACCAGTAACTTACATCATGTTTTTACAAGTTTGAAAATAGACTGTGATCAGCCAGTATGTAAATGATGCAATATTAGGTTTATACATCAAACCATTCTCAATACTTGAGCCAGTGACCCAGACACGGTTAAGTGAACATTGTGCAAAAATGGCTTGATATCTAATGTGTGAAAATCCCCTTCACTTCAGCTGTTAAATAATAGTCTTCAACATCTGGGAAAATGGTCAAAGATTCCATTTTTATCATAAAATCATATTTTTTTTTCTGTTGTAAGTTTTTCATATATATCATAGTAAACATTCATGAAGGATTTTGATTATGACTTATTTTTTTCTTAAACAAGGTTTTTTAACATGAAACAATGAAGTGTTTTTGAAGTTTTAAGCTTTTAACACATTTGTTCAACCCTGTTGTAAGTTTTATGTTGAGTTGATATCTGGGTTTAAGGATAACCTGTAGCAGGAGATGATCAGCTGTTAAAACATTCACACGGTTTGGTTTTCATTTCATTCATGATTTTTAAATTTTCAGTCTGAAGTACAGAGACCAGTTCGTCCTTCATCAGCAAAGGGTTCCAGGAGGCGCAGAGAGGGTGAGTATGGAGAGATGTGCTGATTTAGAAATAAACAAACAAATATGTTTTCACAAGATAATGAAATCTCATTTGATCATAATTGTCATCAAGATTAAATATATCTGTGAATCATTTTAAAATCATTTCTAATCATCAAGCCTTATAATAGAATATATATTTAATTGGTGAATGGTTTCACATAGATGTGAGTGCATTATGACATATGTAATCATGTATGTACTATTCTTAACCAATCATCATTACAACTATCAAACTACAAATCTGGCGCAGATGTCTTGAGAAAATTATTATTTGGTAATTAAACTCCTGGGTGATTCTGGGTCAAGTCTTGATAAGTTGCAAGACTAATCAAGGTCTGAACTGAGTTTTAATAAATGTTTCTCAAGAAAATCTTACCAGCAAAAATCTTCTGTGCACCCATTAGCTTCTACGATCTGTTGACGCCCAAGTGCCCCCACACAGTTCACTTGGACTGCACCACTCCTTCAGTATACCTCACAGGATCACCCTTTAGTTTTGACTGAAATCACCCCTTATCTCTTAACATACAATGTATTTATTTAAAAAGTCAAATCTTTCTGGAGAGAATATTGAAAGAAACCAGGATTTTTGTTAGGATATGTGGAGGAACGTTTTCCTGTAAATCATGATGATGACCGTAGATTTTCACAAGCATGATATATCTGAAAAAAAAAGAGGGATTGTTATTGTAGCATGTGGTCTGGGTAGTAACATTGGAATTTATAGTAAAATTGGTGCAAGAGCATGACATCAACAGTCCTTAATCTTGAGAACCACTCGGGATACATTTAAAGTTTGTCATTTGGCTTCCTAGCAGGTTGTGTAGCTTTGAATACATTAGTATTACCAGCCTATTGGATGTCTGCTTTTAGTGTTGATTTCAGCTTTATTAAGGCTGTGTGCGAATATGATCAGACAAAGGAAGCTGAGTTTTAAATCTTAGACAATGCTTCAGGACACCATATGAATACTGATTGTTATTAACAACGCAAATAATTTCTTAGATGCAAGAAGGACATTCCATCATAGCTTCCATGAATGTGGACATTGTGTTGAAATTCATATCAATTTCTTACTTGAAGTTGCAGCATTTACATGTATTTCGCAACCTAGAAAGTAATCATTGACAAAATCGACACGCTTTTTATGTAATTTCACGAATAAATGACTAGATCTAGAGTACTAATTCCGCATTCAGTGCCACATCTGTTTCCTGAAAACTCTGTCAGTGTTTTTTTTCTCTAAATTCAGGTTACTTCCTTTTTGTGTGTGTGTGCATTTTGAAAAACTTTCCTCTGTAAATGAATTAAGCAAAAGGTTTAAGATTCAGCAATCTGTTATAAAGCTAATTATTTATATTCATCCCTCTCTCTTTTTCCTATGATTTTAGGGGTTATTTTTTTTAAGCTAAAGGATAGACTTCCCCTAATAACTCAGCTTGAACATTGTTATTGCAGACAGGCAGTGTTAATTAAACATAGCAGTGTCATTCCACCTCGGAAATAACATAAACTTCGCCTACGGACAAGTTTTGAAGAATTTTAGAGAACTTGGGTTAGCCATAACAGGTTAAAGCCTAATATTTAACAGTACAGGTATTTAGGTACACTGCCGAACTATATCAATTGCTAGGTCAAAGAATTTTGTTAGAGTTACTGCCCTTGTTTACCCAATGGATCCTTTCTCAGTGTGGCTTATATACGATTCCTTTGCTGCATGTATATTTTGTTATTCTATTGGTAACCTTGCAGGGCGGCATCGTGATTCAAGTGATGAAGGTATGGTTTTCACCAAACAGAAGGGCGTAATGTTGAATTCTTATGAAATACCCTTTACTGGAATGCGTTGGTCCCTTTTTCCATGTCAATCCAGAGTAATGAACACGAATTTGTTCCTAGTACACCAACTCCGGTTTTGAAGTATACATTAGGTATTCACTGTGTAGTATATTTATGACCAAAATATGTAAATTAATATTGAATTTTCACAAAGTTGTTTGAAGTTTGAAAAATTTTCTGGTGTTAAAGGTACTATGGATATGTAATCCTGGCTTTGGTTATATTTTACTGATGAGAATTTCTTCAAACATATTTGATCTAGTTGGAAATTATGAATAAAAAGCCTTTTTTCACTGTGATAATATGATAAGGAAAAGAAATACAGCTGGATTGACATGTAAAAAGTTACAATCCTCTCCAGTTTTGGGTGACAAGATCTGAGTTGTTCAAGGCGTACAGAATGTCTGCATCAATTGCATTCACAGTTCACAACCTGGTGCAGTGAATTTACATCACTTTTGAATTCACACTGAAAACCTGTGTTGTAAAGATACACCAAATTAAAAAAAACGAATATGTAAATCTCATTATGTTAATTTTGAGAACTTACCAACGTAATTAGTGTTGGAAGTGATAACATTGCATAATGAACTAACTCCGACAACTTTTGACAATAAGTGGTGTTTCTTTATCAACATTAGCATGCCAAATGATGTTTTTAGTTTGAATTCTACATAAAGGTACACCATTTCTGTGTTCATAATCAAGAAATTCACTATATTTGAATCAAATTGCACAAATTTTTATGAAATAAATAAAGTTGCATTCCATAAGTGTAATTATTTTACAAAGATCATGAAGAACATCATGTGTTAGCCTTGTTTTGAACAGCCAGATCAGCATGAGAGACTGCAGTACTTGTAGTTGTGTAGTTTATAGCATGGGCATGATGGTGTATACGGAATTTCTCCTACCTAGACCTCCCATATATCTCATAGCTATCCATTCTCTCACCCTCCAGTGTATACCACTCATGTCACCTAGTAGAAAATATCCACGGATTCAATTTAAAAAAAAAAAAAAAATGTACATGAAAAATGAAAATGCTTTTTTATCTGTATATGGGGAAACTTTGGATTGTTATTAACTTTGAATTAAAATTTTCATTTTCATCCAGTGTTAAATGCAGTGAAAAATACATTGATATATTGATATATGTAACTTTTCATCTATAACATCTATCAACATTTGCACTTTTCATATTTTCCCCCTTGGTTAAAGGGCAAAAAAGTGAATTTTAAATAGTGTTGAGTTTCCCTGAATACAGTAGCACACTATTTTTGTTGTTGTTGTTTGTGGATATTTAGTACAGTACCTAAAAATGGACTAAACTTAAAAGCTGTTTTGGACAAACCACAACAATGTCATGTGAATATGTAATTATCTAACTAGGTGTTGTACACTACCAATCCAGGGTGAGAGACTGCCATTACTAGACCCTCAGCTTGACAATGTGCAACTTTTAGTTTTTAAGATTAATAAATCCAGTTGCGCTGAGTCTTTTTTTGTCGACTTTTATTCTTTCTTCTTTTCTTTGTGTAAAGTCTCTGCTAAATAGATAGTTTCAGATATAAAAGATTTTCCAATCTTTGCTTCTGTATAACAAAATTATCAGTTCATAATGAGCAGCGTTAGGATGAAACTGGCTATCAATTAATTCGTATTAATGTTAATTAAAGTTTCCCTAATGAGATTCTAATTCATTAGTTAATTATTAATATTTGTGACACTGGAAGACTGGGTAGGAAAACAACTGATTTTGAGATTTCTGAAGGACTTGGAAAAAATTAGCATTGCATGATTTTTTTACGTTGTATGGTGCATTTTTCTGATTTTGAAAAGAATCGTTGTTATTGTTTATAATGATGAATTGTGTTTCTTATTTCTAACTAAATATCTGACAACCACACTAAACAAGCATGGCGTTCAAATTATCACTATAACAATTAAGGTGTTGATGGTCTCCGAAAAAATGATCAAATATTCTTGTAAATCATTTTGTTTTTTCAAAACTTTTTAGCTATTGTTTGAAATGTTCACCCAGTTTTGAGGACATTGCAGTATTAAGTATGATCAGATTTGAAAGAAATTGCAGCTTTAGGTGTCTTCAGTTTTAAAGGACATTGTAACAGCAGATGTTATCAGCTTTTAAGGGTGTTTTAGTAGTGTGTGATCAGTTTCGAAGGAAATTGCAGTAGTAAGCGTTTTCAGGTTTTAAGGAAATTACAATAGTAAGTGTGATCAGGTTTGAAGCAAATTGCAGCTGTAAGTGTGATCAGGTTTGAAGGAAATTGCAGCTGTAATTGTGATCAGGTATGAAGGAAATTGCAGCTGTAAGTGTGATCAGGTTTGAAGGAAATTGCAGCAGTAAGTGTGATCAGGTTTGAAGGAAATTGCAGTGGTAAGTGTGATGAAGTTTGAAGAAAACTGCAGTAATTAGTGTGGGCAGGTTTGAAGGAAACTGCAGAAAGAAGTGTGAACAGTTTTGATGGAAATTGCAGCAGTTAGTGTGATCAGTTTTAAAGGACATTTGAATTGCAGTAAGTATAGAAAGACTCTGAATAATAGTGACTATGGTAGATTTTGAAGAACACTATTTAGTAGCACCAAGGTTTAGAAGGACTTAATACATGAGAACATATTGAAGGACATCCTTTCTTGTAGAATCTGATGGTATATGGATTGTTTTCATTGGGATCTGTGGAACGGTGTTGGAACATAGACTTTTTGTATTCTTTTTCCTCAACTGAAATGATGAAACCATGGAGCATTTTTTAGGAACTATATGTTTAGAAAGTTTTAAGATATTAAATGATCCAAACAATCATTATTTATATCAACAGTAGTATAAACATAGACACATCGATATCTGTTCCTTTTTTGTTTGCCTTATGTTAAGATATATACATTGTAACCTTTTGTGACTTCTAATGTATCAGAATTATTCAGAGATATAAATACCATTAACAAGACCTTGTTTGGCATTATATATACGATGAAACATTCATCTCTCTATGACTTTTTTGATATGAAATATACACTGATCTTTATATTGCTTTATAAGTTTGTTTGACATCAATTTTCATCTAATTTTTTTTCTCACAGCATGTTGATATCACATCATGTGTTAAACACCACAGGGATTCACATTTATTGTTCTGTCATGGCTTCAGATAAGCATACCATTTTGTTAAAAACATTTCATCTGTTCTCTGTGTGATTCATACTTTAGGATAATGTAGGTAAGACTATAATACATGATATTGTCCTCACTTTGATAAGACAACAGAGTTCCAATTAAAAACCTTTCTGTAAAATAACTTTGAAATATAGCTATAAACAATGTATTATTAAACCTGTTGAAAAGTGCTTACAGGTATGAGCTTATTTGATAATGACCATATCACATGAACTTGATAGTGTCATTTAGATATAAAATGTTAGGATTATGCTTGGTAGCTTAGTGGGCCTGAAAACGTTACTTAAAAAGTAAGGACTCAAAAGTTCAAAAATTGTAAAACTGAACAACAGTAGGATATTGATGTTTGACCAGTGTCTTTCTGGGGTAAGACGATATTATAGATCAGTGATTCTGGGCCAGCCATCACTTTGAACACCACTGGACTCAAATTATCAAAGATCTTCTAAGAGGGATCTAGAAGTTGTAGGGTAATAATATTTAATATGAAATTAAAAGTTGATTACATTGTTTTATCATTGTAACCCTTCCTGACTCCTAAGGTGATTAATATCAAATTGTAGTAGGTACCATTAAGTAACAGGTGAGTGATACAGACCTGTTAGACCTCTTATTAAAGTAAGAAATTCCTCCGAATAATTTAAATGACAGTGCTTTATTGTACAATTAGCTTACCATATAAGGAATATTTAGGGATTTTTTTTTACCTTCCCTATGTGTATGTTTGTAATCCATTTACAGAGGATGAACAACATCAACAGGCCCCGCCACAGAGGGCTCCACCTCCGTCTGATCCTGTGGGTGAGGATGACCTCCCTCCCCAGGTCTCTGCCACGTAAGTACCACACAAACAGTCATAATACTTGTACCTGTAATATGACTAGACTGTCTTTATTAGGAAATTCCAATCAGATGTGGCTTGAAATGTGTCTGACTATCCTAATCAATACTTTTGAAGCTTGGGGCACGTATCTTTTTTACCAAAAGTTGTTGCCCATTGACTTTTTGTTGAACGTTACAAAAATCTTCTTTTTATGAAGTTTATACACTTTTTGTTATGTCCATATGTAATGTTTTATTTCATTACTCATTTTAAAATTATAATTATGAATTTTATTACATAAAACTGCTTTAATCTCAGGAGAAAAATGAATAGACCAAGCAGTGCGCGCCCAGCACCACCAAGGAGGAAACAGGAAACCATAGAAAATGAGCCGGCCATGAGGTAAATATACGGGTTTACTGATCATAGGTCGAACAGGAAGTGATAGATAATCAGCCGAACATGGCGCTTGTTGATATAAATACATCAGACATTGATCACTGGGGCTTGTTGATATAAATACATCAAACATTGATCAATGGCGCTTGTTGATATAAATACATCAGACATAGATCAATGGCGCTTGTTGATATAAATACATCAGACATTGATCAATTGGGCTTGTTGATATAAATACATCAAACATTGATCAATGGGGCTTGTTGATATAAATACATCAAACATTGATCAATGGCGCTTGTTGATATAAATACATCAAACATTGATCAATGGGGCTTGTTGATATAAATACATCAGACATTCATCAGTGGGGCTTGTTGATATAAATACATCAGACATAGATCACTGGGGCTTGTTGATATAAATACATCAAACATTGATCAATGGCGCTTGTTGATATAAATACATCAGACATAGATCACTGGGGCTTGTTGATATAAATACATCAAACATTGATCAATGGGGCTTGTTGATATAAATACATCAGACATAGATCAATGGGGCTTGTTGATATAAATACATCAGACATTCATCAGTGGGGCTTGTTGATATAAATACATCAGACGTAGATCACTGGGGCTTGTTGATATAAATACATCAGACATAGATCACTGGGGCTTGTTGATATAAATACATCAGGCATTGATCACTGGGGCTTGTTGATATAAATACATCAAACATTGATCAATGGGGCTTGTTGATATAAATACATCAGACGTAGATCACTGGGGCTTGTTGATATAAATACATCAGACGTAGATCAAACAGGAAATCAGTCAAAAAAAAATTGTTAAACACTTACAGTATTGAATATGAACATTACATAGCAATAAAATAGCCTTATTTGGTATTGTTGATAAATGATGTCGAGAATGTTTTGTTGTCACCTGGACTATGGATAATTTTAAGGAATAAGCAATTAATGTAAGGATGTGTGCAGTATTTAAAAATGGTGACTTATAGCAGTTTTTCAGATACAGAAGACTTTCACCATATTAAATTGGATGTATCTTAACTGTATTATCATTAAGTGAGCTGTGTCCTTCACCACAGTTTGTTATATTGCTACCACACATAATTCAATACATTTCCTTTCTTCAGACTCGGGAGTGGGAAACCAGCCAATGTGATAGTAGACGATGGAGATTCCGATGATGATGAAAACTTTTTAGTGGAAGAATCTGCTCCACCCCCTCCTGAACCAGATCAGGTAGGTCATCAGTCTATCTTTAAAAACATTGAAATCCTCATAAGTGGCAAGCATTTATACTTTTGAAAAGAAAAAGGTTAAAAAAAAAACGCTTCAGGATTGATATGAGAGCAGCTGCTAATCATACTGACTAATGCAACACTTCAGTGAGGTAGGTAAATAATCACTATGATTTAACCCAGACATGTATATAAGTCATAAGTCTCAGCTATTGTATCTTAACTTACTTTCAAACCAGATTTCATTTTGAAAATTTGTAGACCATTTCTCGGCCAGAGGACAGTGATGAAGATGATCATGGAGGCCTGGTTAAGAAGATTCTGGAGACCAAAAAGGAATTGGAGAGTGGCAGTCAGCAGCAGCAACAAGCAACTAGAAAAACAGAAGTGGTATGTGGCAAGCAAAACTATAGTGGTGTTTATTACTCTCTTTTTATCAGAGCAGCAGGGTATATCAACTGTGTCAGTTATAAAACAGATATTGTACTAGTATACTGCATTGGTATTTTAAGATATGTTTCACATCTGGATAAATATGTACTGTTTATAGATTGTTTCATATCAAAACCAATCAAATGTTCATTGATGATGTTTTTCTGACTTCTATCATTTACACTTTGGTAGCTTATGAAGCAGGTGTACTAACAGAGTGCATCATCTAGTACCTTTCACCAAAATATTACATCAAATTTATATTGTGTATAATGCAGAGCCAGACCCTTTTAAGGAATTTCAGTTTTTCAAATACCATTTTCGTCATTTTTGTGATCAATTGTTACTGAAATAAAAAAATCTTTCCGCAGGAACGGCCAACAATGTCTGATGCACAGAGACGGAAACAGCGAGACACGGTCCAGAAGGAGATCGATAAATTACGTGGCAGCATTCAGACTTTAACACGTAGTGCTAATCCTCTTGGAAAAATCATGGATTATGTACAGGAAGATTTAGACTCTATGCAGAAAGAGTTGGAGCGGTGGAAAACAGAAAACAAGGATCATGTTTTGGCATTAAAACGGGAAAAGGGGTAAGTCCGTGATGAATATTATGTGTGAGTTTAGATAATGTGCTATGTTGATATCTTCTCTGGTGGAGCTGCTGACAAAAGGAAGTAATTAGTACACTAGTTAGAGTAGGCCATTGTTATACCAATGGTAAGGCACGGAATCATTTTAACCAAATTGTGTTCTTGTGGTTCATAAGTTATAGGTATTTAACGGGAATCAGAATGTGACCCTATATCCTGCTGTCCACAAGTGTTGTTTATATCTGTAGATATCCTTTCATTTGTGGGATGTGAATTCAGCTGAAGTCCTCCTTGTTGAAGAAAAACTCTCATTTTTACATTGTTCTGGTAAAATGTACAACATTACTACACTGGTTTCCCCATGAATATTCCACTTGTGACACAATCTGTATGTCCAGTTAAACCTGTCTGTAAAGGTCGCTGTTTTGATGATGCAATTCATAGTATTGTAATTGAACATCTATATAAAGGCCATCTGTGTTGTATAAAGGCCACTGCCCCCTTGAGTGGCCTGTATACACAGGTTTGACTGTACATGATATTTTCAGTGATTGAAAATAACTTTCACATGCGACTTACAACTGATATAAGAAATATTTGGATCGTGTTACACTACATGTATCCTTTACTTGCAGTATCACAGACAAAGCCATCGAACCTATGAAGGCCCAGCTTGGAGAAGTGGATCAGGCCATAGCTGACCAAATGGATCTTATTGCTGCTGTCAAGTCCAACATCATCAGAAACGATCAGAAAATAGAGAAGTTACTGCGCAGTATAGCCAAATCTTGATTTTATTTTGTGTGTTCATGTTATCATCCGTCCAAAGACACTCTTTAAACCAATGATAGACAGCATATGACTTTTGAATTGGTTTAGTTCACACATTCAGGATTGAATCTACACAATAACCAGTGTATTGTGATATTGAGGCGAAATTATTTTATTTTCGGGAAGAATTTTGGAGAATGGGTTATGACAAAAATCTTACTGTAGCTCCTTAAAGCAGTTGATTCTAATCCAACTCAAAAATTACATTAAGAAATGATTCTCCTGTTCCTCAGGGTTATTCATTGTCTGTTGTCATGCTGATCAATGTACTTCCTTTACAAACCACCAGAGCACTCGACTGTTGGCCGACTCAACAGAAAATTACTGGTGGAGTACTTTTGTCATAACCCATTTAATGATTCTTTCAGACTTTACTTGAATTATCAAAAGATTCTTAAGTTGTGACCGTATTATTTCATTATGAGCAAAAACTTTTGTTATAAACATGTTATGTTATTGTTCACTTAGTTTTGAACTGTTCTGAATTTTAGCTGACCTAGGTATAACAACCGTTTAGAGACAATTAATTAAACATTTTTTTATAATGTTGTGCGAATGTTCTAATAGGGCCAACTTTATGGTTATGTTTCAGACTCCAAAACAATAAGGCAAAGTCCACAGATATAGTATTTCATATTTTGTTTGTGCTTAATCATCATGTCGAAAGTATTGATTACAATTTATCTTGAGAAATACCAAGTCATTCAACAAGTTCACACAATATTTCAATTTCTAGGTATCATATTTCAAACTTTCTGAACTTATTATTGGTTGCCTTTTTTGTGTCAGAGGTTTTGATTTGTGTTTGATGAGTCCTTTTCAAATGACGTTAACAGAGGAAATTATGGTCTGTTCGAGAGTTTTAGAGGGGGGAATATTCTTTTCCTTGAAAAGCTTAGAGGGGGAACATTCTTTTCCTTGAAAAGCTTTTGTCAACATTGGTTTGAATATCCTTTATCATTAGAAAATGCACAAGGAATCTGCTAAATGCAGATGGGATTTTTTGTAGCATTATAGGAAGTGTAGAGACTAGCATATTCTGAATTTAGAGACTATTTCATGTGTAGCATTGTCATGTAAAGTAAATGATATTTTTAATGTATAGAGTTGAGTTTTATGTACGAATAATGGCCTAGTGGCTGTGAATGTGTTACATGGATGTGTGAATGTGTATGCTAGACTAGGAACATTTAATTGTCACTTGTATATATATTTATAAATTAAAGATTTTTTTCTTGTATGAACATAAATGAAGAGTTAACTCCCTTGAAGTGCAAAAGGAGTAGTTTGTAATGTTTTTTTAATATTCATTCTGTTGTGGGCGTAGCCTTCATGTTACATGGATAGGAAGTTTATGTTGAAATTTTGTGTATTTCTGACAGAATCAACAGCATTTATCAGTTCTGGTATATCTAATGTTGTCAATGTTTAGATCTGCTGTAATGCCCCGTTTCTTTTTCTTCATCTTGTAGCTAATATTGTGCTTGGTAATCACTCTTAATTCATGGAAGAAATTTCAAAAATCTTATGTTCCAGGTCAAATTCTTTCACAGTCTTAAGTTGAATCATTTCAGATTTTCATATTTTCAAAAAGTCATTATTTCCTGTGTCCAAGAAAATGATCTAATGACTTTGCTTTCTTGAGTTTCTGTCAAGCGAGTGTGAAAGAAATACTTGTATGTTTGGACATAGAATCTCTGAAGTTGTTAAATGCGAGAAATCAACAACTGGGATGACCTCATCACTCCGTGAAGTGCTTTATGTTTGTCTGTGATACATTCCACAAAATCATCCTTTTATCTGTGAATTACTATCACTCCAACAACCGTGACTCTGGAGGGAAAAATGATTTCCATTGCTAATGAGTGGTCATTCGAAGTTTGTAGAGTCAAAGATCATTAGATGTGGAAAGATGTGTTCACATCACTTTTTGTTTTCTAGATGTTTTCTTACAAAATCAACAGTTTTGTTCATTTCTGAGGGGAATTAGATGTTTTAAAAAATCAACATTTTTGTTCATTTCGGGAGGGGAATTTGATGTTTTACAAAATCAACATTTTTGTTCATTTCTGAGGGGAATTTGATGTTTTAAAAAATCAACATTTTTGTTCATTTCGGGAGGGGAATTTGATGTTTTACGAAATCAACATTTTTGTTCATGTTGGGAGGGGAATTTGATGAAAGCCATACATAAACGTATGTAAAAATAATGGGGTTTTTTTGTATACAGTAACATCTTGGAAATAAAATGGAATTTTCTTTATTCTAAATTTTTGAGGAAAAGCATAATGTTGTATTGATTGATGTGACATTACGTCATCACATTTAGTCTTTATCAAGAGAAAGTTAAGACATTTTTTTAGTGTCTATGTGAAAACTATTATGAAACCTACATAAATCAGTTACTCAGGTCATTCTGCACCATCCACAAATCCAGGTGTGACAAGAGATATATGTATAGAGTTCTGCGTCGTATCACAAAGAAATACAATTTAAGTCCAATTCAATTTTGTACTGTCATGTTATAATGAGATGAGACTTTGTTACAAAGTGAAAGTAAAGCTGAATGAAATTGTTTTCCTTTTGGTTTGTATTTGTTTAAACTGACAATATAGTTGTTGAAATTAGACAACCACACTGTGCTTCTTCTTGATCTTTCAATGTGACGAAATTCACTCATAAAACTTTTTTATATAATACCACATTGATATCACAACTCCAGTTCATTCAAGATATCTGTGGATGTTCGAGAACATTAATAATCAATGTCACATATAAAGCTGTCAGACAATAAAGACATCTGAACTTTAAAATATACATCCAGTGAAACAATCTGCCAAATTTTGGAAAGCTACACCACCTGCATACAAACTGCCTCATAAATATACAGTAAAGCTTACAACAAGCGCTGCTTTTCACTGTTTCCAAAGATAAAATCATGTAATAAAAACTCTTTGAAATTTGTTTGCTGTGTTTCTGACCTCAGAAACAGTTGGGGTCATTATCTACACAAAAAACCTTTACTATAAAATACTTTGTCAGGTTTGTAAATCTTAAACATGTACCAGGTATTCAGGAAAATGACAAAGAAAACAGACCTCGGATGATGTTTCATTAATTTATTCATTAAATACTCTTGAATACATTATCAAGAAACTAATTATTAAAGGTAAAAATTCATGGAATGACTTGATACTCTCAAATCTCTTCAACGTTTGAAAATCAATAATCACATGATTTATTAATGACTCCAATATTTTAGTTAAGTAAGGAAACCCCCATGATAACTGAATAATAATATACAATCTGGAGGCTGAAAGCAATAAACTAGCGAAAATGAAGAGGTAATGCATGCCGTTGTGAAAATGCCATGAAAGTGCACTGACTAGAAAATGGTTCATCTACGTCATCAAACATCAAGTAGATTGTTAAAATTTTAGATACAATGCCCCTTAATAAACTTCAAACTGTTGAAGCTCATCAGATTATTTACACATGTAAAAGTCCATGTATTCCATATCTAGATATTTATAACAAGTTTTCATGAACACATAGAAAAGTAGATAAACTGTACACTGACCTAAGGAATAAAACAATCACACAATTGACACCGTAGTAAAAGCCAAGCTTTGTCCCACATGACTTCCACAATAACTTGTTCTCTGTTCTCTGTTATTCATGTATCGCTCACAAATTAATGCTTCCGTTTGAAAAATAATTACTCGCAAATATTCCCAACACATTTTCTGATTTATATATATAACGGGATAGCTCCAGTGTATATTTCCCATCAGATTGAAGAACGTAAAAACTACACTACATATCATTAGACTACATAAGCAAATTTTTCATAAACTTTGCCGGTCTTTTACTGCCTTACACCAGATAGCGTTTGTTTAATTAAATCTTGTCAATCAGAGCACTTGATCGTCTCTGATAACACACACAGCTTTGTTTATCTGTGAATCACCATAAAAGACCTTGGTGACTTATAAACAATGTTGGTTACCTTATGCAAGTGTAAAATAGTACTAATAACACTACATTTGATTCTTTTGAATGTAGGTGGGTATTTTACATCGACCAACTGAGATCTGATCAGCCATTCATCAGAACTATTTCATACTTTGATGAATAATTCTATTCTCTACATTTTATATATATACATGTGCAATTACAGTAATTAAGATATTCATCTAAAAATAACAGAAAAGATTCAGCACCAACATTTCATTATTAATCAAGGAAAGAAGTTTCAATTATCAGAATTTTGAAAGGATAGAATTTTTAAGCAGGGCAGGCAGAAATTTTGAAAAAGAAAATTTAAAACAGTTGATAGCTAAACTGTTGGGAGAAACTACACAAATAATATCAATGCATTGTGATACATCTAGATACATTGTCTGTTGTTGAAGGGTAACCTCTTGTATCCAAACTACTGAAACACTGACTTCATACTTACTTACATGGTACACCTTACATTCATATCTCATCAAAAAATATATATCTTGTTAAAAATATGGGATATTTTTACATGTAAAATCATGAATGAGATGATTCATCTTATTTGTTTTCAAATATTTAACACCAAGTTAAACGTCAACAGACTATTTGTATGATTCAAACTTAACTCCAACTTGATATGAAGTTCAGATTCTGCAGTGACAGTTTCAACATACTATAAACATGCAAAATATAAAATATCACAGGTAGAAACGTTTAAAAGAGGAAAAATCAAACGTTTTCATACAATCTGAAGTGCTTTGCAAGCAAGATCCATTCAATTTCAGTAATTTCAAACACGATTCTGACTTCAAACAAACAAGTGAATAGATTTGTAATCCACACATACCTTGAAAGTATCCATATATATATACACACACACATATATACAGATTTCTTTTGCAACACAAAATACAAATCCTATGGAGGTATTGCATTAAAATATCAGTTATTCATACCTCTCAAAACCTACTTCACAAGACTTCAGTTGTGATGTCAATGACACTTTTCACAGGTTATTTAAACAAGCACAGCTGTCTTCTCTATACTTGTCCTTACTGAATCTGGATTTGTTAGGAATCCGTCTCCACAATAGTAACTCGGACTTCCAAGTATTTAGGTACATTATAAGAGGAAAACATTACTTTGAATCATCTTCCATACCAATCATTTGGTGGGTTAGGTCAGACAAATTCTGTATCAACCTGTTATCAATCAAAGCTGATTGCTTTGACGATAGTTGACCTGCTGGTATCCTAGGCTACACCAGGCTGTATATATCAGTAAACAAAACACCTTAGGAAGATGGTATCATTAACGCCTTCTGTGCCTTGAGGTTGTGTTCCCTGAACACTGACTTGAAATATTCGTAGGAACTGATCATGATGGCACAGGCAGGGGCAACTTTGATCACCCTTGGAACAATACCTGTAACATATTAACAAAGACTGTGTATTAAAGCTTGTCATACAACGTCCAACATACACAGCTTTCCTTAAAAACATCCCTAATAATCACTTACTATATTACATAACATTTCTACATTACAACAAGAGTGATTTTAGACAAAAGTCTTCAAAAAAAGGGAGGTAACTTTGGCAGATATCACTGGTTTCTGTAATGAAATGAGTGGAATGTGACATTTAATTGACATTAATTTGTACCAGTCCAGATTACACAAAATCAATGAAAATTTATTTCAACATTTTAAATATATTAATGTCAATTTTTTTGAGGTAGTCAAGAGAGCATGTGACCCTGAAAAGAATTAAACTGGAGAAACGTATGAGAAAAGCTGAAAAGTTTACAACAGTACACATCAGGTACCTACTGCCTCATAACAAATAAAATGTCTTCTAAATTAAGTTGACAGCGGAAATATTCTTTTGCCACATCACTAAGTTTTTAGTCATTCAGCCCATGAGACTAAAACACTTCAAACACAAACCTGTAAAAAGGGAAGCAACTCCTTGCTGCCTATATAAACTTTGTATGAGACGAAATGTTGAGCTGGTTTTCTTTTCACCTGTTGAAGAGAAAAAAAATACCTGTAATTGATAAACATCAAGGAATCACAAGATTACCATATGCTAGAGCAATCACCAGAAATTCCTCGTAAGAGGCAAATCTCTTTTTATACAAATCATTAAAAAGCCTATTTTAAATCTTGTACAATCTTCATCTCATTGAATTACCCATCATAAATTATTATCCCAATAGGGTGATTTAAATCCTGTTAAGATTACTCTAACAAGTGGGTATATAGAGGATTTAACATTCATTCCTATTCCATGTGAGATTTATGAAATCTTTTTGTTTTACCATAAAATGGAACAAATTTAAGGTACTATTCATCACATAACTTATCATAATTCTGCATAATGCATGAAAACAACACTTCCTCAGAGGGATACAAAATCTAATTTTGGTCCTATTTTCACTCTTTATCTCTTCCACAAAGCGTATAAATACGATGAAGTTACACCATCAAACCAGAAACATTTGGAACCTTCAACCAATCACTGCCTAAGTAGGACATATCACACATGGCAAAACATTGCCTGTAATTGGTTCTACTACACTGATAATGGTGTTTATGTGAGAATATGATATATCTCAGTCATTCATCAGAAATCAAACAATATATTTCTCATTATAAAAGAATGTTATGTTGCTAATGATAGTTATAATCAACTCTACTCCTGGTACTGAATATGTATTTTACCTGAGGAGCCCATCACATTTCCCAGCTCTATCTGTCGGTGAGTTTTGATGACATCAAATGGCAGTGTTATGATGGCTGCAATCTGTGATAAATGATAGCGTTAATTGTCAATATATAAAAGTATCAGAAGATTTCCATATTTCTTTAAATAAACTGTGACTCACCACAGATACACCACAGATAAATGTACTGGCTTAGTAACCATACACAAATTGTATGAACAAATACATTGATATAATTTAACTTTGGCTTAGCACTGATATTATTATATAAACAGTGACAAAACACAGATTCCATATTCAGTTACTCTCCACAGATATTATATAAACTGTGACTCAACACAGATATTATATAAACTGTGATGCAGCACAGATATTATATAAGCTTTGATGCAGCACAGATATTATGTAAGCTGTGACTCACCACAGATATTATATTCAGTTACTCGGCACAGATATTATATAAGCTGTGATGCAGCACAGATATTATATATACTGTGACTCAGCACAGATACCATATTCAGTTACTTGGCACTTATGTTATATAAAGTTACTCAGCACTGATATTATATATACTGTGACTCAGCACAGATACCATATTCAGTTACTAGGTACTTATGTTATATAAAGTTACTCAGCACTGATATTATATATACTGTGATGTAGCACAGATACCATATTCAGTTACTCGGCACTAATGTTATATAAAGTTACTCAGCACTGATATTATATATACTGTGATGCAGCACAGATACCATATTCAGTTACTCGGCACTGATATTATTATATTAACAATATACTTACTGCTCCTGAAGCAGCACCAGCAAAGAAATTATCCCAGAAACCAATTCTTATTTTCCCATGAATTCTCTGCAGCATTGATCGAAAGCTTTCATAACCAAACCAGTACAGAGCTGTAAAACAAAGAAATGAGGAGGATCAAGTCAATTACTTTTGTATGTCAGTCAGTGTTACTAACATTGATAATAAACAAGAGAATGTCTATAAGACATGAACACCCTGGTCACCAGAATCTGATCAGGACTAGAACTTGATCTTATGAAACTACACGGGAAATATGAATAAAATCTATTGTTAGATTCTTAAGATATAGTGTAAATCTAGACAGAACAATATGTAACCAGATGAGATGGACAAATATTGGTAACACTAAAAATGGTAAAAAATAATCCCCTTCCACTCCCATCGACCCCCAATGTAAATGAAAGGGGCAAAGATAAAAGGCGAGAGCATCAACAATGTCATTCTGACAACAAACATGCATACTCAAAAGACTTTAAAAACGAGTATAAAAGAAAAGAGAATAATCTTACCAGAAAAGGGAACATCTCGGAGTAACGTGGGACCTAGACCCATCCACAGTCGAATGATTCCTTCTTGTCTAACCATTTTCCTGACACTTTGCCAAACTGCAGTATAACTGAGCTGTTCTGACTGCATCTTGGTACGTACCATCTCCAGAGGGCTAATTAACGTCACAGCCCAGGCTGAAAAGGAAACCAACACTATATATATAATGACCAGACTAAAAAATTTTAAAAATTCAAAAAGTGTAGGCAGACTAGGTCAAAAAGATATCAACACTGTAGATATGTATATAGGCAAAGCTGAAAAAACATTGACACTTAATACACAACTGACTGAACAGAAACCAAATCCAAACAGACACCAAGTCATAGAAACCAAAACCAAGTACACACATCTGACTGTACAGAAACCAAAACTAAGTACACACATCTGACTGTACAGAAACCAAAACTAAGTACACACATCTGACTGTACAGAAACCAAAACTAAGTACACACATCTGACTGTACAGAAACCAATACCAAATACACACATGGCTGTACAGAAACCAAAACCAAGTACACACATGGCTGTACAGAAACCAATACCAAATACACACATGGCTATAGAGAAACCAATACCAAGTACACACCTGGTTGTACAGAAACCAATACCATATACACACATGGCTGTACAGAAACCAATACCAAATACACACATGGCTGTACAGAAACCAACACCAATTACACATCTGACTGTACAGAAACCAACACCAATTACACATCTGACTGTACAGAAGCACACATCAATTACACATCTAACTGTACAGAAACACACATCAAATACACACCTGGTTGTACAGAAACCAATACCAAATACACACATGGCTGTACAGAAACCAACACCAATTACACATCTGACTGTACAGAAACCAACACCAATTACACATCTGACTGTACAGAAACCAAAACCAAATACACATCTAACCGTACAGAAGCACACATCAAATACACATCTAACTGTACAGAAACACACATTAACTACACATCTAACTATACAGAAACACACATCAAATACACATCTAACTGTACAGAAACACACATTAAATACACACCTGGTTGAACAGAAACTATACCAAATACACATCTAACTGTACAGAAACACACATTAAATACACACCTGGTTGAACAGAAACCATACCAATTACACATCCAACTGTACAGAAACCAAAACCAAATACACACATGGCTGTACAGAAACCAAAACCAATTACACATAATAACAAATAACAAGAACACCAGAACGAGACTGATACAGATGTTACATACTTCTGGCCACCACTCCAGCAGCCATAGGTTTCCACCACTGCCCCTCTTGTAGCCCGTCTCTGTATCCAAGCTTGTTCCGACATTGCTCATAACAGGTAAAGTAGACAACTGTAGCAGGAACAGCCATCACTCTGTCCATGTAGTGAAACACACACAGATAACATAGAGGATAATCTTCATTTTTCAAGATAGTATTAACTGGTTCTTTTTCATCACATTGTTGAAAACTAGTGCTCATCAAATTGATTATCAATTTTCCACTAAGAAATCTGTATGAAATCAGTGCTGGCAAGTTTTTAAAATTCTTTTAACTGGCTGAGTTTAGCATAGTGGTATAATTCATATTTTATAGAAGTGTCTTTAACAATAATAAATATTTAAGAAAGAGGACATTACAATACATTGATTGATGTGGAGATAAATATTGACTTACAATGTTGGAGGGAGACCACTCCATAACGATGTTGGGCCTTCTCGTCTGGAAATCTTTATAAAGGCATCCTAAAAACGGGGAAAACATTCATTTAAACATATCTGTACATCTGTACTGTTGACTAGACTTAATATCATTAAATATTCATAAACAGGATAAGGTATCAAACCCTACATACTCTTTGCACATAGATAAACCACTCTTTTCACTTTCAATTAGGGAAGGAAACCTCAATCACCTCAGTGAAAGGTCAGTGCATTACAAACTGGACCCCATCCCACCTAATAAATGTCTTATGTTGAAAAAAAAAACTATTTTGAGGAACACAAGTTATATCAGTCTTTCATAATGATTTAATTGGCCATATTGTGACATTTTATACTTGGAATTAGTTTCCCCCGACTGGTGAAAAAAATTTGAGAAATCATTTACATTTAATACAGAATATGAAAAATAAAATACATACGAGGGTGCCAGTGAAAGGCTCCGGTAAGCCTCTTTTATACCAATGTACAGGCTTTGTATTATTGCCGTTCCCGTTCCGACACCAACAGACATGATCCATCAGTCCATTACAGTAGAGAAAGCACTGCCCCCTCTTCATAGGACTTTTCTGAGCCTGCAGTCTGATCTTCACAACATCTAATGGCGTCACTGAAAAGGTATAAATTGATTAAAAATCTTTATGAATTTTTACACATACACACTGAATGTTATTATAATACTCTGGACATGTTATAAATGTTAGTGTTTTCCACACTGAAAATATTTTGCTAAAATATGAATGCGCTAACAGCAATTTCTATATGTTGCTTATATAGTAATTATTGGGGATGCTCTAAATTTTCACTTTTTTGGTGCTAATTTGCAAAAAAGTAATTCCACACTTAAACATGATTGCACCAAATTAGGAGAGGCAATTTGTCTGCTTACCAGCTGTTAGTTTTAAAAAAACACTTATAATTTACCTGTACAGCAATCATTCTGAGTTCATCATTCAGAGGATTTCTATAGAATTCCAGTGCATTATCTAACATCCAAAAATATTCTGAATTGTCATAAGCCTTCTATAAAAAATCAATTTTAACTGTCTAAGGATGAGTGCACAGGAGATGCAACCTATTTGGTATGCACTGTGCATAATCTGATTTGCACATATAAATACGGTGGTGATTATCTGCTTTTGAGAAGAGTGGTGATTAAAACACCCTGATTTCTCAAATTTCTTGATTCTCTTATCATGACAATATATCATTTCACATTCAGAATGTCTATTCTGTTGAGTCATACCATCTGTATTTCAACATTTAGTCATTGAATACACATATTCTTGACACTGAAAACTGCATCTCTGATGATTTACCATCGATGTGGCTGCTTTATCCACATTGTATACAAACAAATACAAGTAATAGTACACAAACGCTTGAGGTTTTTCGTCTATACTTGTAAACAAGCAAACCAAGTGTACAGCCAGGACTGTTTTCCCTTGGTTCCAATCGACTCTTGTGACATTCTTATCTCTGAACGTTTTTTACATCTTTTACAAAATATAAAAATGAAAAATAAAAGAACCAAGCAAACAGAAAATGCATTCCCAATGATTATCAAAAGGCTGAACTAAAATATTTACAATTAAGGTGTTTCATTTCCTGTGCAGAAGAGTGATTTGCCTGGTTTCATCAGTAATTTCTGTGCTATTCTTTGATGAAGACTATAAATATTTGCTAGATAAAACACTGCTAAATGCCAGTCTCCACCACTGACAGTAAATAAAGAATTGTCAATCGTCACAAACTGACCATCGGTATTGAATGTATATTAACACGAAAAAGAAACGCCAGGTACACTAAATATACTACAAATGATTTATTGCTTGGCCTAGAATAATGCCACTCGGTCAGGTTGTGTTGTTCGCGGTCACTAGGTACACTTGTTTAAAATCACACAATACCTGACCTCCGCGCTCCATGCAAGGCACGTGCTAAAATACAAGAATCCCGTGCAGGGGAAGGTCATTGAGTTCACCAATGGAAATTTTCAGTCTATTTGATACTGTTCAAGTATTTGGATTGATTTTTCAAAGTTTGATTCGAATTAAGCAATTTACATCCATGCCACGAATGACGGAAGTCCAGCGGGGACAGGCTATAGGAATGCTTTTGCAGGGTCAGGGCCAACTTCAGGTTGCTGCACATTTTGGTGTGCATATTCGGACAATTCAACGTCTTGTCCAACGTGTGCGAGTGACAGGGAGGGTCATCGACCGACCGCGAAGTGGACGTCCGCGCATCACGATGCCACTTCTGGATCGGTTTATAAGACTTTCTCACTTACGTAATCGCCATCTCACAGCCATATTCATCCTGATACGGTTCAAATCCGATTACGCTTCAATGGCCTAAGAGCCCGACATCCCTATATTGGTCTACCCCTAACTCCTGCACGTCGCCAACGCCAATTGGCTTGGTTACAAGCACACTCGCCCAGAAATTTTCCTATGAGGCAATGAAGACGGGTATTCTTCACTGACGAAACCCGGCTCACTCTCTACCGTTCGGACTGGTGACGTCATGTATATCGACGTTGAGGGGAACGTTACACCGTCGCTGAGCAAGATAGATTTGGTGGTGATTCAGTATGTGTTTGGGGCGGTATCTCCTATGGGTTTAAATCACCCCTGATCGTGATTGACGGTAATTTAACCGGCGTAAGGCAGGGTTCGAAATTAACTATATACAACTAGCAAAATTCCAGCTAAAATCTGGTAATTGCTAGCTGGAAAATAATGAAATAGTGAGAGTGGAAATGAACTATACCTAATCACTATTTTTTGACGAAACATCTGCCACAAAATGCCTTTCTCCGTCTGCCTTTAAATGAGTAAATAGGTTACGAACGCTAAAGTGACATAGATTATCAATACATTCGGAATTCCTCCAGTTTTTCCCTTGATAGTTATGTGTAAACCGAATAAAAAGTTTCTTGGAAAACTCTACGATTTCTGTCTGCTCATTATGTGAAATGCGACATATCAGCTATGATAACAAACTTTTTCAAAAGGAAAGCATCTGACAGTGCTTGCGATGACCAAGACAATAGTCAACAGCCACAGCCTGGCCCTTCTGAAAAAAAAATCGTCGAAATCGGAGAGCGTTTCTCCTGACGCTGCTGATATAAAATCACCGCCACAACAACGTGCATATACAGCCACGTTAAAAACGGTACGGAAATGAGAAAAAAAGTTTGAATATTATTCTAAGATACAACAAATCATCTAGTAACGATGTTGTTAATACAGTATGGCGCAATGACTGCCGAGAATACGGAAGATAGTTGTCTTGATAATAATTTATTGAAATGATCGTTAATGTGAACAATTTTTTAAATAATATAAATTTGGGTACAGTTACATTTATAAATGGATCTGATCATATGACAGTCAGATTAGATGTAGCTCATACATGAAAAAAAGAAAACTGATAAATTCAAAGTTATATAGATTTAAAATGTTGATACAGGTAGCAATCAGCCATTCTTATCCAATGTCTTGGATAACTTTTCCAATATCACTCAATTATAACAGTAAATAAAAGTCAAACCTATTCACCAAAAAATTGCTAAATTTTTGCTAGTGGAAATTTTAGACCTAGCAATGAATTCCATGCATAGAAGAATCCCGGCCCCATGTCGGCCAACAATAACGTAATCCCAATTGATTGGCCAGCTGCGCATGGAGGACACACAAGATACTGAAATGTCCAGCCATATTGCGCAATACAAGTAGGGTCATCGCTAAAAGGGGGATATTTTTGGCATAATTAGCATTGATAATCGATAGAACCTTCAATAAATGGTTCCAAACAGATGAAATTGTATACAAAAATGAATGAAATAATGTGACATTAAATTATATCATTTAAAAGAATCTTTTTAGGTTACACAGCGTTTCTTTTTCGTTTTAGTATATATATACTGAAACATTAAATAATTGATGACAATAACAATGATCATAGCAACCATACCACTGTTGTGGACACAAAACAAAAAAAAATAGTGCAGTGGTGGAAAATCAGACAATACTAAAAACTGACAATAACAACAAAAAAAGATGGCAAGTACCAGGTGATTTCAGTACTTCCAAAATAAGTCATTTTCGACACTTTTAAAGATGTTTTGATTAATGTATTTAATTAGGTTTTTTAAGGTGTTTTGTTATTAATAAATATTGCTCATTCCGTTACTGAAAAAATGTTCACTCAAAATGACAATCTAGCTCTGTGTAAGCCATTTTGCAAGTACCGAAACGTCTTTTGTAACTACTGAAACACCTTGGTACTGAAATGACTAGAATTCCGAAAAATGACAAGTTCCTTAGTTTTAATACTACTGTGATCTGATTATTGATATTGTTGAACCAAACCATACATTTAAGATATTTATCTTGATTTATGAATCTAGATTATTTATGAACACAACAAGAATTGATAATTTCAAACAGTGCATACCAACATTCTGGTCATACACTTTGTTTTGCATACTATTCTGGTATACACCAAAATCAAACAAGCATTCATGAATCTACATGAATTTACCATGAAAGAAAACTGAATGCATTCTGATTCAGAAGCATTATTATAATGCACATAATGTGCATTCAATGAAATTTGCCAAAACTGTCCATGTGCAAACCAATTACATACTGACTGTACATCAATTATCTCTTTTTGTAAAATTTAAATATGTTATCTTATATGGGTATCTTGTTATTGTACTATAGGTAGTTGTTCGTCAAGAATCAAGTACTCTTTAATGATCAGCTGTGTGCTGACCCTTTCGTAACCTGAGGGATCACACGTGCTCTGTTTGACCCAGTTATCACAATCATGTTATGAAATCAGCAAAGCATCTAAGGACAAGAGCAGATGATGTGTATATGATCTATATCGAGAAAAGAGAGAACGATAATGCTGAATCAAATGCGCCTACCAAAAAATGAGGTAAGGACTGCCCCTGTGCATGATGAAATCATCTGCTGCCACGGAGTGATGTTGTTCATAGTGTCGCAACTTTTCTTCAAACTGTCATTGTTGCTTCGTTCGCTCATCGTGTTCTTTGAGCAACTACGTCTACTAAACCATGTTACAAACACCAAAATGGTGCTACCTTACACTATACTTAGTTGTCCTAACCATTTCCCTTGTTGTACATAGTCGGTAACCTCCGCCACTCACATGTGAAGTTCGTGATTTTTACACTATCTTTAAAACGTTTGACAGAAATGGGCTCAGCGTTTTCTTTACAGTACATGTACAAATTAAAGTTAGAATCTGACTTACTTCAAATCCGGATCATCCGGATATGCTTTCGGAGCGTCTTGATTATCTTTCAAATGATCGTATGTCCCATAGATTGAGTAGGATTTATTTATTTTTTATTTATTTGTTTATTTATTTAATCTTTCAGTTGCAAGATCTTTTGATTTTTGATATTTTCAAAGCACCCAATTGTCATTTCTCAAACATTCATCTGAAAGATGTTCTTGTCTATCTTGCCATTATCATATCTAGAAACCCCACAGGTTAAAATAATAACCTAGGAAATCCTTTTAATTCGATCTGTAGAGAGATGGTATATCTGTGTCAGTCGTTCTAGTTAACAGAAACAAAAACTGTCTGTATATAGCTATTTATAAAGTTTCTTGACGTACAAAGTTTCGTTATTTTTCCAAGTGTATAAATTATACAGGCGACATACGTTTAGACTATCTTAGTTTAAAAAGTTTTTCATTTCAAGGCCTTTTTGAACATTGTTTGTTCAATAAAAAATGCATATTATGAATTGAAATACAATCTTATATGAATATCTCTATCCACGTCATGTGACAAGCATTATCCTGGCCGAAAAAATGTGGGAAAATGAATACTAATCAAAATTAACAGTTAGTTAGAATTAGACTCCATGTTGATAGGATAATTAAAATAAATGAAGATTATTTTAAACATATGCATATGATTTTACCTTCAGTGCGTGAAACAAATATTTTACTTTCGAGATTAGATTTTGACCTTCGCTACTTCCCGAGTGAAAATTTCACATTCGATATTTTTTTTTAATGTCCTTGTTCAGAAACGACACACAGCTTTCCCTTTAGGACGATTCGTTCTTTTTACATAATCAATAAACCAACTAAGTAAATTACAACTTATTCCGGCAATTTTATAATTTATAAATCAACCCCTTATGCCAGATCTTATAGAATTTCACACTGCTCTGACCTCCTTTCCTTCATCTAATGCGTTACCTATATCCCTATATCGTTAAATATAATAACTTGATCACAGCAGCCTAGTCGACACTCATATAAATCCAGACTGGTTGTGAGTTAAGGAACTTTATATTCACCAAAAAGTTAAATCAACAAATCAATACACATCTTTCTAGTGTCGACTAGGATGATGTTTACCAGTTATTATTATAGTCTGAAACATCATCGGGAGTTGGGGATCATTTCTTAAATTAAGATATTTGATTCGACCCCTAGGGACCTTGGAATGGGACACAAAAGGGTAGTAAGACAATACTTTGCTTCAAAACGCTGCTCTTCCTTAATGCTTAAATTGATTTCATTTTCTAAAATAAAATCGGTAAATCAGTAGGGGTTGGCAAATAATTCCTAAATTTAGAAATTTGATTCGACCCCTAGGGATTTGTGGGCGGGGCCCCAAACGGGGACATTAGAAAATGTTTTGCTTCAAAACGCTACACCTTCTTAATGCCTTGATAGATTTCAACCAAATTAGGTGTGAAAATGATTGTAGGTGGGTTATCATTTCTTAAATTCAGATAATTGGTTCGACCCCATGGGACTTGGGAGCGAAGCCCTAAGGAGAAACTTAATTTTGCTTCAAAATGCAACTTTTTCCTTATCCTTAACTGGATTTCAACCAGATCGGGTTTTTAACACCATTGAGAGTGGGGAATCATTTCGTAAATTCAGAAATTTGATGCAATCCACACAAGGGACTTTTGGAAGGGGCCCCACAAGGGAAAATTAGGTAATGGTTTGCTTCAAAACGCTACCCCTTTTAATGCATAGGTAGATTTCAACAAAATTTGGTGTGAAACATTTAATGCTTTGATGTAAGTGGGTTATCATTTCTTAAATTCAGCGAGTTGATTCGACCCCTAGAGATTTGGAGTGAGGCCCCAAAAGGGGAAGTTAGACAATATCTTACAGGCTGCTTTCTTTTCTTCTCAACACGTGATAACAACTATATGTAGGCACATGAATGCGTATAACGGACTTTTATGTACATGGTAGGTATTTATCGCTAATTTCATCACATATTGGAGGAAGTTATTTATAGAGTCCTCTAATACGTGTCATATATATGTATACCTTCTTACATACATATATAAATGCAGATTAAGTGGCTGTCTCGTAACCAAATGTGTGACGGTTATATCAGAGACATATATAACACATGTGTTATATATGTCTCTGGTTATATTTATCTAATACAAATTTATGTAAAAATTACTATGAATGTCAGTTTTGAAATTTTCTTAATGTACATACATATAGATGTGATAGGAAAAGAATTATTATGATCTTAACAGTTTTATTATTCAGCAGTTTAAGCTTACTGAAAGATTGAAAAAATGTTTCCCTGTTGAGCGTCGAACCCTTGCGTCTGACAGGTCTAAATACGAAAGTAAGAGGAAGCAGCAAAGGCTTAATTTTCTGTATGATTTTATCAACCATTATCCTTCATATTACTATTACGTCTTTTTTATCGGATCTATTGGTACTGTGATAGAAGTGAATGTCGCAACATGTTTATTTATATATATTACGAAACTGCGTCTAGTCCTAAAATCACCTGATTATTCGCCATTGCACTGCGCCTGCTGTCGTGTCTCCAACAACGGAGAAGGTTTCATCGGTCGACGTTCATACATCTACAGCAGAAATGGTGTGCGGAGGATTTCAATGTTCGAAGAATGCATTGGCAGCCTTGAATGTGTTATATATAGTAAGTTCATTCATTTTAGAGAGTTGAAATATTCAAAAACATAGACTCGCTACTGTAATTTTAGTTAATTGAAAAAGTCTGCATAGACATGTATTGAATATTCTATTGTGTTCTTGAATGTTATCAGGCCTCGGGACATAACACCGGTCTACGTGTAAATAGCCATGTGTCAGTTGTTATTCAGAATGGACTTTTACATAAATGGCTGTGAAATTCGGCCAAGTTCATTTGTATGTCCAACAGTTTTTATTGTCAAACGATCGATACGATATTTAACGATAGATGCTGACTATTCGTCAATAATGTCCAGGCTTAGATACATTTTCCACGAGAGCTGCTCGTGATTGGCAAACACCACAGCTGTGCACACGTATAATATTAGACAAAGACCCATAGGGAAAATATGATACTGACACTAAAAACATGATATGTGGGACCTATCGTATAGATTCTAGAAAGATTCTGTGCCTATGAATATCAAAGAATAAAATAATTAAATGTTGATGCAATGCCACTTCATCAGTGGTATTGAGTGATTAACCATGAGTAATGGATGTGTTAACTTGTTAGATAATAATTGAATTGCATATTATGTTAATAATTTAATCGAAATGTACGAATTTACTTCGTAAAAGTTGCAGAAAGTTTGTTTTTCTCCTTTTTTTTTTTTTTAGAATTTTGATTGTAATGATTAGGCATCAAACTTAAACTAAACTGAACTTGGTTAGTTTTCCTTAGCTTTTTCCAACATTATGATAATGACAGAGAGAAACATGCAGATGTAAATATTAGTTGTCGCTGTAAAATTGGTTTTTAAAGGAAATAAGAAGCAGTTTTAGGTGTATTATAGGTTTATCTTTATTAGGCTGGACAAGAAGGTAAGAATGTTGGCAAATGTTAAACCAGGGTTAGAGACTCATCAGTGAAAAAAACTCCCCTTTTAGAATTTAATAACAGCAATGCTTGTGGCTTCTAGGTACCTTCACAGGGTCACTGACATGGAAAGGTCTTCATTCCTTGACTCTGCATGAAGTTAAGCTACTTTAAGCATACCTGCCAACTTTTCCAATTCAGTCAGGAGTTTCCTGATTTTCTCTCCCCATCCCCGTCTCCCGATCGTATGGATCAAAATTGGGAAAATCTCCCTATTTCAGAGATCCCACTAGGTAGGTTATAAGTAACATTGCTATATTTGTCAGATTGGAAATGCTGACCACCTGGCCACATAATCAAGGCCTAGCTATGTGAGTACACAGCCCAGTTATCATACTAGTGATAGCCAATTCAAGGTAATCCTCACTGACCGCTATGCTTGGGAGCACACTTGTACATGGCCGATTGTTCCTTACCTAGGTAATTAATGGTATACTATTGGTCAGGACTCGGGATCCGGCTTAGGCAAATGGTTGGTTTAGATGAGGTCATTATACAGATAATTAAGTAGTTATTACCATGTTTATACTACCCATTTAGTCAAATAACAAATTCAACAAGAAAATGGTTTGAAAAAACAATTTTTATGATGTAACAATGTGGAAGCGTTCCTCAATCAATACCTATAATCTAACCATGTCAGTCCCTAAAAGAACTACTTAGCTGGCATCCTGAGTAAAATATCGGATCAAAAAATATTTCACTCACTAAAAAGTTGACTAAAAGGAGTATGTATGGTTTGGGTACCTATGTACCCCCAACATTTTACTGAGAAAAACTGTCTCAGAAAATCAAAAGAGTGAAGACATTTAATAATGGAAGTGTCCATGATTCTAGAATTGTTTTCAAGATTTAAAAAATATCACCAATTTTTTAATATAGCTGTTTGAAAATTGACAAAAAACACGAAAATCGGTGATTTCCCCGATTTCGTGGGTACATTTTACTGAAGTTTACCATGAGCGCAGGCTTGAACAAGTTTCATATTGATGCTACAAAATAAAAATTTTAATAAAGTCATTGTGTTAAAAGGAAAAACTTGTTCAAGACTGCGCTCATATTAAAAAATTAATTTTTAAAATTATTTTTCGGCATTTTGATGCAAGATCGCGTGTAATATATGGTCCGGAACACGGAAAACGGACGTCGCCGCTATCGATATTTTTGTTTACTGCAGCAGAAACACTCAAATGATGGAGTTAAAACCAACAATTCCTTAATTTTTCACAACCAAGAAAGGTAAGATTTGTTCTTGTTAGCAAAAATTTTTAACTGATGTGATATAAAAAATGAATAGTTTTTTTTATTCATCGGACGTCTGCAACACTTGATTGCATCATCAGTTTTACGTCTGGTTGACAGATGCCCCAATACAGGTAGACGGCAAAAAATCCACTAACTTTGTGTGATGTTTGTTAAAAAATTTATTCAAATGTCATTTATTAACAATAAAATCTATTTAAAGGTATCTCAATACTTTTTAAAGTTCTGAAACAGTATTATTCTGTGCTGCCAAGCCCAGCTTGAATGTTGTCGATGTTGATCGCCGAACAAACGGTGAAGTGTCGTCTGGACTGAAGGCGAGCTCACAATAAATTCAAGAGTAATTCATTATAAACTTCAACAGAGACTGTGTGTCTTGTTGAAGTCCACTGAAAATGTCTTCTTTCTGTCTGAAAAATATTCGTTTTATTAACTAAGGAAAAATAGAAATGAAAGAGCGCATCTATTTATACTCATTGTCTTGGAAACAGCCAGAGAGAAAGCCAACATAGTCGGTGTATATATACTTTCAAAATAACTTCCAGTTGCATATGCTGTTCCGTGGTGTAGTGGTGTGAGGGTTGGCTCAGGAGCATAAGCACCGCAATTATGGGATCCAATCCTGATGACCATTGATTTTTTTTTTTTTATTTTTTATTTTTTTTTTATATTCAATTTAAGATACAAAACTATAATACATATTTTCTAGCGAGAACTTTGCAACACATTATTATTTTTAACATTAATTAAAACTATTTGTGTAATTAATTAAGCTCTGACTTCAGATCCTGTTGACAACTCTTATTTATTTATTTTGATTTCAAATAAAAAAATACCTATTCTTAATTTAATTTAAAATGCAACCATGTAGTCTGTTCTTGAAAGTGCTTAGCAACATTTTATTTTTTTCACATTAAGAAAATAACATTTGTAATATTAATTAAACTGTGAGTTCAAATCTTGTTGACAATCCATATTTCACAAACATTTATCGACATTTGTGTGAGTTACAGTTGTGCTGGTGCCTGTTCCTTTTTATTATTTTTTCTTAATTTCATTGTAAAAAACTTAACAACATATTCACTAAATAATGTGTAATTATTGATCAATTATGACAAAAATATGTTATGTAATTTAAATATGAATATAATATCTATGTTTACAACTTTTAATTTCTTATACAATGTATAGAACACACATTCTTTTGAGTTCCACATAAAAAGTTGTCACTTTTATGTTTATATATTCTTTTTATACTTTTCTACGTTACCGTGATTCATATGGTTGGTATAAAGTATTAATATACTTATCAAATATTTCTTTCCAGATGCCAAAAGACATCCCATGTTGCTTGTGCTTCAAAAGGTGTAAACCAAATTCCAGAAGGCATATCCCACCTGGCGTGGCCTTTAAAAGATATGTGGAGCGATGTGTTGGCAGGGACGTGAGTAGCAATGACATGATATGCGGGACATGTACGGCACGAGTGTATAGGAGTCTTCCAATATTTCACCAGACACCTGTAAATACTAATGATGACGAGTACATTTCTCAGCCGCCAAAGAAAAAGACACTGTCGAGTCCTAAAACTATTAATTTGAACCTTCCCGCAACATCAAAATCTCATAAATCATGTATTGTATGTCATAAAGATGCAAACCAAAGAAACCATTTAACCAACATCCCACAACAAGGATCTACTCAGGCCTTCATAGTATGTGGTATATTCATACACCCCCATAGTAGATGTTGTGAGAGCCATATTGAGAACAATTATCTGAATGAAAATGCGTTGGCATTACTTGGAACCAAGAAATCAAATGACTGGTTTTCAAGAAGTGATATTACAGGTCTTCTCTCCGGAGTTCGAAGGATGCTGTCTACACATTCTGGACATTTGAATTTCGATGTGCCATCATTTTTAACCAATGAAGATTATGTAACATTGACAGGATTTACCAAACAGCAGTTTGACGAAATTGTCACTCATTTGACATCACTTAATAATTCAGCAGTTAGGTCAATCCGGACATGTCTAGCTGTGTTTCTCTTCAAATTACGTAGTGGATTGTCCAACAAGTTAATTGGTGTGTTATTTCATTTAACATATTCACAAATCCAGCGTATAGTGACAGCACAAGGAATGCCTTAGTGGAAGATTTTGTACCAGATAACCTTGGATTTCAACACATATCTCATGGAGACTTTGTTCAAAACCACACTACAAATATAGCAAAATCATTGTTCCAACCAGGCGAAAACGAGGCTATTGTTGTTGCTGATGGCACCTATGTTTACATCCAGAAGAGTGCAGACTACAAATTCCAAAGGAGGTCCTATTCTATGCACAAGAACAGACCACTCGTTAAACCAATGATGCTTGTAGGAACAGATGGCTACATTCTGGATGTGCTCGGACCTTACCTGGCTGATGGCTCAAACAACGATGCCTCCATTACAAAACACATGCTTAAGGCAAATGAGGAAGCTAGCAAGTGGTTCAAACCCGGCGACATATTCATTGTAGACAGGGGGTTTAGGGACGCTGTGAGGTTTTTAGAAGACCGAGGTTTCGATGTGAAAATGCCCTTCTATCTTCAGAAAGGCTGCAAGCAGCACAGCACCGAAGAGGCGAACCTTTCACGTTTAGTCACAAAAGTCAGATGGGTGGTAGAAAGCGTGAATGGCAGGATAAAACAATGGAAACTGTTTGACAAAGTTGTTCCAAATACCCTGATCCCTTCTATTGGTGACTTTGTGAGAATCATCTGTGCTCTTATCAACAGGTTTAAAGAACCACTTGTGAAAACTGACGCAACATCAGAAGCACATTGCAGGGCAATGCTTGCAAAGTCCAAGGAACCAAATACAGTGAAAGCATTTTTGGAAAGCAACAACTTACTAAATAAGAGAACTGTTTATCAAAAGCTGGAAGCAGAAGACTTGATGGACTTCCCTAAACTTTCCATGGATGACTTACGAAACATCACCATGGGAGTTTATCAACTTAAACAGGCTCCAAGTTATACAAAGGAGCACTGTGTTGAAGATGGACTGTATGAGTTGCTGGTCTTCTCAGAAAACCCTAATCTGATCAAGTTAAAAATACAGTCTCGACACTGTAACAGCAGAGCACATTCTTTGTGGATTGAGTATGACTCACTCTCTGATGATCCCATCAAAGGTTGGTACTGCACTTGTAAAGTAGGCTCAAGAGTGGTCGGTTGCTGTGCCCACATTGCAAGTGCATTGTGGTTTCTAGGATATGAACGCTTCCAAGGCAAATCATCTGGGGCAGTGACTATTTCGACAAAGTCTTTGGCTGATGCAGCTGACATTCCAACAACAGATTCCGACACGGATGAGGAGTATCCAGAGGAATAAACTGTAACACTATATGTATTTAAAGTAGATATAATTTGAAGTCGCTTATCACTTGTTCATTTTCATGTTTGTTAAATTCTGTGAACAAAACCAAAGGTTATACATTGATTATATGCTTCGAATATGCTTTGCTTTCAAAAGCACCAGTGCAGAAGTATGAAGCAAAATAGAAACCGATAACAGCTTCAGGTGATGTTCTTGCTATGTGATAGACTTTGTTGTACACTTTGATTAATAATCAATTTTTTATATTGTGTACACTAGTATACCTTTATAACAAAAATGTTTTACCAATGAAATTATGTGATAAGTGTTTCGCTTTCAACAAGTAACAAGTGGAAAAATATTGTAACAGAAAAGAATATGTTAACAATTACAGGTATGCTATGTGATAGACTCTGTTGCTAGGGTACTAACTTTGATCTGTATCAAAATGTTTATATTATACATATTTCGTAAGAAAAGGTTAGTCCATGTAAAGTGATAATGATCTGTTTTCATTAAATAACGTACAATAAAAAACATTGAAACAGTATAAAAAAAAATAACAGTTTAGGTCATATTCTTGCCATGTGTAAGAATACTTTGCTAGGGCACCAACTTTGATCAATACTCTAATATCTATATTGTGATACCTTTATTAGAAAGTTTAGCTACTGAAAACATGAGAAATATTTTGTTTTCATTAAGTACAGCAGAAGAAAAATCTTGAAACTGGAAAGAAAATGTTGTTATCAATATAAGGTATTGTTGTTGCTATGCGACACATTCTGTTGCTAGGGAAATTATTGTCACTTCCCAAATGTTTGCATTATAATACCTTTGTAAAAAAAGTTAGTCCATATAATTATGTCACATATGCTATGATTTGTTTCCATTACACAAGTTCGGACGATAGAAAATGTTGTTACCAGTAATAAATCTTATAGCCATGCCGTTGCTATGTGATATAATTCGTTGCTAAGGTACCAAATGTAAATATATTAAAAGTTTAATTTAAGCCTTTGCTAGCAAAAGCCATTAGTTGATAACTTCCATAAGTGATTTAATTACATCAATATTAAGCAGCATATTTGTATGATAATTAAAAGTTACAGAATCTTTTTGTAATGCTTTGTGTCATTTTTCTCTTAAAAAATACTGGTGTGACACCTATATTTGAAGTGCCGCTACGCATGCGCCGAGAAAGAAAACATGCTAAAATCCCCCAATTCATTAATTACGTTACTATCCTTACTCAGTATAGGTATTTCATCAAATTTGAAGAGGGGGCCAAATTTGACCCAAATCATACATACTCCTTTCAAGCATGTTTGGTTCTCTCAAAAATGGCAAAAAAAAAGTAGCTACACTAATGCAAAATAGGAATGGATCCAAACAAAATCTCGGGATTTGCATCTGTCTTCAATTTTTTTTTTTCCTAATAGTTAAAGTAAAGTAAATCATGCACTTTATCAATTTTAAGTTATCTAGATGTATTCATTAAATATCCATTCATCAATTTTTCCTTTGTGATAAATGTCGCGACACACAAGGTTCAGATATTGGAATGATATTTCTCTCTTGGTTATCTCTGTTGAGGATATCTCGACCTATCTAGGTCATGGAGTATGAGGGCAGTGTACAAGAATCATAATTCTCCTATTGCCCATTGTTATTTTTTATACTTAAATTTTGTCCCGATTGGAGGGCATTATCTGTCTCTGACTGCCCTTGTCCATATTAAAGTCATGTAAGTTTGATCTGTAGCTTAATACATTGTTTCTTGTAGCGTAATTTAACTTTCATTTTTATTGTCATTCCATAAAGATATATGATGTATATGTGCTTGGTTAGTAAGGTTAGTGTACACTTGTGGGGGACAGAACGATGTGAGTACAAATGTATATAAATGAAGGTAATTTGTTGTTAGGATGAATTAAACAATAAAAGTAGAAAGTAGAAATTTATTTGTTTCTTTACTGCCATTTCAAATAACGGATTAAAATACGCTGTTTGCATACTATCATAGCCTTAATCAAAGTCGGGAAACTGATATCGTTAACCTTATTTGGACACTCAGTTTGAGTGGAAATTCGGAAAAATTGAAATATTTTCCATGGTCCCTTGAATTTCAACATAACAAGTTTCGACTGAATTTCAACTGGCCTTTGGGGGAGGGGAAGAATAAGTTATCTATGGGAAAAATAGTTCTAGTCTTATAAGATTCCTCCTCCCAGTTACAATGTGTAGAAGGCATAATACTAATGAGTTATCATTACTCTAAAAGTTTGGAACTGTAACATCTGTCAATTTGATTGTACACTTAAAGGTAAGTAACCATTGTGCTTCCATACTTCAGACAACATTATTACTGCAGGCAAAATGTGAGATCCATGGATATTGTTTTATTCCCTGGAGTACTGTCACTTTCTTCACAGAATAACATGATTCTCATTACCTTTATTATGAAAATTCTAAAAATCTAGGATATTTGTAAATTCACCAGTTTGTACTATTGCACATATCTATCTAGATAGGCAGATAAACATATTTGACTTTGTACCATTTATCTAGGGTTGGATTGTTTATTTCTTTCAATTATAACAATGTGACTGAATCTTAGGTCAATGCACTGATCCTGGTGTGTTGACCTCGACAACATTGAGATATTAAATGCACAGTATACAATGTCAATCCATGCATTTGCTTTAACTTATGTTTAATATTCAATAAAGTGAAGAATAGATTAAAAAAGTGAAATGGATCTTATGCTCAAGTCATTGTAGTATCTTTGAATATTTTTTTTTTTTCGTAAGATCTAAGCACTGAGTTTTAGACAAATCAATCATATTGGCAGAATTCATGGTATTGTGTTCACTGTTGGCCAACTTAAGGTGCATATGTGTAACTGGATTGTTGTCAGTAACATAACATTGTATGTTATGTCCCTTTTGCCTTGTAAACTTTTAAGAAGTAGATGTTTACATTTATTGAGAATAAAATTTACATTTCATATTTACTTTCAGTTTGTGTCATTTATTCTGATTGGCGTGGCAGCATATGGTAGAGTTGTCGCCATAGTGACCAATTTGACCTTGGTTGGAGGGATCATTGCCTGTGGAGTTTTCCTGTTCATTATTTCCCTCATTGGTCTCATTGGTGCAATCAAGCATCACCAGGTGCTCCTCTTTTTTGTATCCTTTTTATCAAGCTGACTTTATTTAAGCTTGTACTGATGAATTTTATATTCTTTCTAAGACAATGTTATACTGGTGTTATGTATTAATAAAAAATATGGAGTTTCCAAATTTCTCATTATTTCAGTCAGCACATTTTACACATAATGGCAATCAGGGAACTTTGTATTGCAATATTCAAAGTTCTTATTTTCATTGTTTGCAGAGTTGAAAAATAGGTAATATTAATATACTGTCACCACTTGGTACACTGCCACAGAGAAAATAGTGAAATGTACAGACATCTCCGTCAACTACAAATAGTTCATATCCTGTTTTGTAGATATTTATCAAGCAAAGTAGAACTGTAGATTTTATTTTCAGATTTCTTATTTGGTTAAATAAGGCTTCAATTTGCATTCACATATACATACATGTATATCATATAATGATTTAACCAACACAACATTAAGGGAGGTGAGTTTTAGAGGTATTAGATTCCTTATGTGTATCAGTACATGATCATACTGTTCCTGTTATTCCTGCTCCAATTCTCCTTGGCCTGTGCATGTCTCGCTATCAATGAGAAACAGCAGGAACAGTTTGCAGAAAATGGATGGAGACTTGCTTCAAACCAGACCAAAGATTCAGTCCAGTTCAAATTTGACTGCTGTGGATTTGCGGATTGGAACAAACCTGGAGATGATCCAAGCGGTCACCCTCCCTGTGGAGGGGTAAGTTTTCATTGCTCTTTTCACTTTAATTAAGATATATGAATTGAAAGACATTGAGTATGTCAGTTATAACATGTAGTAAACTATTACAGTATTTGTAGCCCATAGTGTTGGTGTTCAAATCATGTTTTGTTTGTGATACTGGGTCTGTACATCCACCTATGTCAAACAACTCTTGTTATCATTACTTTTTAGAAAATTTGGATGAATCACTTTCCATTTCAATTTTCCCTATGGTCCCTACTGGTGAAATGTCTCTTATGGGGACTGATCTGAAAAATGATATGGTCAGTAGTCAGCCATCTTGAATTTACAAAGTAAAAGATTGTTACTGCTATTTCTGGAGAAGTATTTGATGGATCAATCTTCAATTTAATATATTGATTCACCTTGGTCCCAGGTTGTGTATTGTCCATTTCGAGAGTTATCAGAAAGACAAGATGGCTGATAGGCAGCCATCTAAGTTTTGGACAGTCATAATTTGGTATCATTATTTCTGGGGAAGTACTGTATGGATCTTTCACAAATTTCATAGATGGGTTCCCTTTGGTTCCTTTTTTGTGCCCTTTTGATTTTGGGACTGATCAGAAAAACAAAGAAGCTGACAGTAGATAACCATGGATGTGAAAATTATAGATTATTATCACTATTTCAAGTTTCATATAATAAAGAGCAAAAGCGAAGAAGGGAAAGAAGAAATATAATACTTTAAAAGACCAAATAAAAAGATAAAACTATGGTAGGATATTCTGGTTATGTTACAGTAAATATTTCAACTTCAAGGATTCTCAAGGTCTATCAGGGGATTTGAGCCACATCAGGTACTTCACAACTGTTGGCTTATATTTATGTGTCACAAGTATATAGACACTATGTGCTTTGTTGTATGCTGTATATGTGATATGTATACAAACGGTGTGATTTTTTGTTACAGATTAAATGCTGTAGTGGAGGTAATGCAGGACCTTGCTGTACAAAAACATTTAATATAACTGCAGCTGATCTACAAGCCAGCTGTCCCTGTCAGACGTGTTTGAATGCACTGCAAAATGAAATCCACTCAGCATTTAAAATAACTGGAGGTGTAGGCCTCTTCTTTAGCTTCACAGAGGTATGTCTGATGCCTTTTTATCGTGTCCTAAACTCTATCACTGATTTCATTTTAAACATTGTAATCACGTTTAAATTATCTGCTTATCTTCATTTTTAAAAAATATTTTGCATAATTTTCCTGATACCTGATAGACTAGTGGAGGGAAACAAAATGCTTAGAGTAAAGCAATGATATGAAACTGTTTAATTCATTATATAAAATAAATTTGTAATTGTGTTGTTTTAAAGTTTAGATGTTGTACATTTTTATGTGAATTTCACTGGAGGAAGAAGATTTTTTAACCCAAATTAGTTTTTGTCGTTTAATTTGCATGAATGTTTAGAAAGAAAATAATGTTTGAAATGTTGCAGAATCTACTAAACCTATTAGTTTGTATGTTTTATCGTACTTAATGGTTGAAATCAAAGATGCGTTAAGTGACCCAAGTTATTATCAAGAGGAAGTGTTTAAGGGGTTCATGTCAAAATTTGTCTCGTCAAAGCTCAAGGATAAACTTGATACATCAGCATTGAACGAGACCAGATCAATCCTTGTACTTCCTTTGAAACATGTATATAAAATGTAAAGAAAATGTTTTCGGATAATTTTGAAATTACTGTTGGACATTGGTAGTAAGTTAGAAATTACCCTATGATAAACCAGTATTGACTGTAAACTACTCAGGACTGCTACATTTATCTTTTGACTTTCAATCCATGAATAAGATATATAAGCATCTGTTGATCAGAATTAAAAATACATTATGTGTATTAATTTATAAGATATTGTCATGATGTGTCGTGTGGTTTTCACGTTTGCAGATAATTGGCGTTTGGATTACAATCCGATTTCGTAACCAGAAAGATCCTCGAGCTAATCCAAGCTCATTTCTTTAACTTGCGTCAAACTAACAAGTTTGTATACACCTAGGTGTATTTCACTAATGTCTTGTTTTCTTCCTGGCGGTGGCTTTCTTCCCAGTGGTTATGCAAGGACTTTTCTAGGGTTGTTAGCAATATTTCAAATATGTAACTTTGAAATATAATGATGACCTATTTTACAATTTGCTGAAAGGTTAATTCGATAATTCAGAATGAATTTCTCCATTCATTTGTCTGTTAAAGTTGAGATCAACCCTAGAGAAGTGCTAAGTATTTCTGATTCGGCCTGGTACCTCTTTGTGATTGATGGTACATGTATTATCGCGTATATATTTATGTACATGTAGCAACTAACATGTTTTACGATATGGTTTATAAGTTACAAAGTATGACAAAATTTTGTTTCAAAGATTGAAGACGTGAAATCTAGTCACGCGAATCTGTAATGTTTTTTGGTCCTGTTTGATATACTGTAGATTTAGGATTCAAACTAAGATCAAAGTACTTTATCTATTTCAAGTTGTAGTCACTTAAGAAATATTAATTTTCCTGGATTTCAAAATCAGATTTGAACAAATTCTGATTAATCAAAATCATTCAAACTCCTCAGCAACATAACAGAGTGTGAATGTATGGATAATATTTATGTAGTGTACACAAGTGAATCCAATTGACAGAAAATCACCTACAGATAACAGCAGATAATGAGTCAGATTGCAAAAACAGCTGTTTCCTCCAGTTTCTAGCACATGACTCATCCACAAGTTTAGGGACTTGTTGAAATGACGAAATCAAGATCAAACATTAATAGGGAAGGGAAGGTACACTCACCTAAATCAGTTTTGTAAATCTGAGATATTTGAATGATTTCAAAAAACATATGAAATGCATAATGTAACATTACGTTGTAGGAATTGTGAACTAGTGTCAGTTTTCATTAAGATAAAGCATGCACCTTTTCCCTATGAAGACATGACTTTTGTGTAAAATGTGTTTGAAATTACAAATGTAATTTGATTGCATGACTTTATGTTCTCTAAAATTTGCTTTAATTATGGTGATGGCTATGAGTCTTGTGGGTAGAATTGTTTAGAGAGTTTTTTTATCGTCATGGTTGGTTACAGGTTTTCATGGTTGAATTATTCAGAACATGCCACTTTTGGTCCACCTATGCTACTGGAACAAAGTGCTCTTGAATGTATACTATGGTACAATGTCTGTAGTCTTAACTATCATTCATCAATTATTTTCTCAAAGGCTTGTAGTTGAGATCGAAGGATTAGAAATTTTTCACGTGGCTGTGGGAATTTGTACAATTTTTACAGTTTTATAGGGAGCAATTGTACCAAAAATTAATACTTGGAACATTAGTCTTTAATTACACTCACTACAAACAAAAATTTATAAATTTTGTTGAAATTATTCTAAAACTACAATTTGCAGCAGCACCGTAATTAGCATGGTAGTCATTTGATAATTAATTATCTGTCTGTCCATGGCATAGAGTCAGAATAAAATACTGAACGAGTCAGTTTTCACAATAATATATTCAAAATCTTGTTTGTTTGGATGTTTTTGTTTTCGAGAAATTCTTTTTAGCCAAGTTTGGTAATAGTGAATCTTGTAATAATTTGTCTTGTAGATATACAGGTGAGCAGTAAGGCTCATGTTCCATTGTTTTGTATGGGATTCATTGTTGTTTCAAAATTGAAAAAAAAATCTTACCAATTTATTTTTTATTTTTTTAAGGATGTGTATCTTCTAGATTTCCATTCAGTGCACTAAGAGTTTCTAAAAATTATTTGTTACGATAGTTTACTTTGTTTAAAATAGAATAAAGTCCAGACTTGATTCATGTTTCAGTACATTAGTAATGATAAGAATTGATGAAACCTACCCTGAATGATATGACAATGTATTACCACACAAGTCAAAGCTATTACTCATCAGCTGTACAATAGACATGATCCGTATCCATAAGTTGTTGAAGCCCAGTATTGATTTACAACATGCATTCTTAGGTCAGCAGCCTGTGCCAGTTACTTGATACTTTATATTGATTGATCACAAGCCTAACAGGCTGAAATCGTATTACATTATAAATATGATAACTATTAGTGTTTTCTAGACTACCGCCAATACTATAACAAATTAAGTGACTGAACAGCTTGAAAGTTAAAAATTAAGATACATGGATGGCAGGATTGATTATAAAACTCACTATAAAACCAATTTATGATATTGTATAAAATACTGATTTTGTTTGTTGATGATAAAAAATGTTTTAGTGTAAATCATTTGATATACATTCATTCTTGTAACACATTGTTTACAAATTGTTATTGATAGAATTAGGATAACTGTCTTTATATACACGTACCATAGCAATATTAATGAACCACAGTTAGTTAGGAAGTATTAGAGTGACCTCTGCACTTGAACACTGTATAAAGTAATCCTTCCTAGTGTCTAACTGTCAACTCCCAAGCTAACACTATACACGTGGGTGGTTTCACTATCGGTTATTATGGTGGCTATACTACTTGTACAAAGCCTGTTATATAGTAGGATCACTAGTAACACAAGACACTGCAGATCATTTAGAGGAGAAAATGTAGTTCATGTCGAAAGGCTTATTGCATTTATCACCTGTAGTTAACAAAAAGTATGCGATTATCCTGACGAGAATTCAGATGTAATTACATAAAAACCAGAATACAGTAACATTGAGAAAATTTAATCAGCTTTTTCACCTGTAGTTAACAAAAAGTACATGATTATACTGACGAGAAATCAGATGTTATTACATAAAAACCACAATACAGTAACATTGAGAAAATTTAATCAGATTTTTTATCTGTAGTTAACAAAAAGTATGCATTTATCCTGACGAGAAATCAGATGTAATTACATAAAAACCAGAATGCAGTAACATTGAGAAAATTTAATCAGCTTTTTCACCTGTAGATAACAAAAAATATACGATTGCCCTGACCAATTATATATAAACAGAGAACAATAACAACTTAATACAGGCTTATGTTTAGCTGCATGTTTACATAATGTACAAATTTAGTGTACGTCTGACAGAACATTGACATCTAACAAACCGAATGTCTAATGCTCTGTAACGGTTAACATAAGATAATAAATCTTGATGCATTGTAACATTGGTTGTAGAGGAAAAATTTAATGAAGTGATCAAGTAGCATCTGTCTGTGATAAAATTTTGAAAATAATTGTCAACCTCGTCATTAAGAGGATGCATGAAATGCATGTTGGGTAATTATCAGTGCAAGAACATAGGTTTAGAACATGGGAGGCTTCATATACAATGTTGTGTGTATTTATGCTATTTATGAATAACTCGTTCTGTGTGACAGTCATGGATTGTTGTTGTGTTGTTATAGTCCAGTATTATGTCATAAAACTACTATACCTGGTAAATCGCCCTTTATCTGTCGTCTGTCCGTCTTAAACATTTTAATGCTATTTCTGGAAACGTTTTTATACATACTTTGAAAAAGGGATGACCATTGATTTAGACAGTTAAGCTGTCACTGCTATATCTCTGTGAATTGTTTTCCTATTAGATAATATAGATTTCCTTTGTCCCAAGTGGTACATAATCAGTTTTAAGAGTGATAACATGAGATAAACAAGAAGGCCAACATGTAGCTGTCTTGGGTCTTGAATTATAAAAATTGTTACTCCTTCAGACCAGGCGAGGTGTTTCTCAAATTTCACATGTAGTCTTCCTTTGGAATAATCTGACAAACTTTCAGACAATTTGGAGAGTCGTAAGTAGGAATTTTTCAAACATATAAGTTTTTATTCACCATAGATATTATAACTGTCATTACAACAGAGAATTTAAACGAAGGAAAAAGCAATGGAAAAGATCAAAATTAAACTGAAACCAACGAACAGAAAGTGATGGTGAGCGCCAAAATTCCTGCGGGTTCTTTTTTTCGTAAATGCTAATGATCTAATTGCTTTGAGAAGGATTTTAATAATTACTTTTGTATTATGTTTCAGATTATTGGAGTTTGGCTCGCACTACGATACAGAAATCAGAAAGATCCTAAAGCAAATCCAAGTGCATTTTTATAGTTGTAGGTAGTTACTAGTTATGTATTTAATTTTCTTTAGTTTTACACATAGTGGGCCTGTTTTAGTGAAGTGAAACCCAGCCAGATCTGTTGTACACCAGGGTATTTGTGATTGGGTTGTGATAAGTGTCTTAGCAGACTAGGTAAACCATGAAAGGACACTAAAACAGTGGCCACCTGTTTAATATTGTTTTATTTATTGTTTTTGGAGTTCTGTATTCAGTGATAGACATCAGTGTACCAGTATTTTATGTTAACAGAGTCAAAACTTTATCACTGATTTAATCACTAAATGTTGCTATCTAGGTTTGTAATAATTTCTGTATTATTGTATCAACTGCTACCACTTTGCAGAAATTTTGATAATACATATGGTGATAGACACACATTTCATTTATAAGCCACATTTGTATCCTGGTTTAGAAAGAATGTGAACAGTTTTGTCCTATGGAGTAAGACAGCTTCTGATGTCACTTGTCATGTGTCTAGAAGTTGTGGACAATCTAAAGTGTCAAGGTGACATAGTGCTGCTCTTGACACCTGTCACCTGTGAACAGTTTTGGACAGTCTACAGTATCAAGGGGACATAGTACTGATGTTGACAGTATCAGTGTTACCTAATATTGCTTTTGACACTTGTCATCTGTAAAACCATCTGGTACAGTATACAGTACTAAGGTTACATAGTACTGTTGTTGACACCTGTCACCTGTAAAACTGGGACCATCAACAGTGTCAACGTGAAAGTACTATTGACACCTATCATCTGTAAAACAGTCTTGGGCAGTCTACATTATCAAGGGGACATAGTACTGTTATTGACACCTGTCACCTGTAAAACAGTGTGTGACCGTCAACTATGTCGAGGTAACATATTACTTTGACACCTGTAATTATTCTGTACATGTATGGTAGCCTATAAAGTTGGTATGATCAGTTGTTAGGGCTAATGCGTTGCTACAGATCACAAGAACAGATTGAGATTGAAAGGATGAAATAAAAATGTTCCTTGTTGACTTATGGCATACTGATTAACATTTTTGATGCAGGATTCCTATAAATTATATGTTACTGATAATGTTCATAGTTTTTCTTGTATTGATTTGTAAGTAGCAGTTCTATGTATAATATTGTATAAACATCGTATGAGAAGTGTAAACAATATAGTATAAACATGGTATGAGAAGTGTATATACAATATTGTATAAACATCGTATGAGAAGTGTAAACAATATAGTATAAACATGGTATGAGAAGTGTATATACAATATTGTATAAACATGGTATGAGAAGTGTAAACAATATTGTATAAACATGGTATGAGAAGTGTAAACAATATTGTATAAACATGGTATGAGAAGTGTATAAACAATATTGTATAAACATGGTATGAGAAGTGTAAACAATATTGTATAAACACGGTATGAGAAGTGTATTAACAATATTGTATAAACATGGTATGAGAAGTGTATAAACAATATTGTATAAACATGGTATGAGAAGTGTATATATAATATTGTATAAACATGGTATGAGAAGTGTATAAACAATATTGTATAAACATGGTATGAGAAGTGTATATATAATATTGTATAAACATGGTATGAGAAGTGTATAAACAATATTGTATAAACATGGTATGAGAAGTGTATATATAATATTGTATAAACATGGTATGAGAAGTGTATATATAATATTGTATAAACATGGTATGAGAAGTGTATAAACAATATTGTATAAACATGGTATGAGAAGTGTATATATAATATTGTATAAACATGGTATGAGAAGTGTATATATAATATTGTATAAACATGGTATGAGAAGTGTATAAACAATATTGTATAAACATGGTATGAGAAGTGTATAAACAATATTGTGTATAAACAATATTGTATAAACATGGTATGAGAAGTGTATATATAATATTGTATAAACAATATTATAAACAATATTGTATAAACATGGTATGAGAAGTGTAAACAATATTGTATAAACATGGTATGAGAAGTGTAAACAATATTGTATAAACATGGTATGAGAAGTGTAAACAATATTGTATAAACATGGTATGAGAAGTGTATCTGTGACATAACAACAACATACTAGTTACTAATTAGAGGTAAGATATTTGTAGATAAGACAGGTTTGTTCATACCACAAAGTTTAGCCTATTAGTTGTTTCCATTAGTGACGTTTTGTTAAGGACTACAATTTTTGTTTGAAATGTGAATTCTAAATTTGGTTGATAAGCATATGTATTAATCATACTACAAATAGTTAATAACATTTTGTTTCTAAAGTATTTCTTTGAAGAATATTATCAAGTGATATTGATGTACCATAGAGGTTACTTTCTCCGTGGAGATAACTGATGTATTTAGGAAATACGGACTCGGTTTGTCTGTAGGAGATAAGAAAATGGTGCTGAACACTTCTCTATTCCATGTAGTATATTTTCTAATATACTACAGATTTTTAAGTGAAAAATGAAAATTATAGATTTCATGTTAAATGATCTTACCTATTAAGGTATATGTTTGGCTCCTGGAGGTTCACTTGTTCTAGATTATAATGGTGACAGATGAAGCTGGTAGCAGTTGTGTAGTAACTGTATGTTGTTATCAATGTCAGGTGGTAAAAGGTTGTATATTTGGGCTGCATCTGATATAATAGCTAGAATTTTGATAAACTAGAAATCCGTAGTATGTTTGTGTATGTTGGTTTTATTTAAATGAAGGGAAGGAATTTCACTCTAATCATTTTAGTATAGTAATAATAACAACTGCACTCTTTATAAAGTACTTAATGAGAGGTCAGAACATTTCATTTAAACATCTTTTAGACCAGGTAATAAAATTGAGATTTCACTCATGTATAGTATACTGTGACAACCATGAACATGTTCTTAAAATGTTAAGTGTCCGTGTCATGGCTTAAAAGGCTGTTTTGTTGTTTTTGTTTTTTGTTTTTAATTAAATCTTTTATTACAAATTAGAAAATTTTATTGCAACATGGTTAGTTACCATATAGAAGTGAGTGCAATAGTAGCAGATAGAGTTGTATTATTTTCCAGTATATGTATGTAAATAACTTGACACATTCGATTTTAATCACTGACATTCCTGCGCCACCATCCTAGGTACGTCCTAGTTATCTACCCTGAATACGGGGTGTCATCTTTCATACCCTCTTTGGTCCTCTGATGGGCAATGGAAATTACAATGGTCACTGATTAAAGTTTTGAGGGCACTTCCATTTTATCATTACCATGACACCATTAAAGACATCAACATACAGTATATATAGATGTATGTCCTCAAATGAGTACATAGTGAATAGGTTTTGTCTTTGTTGATCGACTTCCACAATTGAATTTTCTACCACGATTTAACATTGCAATGTAAATAGTACAGTATTTAAACCTATCATATAGAAGAGAGTGCTGTTTCAATGACTAAAAGAAAATCTATTAGTTTCACACAAACACAAATGAAACTTGGTATGGAAATAATGATCTGACAAAAACACAGGCTGGTTTGTGACAGCATTATAAAGTCACTCCAGACCTACTGTTGTGAAGGCTATTGTACGTAACCATAATCATACACCTGGTCTAGTCTTTTATTCTCATGTATGTGTGAAGTGAAAATTTGACTTAAGGATGTATGCTATGTCATTACTTTATGATTTCTTTTCTTTTCTCCCCGATCTCATCTTTCTGAATGGCATTTTGAACTGATTTACCCATACTGGATTGACGGTAAAAAATGTTTATAAGAATGCTTCATTTTAAGTCACAGATAACGCTATTGAACAGATAACACTATTGAAACACTTCAAGGGAGATCAGTCTGTAAATCACTTACCTTTATAGCAAACTTACAGGTGCATCAGTGACTTTTTACCGCAGTTTGTCTGTATCATTTTTACGAGGACTTTAATCACATAGTAATGTGTAAGCATATATCCTAAAGTCTTCAAAATTATGCACTACATTGTTATAATTGTATTTGTATTTAGAAGTAATTTACAAAATGTATTAATTTTCAGTGTTAACTTTCCTGATTTATGGTCAATAATTACATGCTCAATGATTTGAAGGTAAATATTTGTATGTTTACATAAGGTCTTCCTAATGTCTATCATTTGTTATATTGCAAATTGTTTTTTTTTCATATCTAGTTTTTGGGGGAATGAAATTTGAAAGAAGGTATCTTCCCTGAAGTATGTGTACATCAGTAGATTTATTTTGTTGTGTGTGTAGATAACCTCCACAAGTTCTCTATATGCAGTGTATATAATGGGACATCAGTAAAATTTTCTTAGAAAAGATTCATAATTAAATCAACAAATTATTTGAAATATTGATTTCAATCAAAATCAGGTCCTAGTGCAATATGCATGTATGATTTCCTTAACAGTATTTACATAAATTTTGCAAATATCTGTTTACTGTGGTTTTCTGTAGTGGTAAATCTAAATGATTCTGTAGTTATTCTACAGTGCCTAAGTGATATCTCCTTTTTTCACCGGTTCCATGGTAACAGTATAACGATTCATGCTTTGTAATAACTGCTACCGTAAATTTGCAGGTATAGTGCGCAATTGGGTATAATGCGCAGGTACTTTTTTGGGGTCAGATTTTAAAAAAAAGGCTTGAAAAAGTGTGCACTATACACAGAGATTTACGGTATTTTTTTCACATCGGAAGAATTAATACCAGTATATAATGGAGATTAATTCATAAAAAAAAAAAAAAAAACGGTATGGTGCTCGATCTTTAGCAAGTTCATAATTGACCAGTTGTATTCAACTTAACTATTATAACCTCAGCACTACTTTTAGCTTCAATTCAGATTTTAATCAATGAGATTTATTTCTTAGTATTCAAAACTAACACCATCTTTGGCTTGCAAGAAGTAGAATATGGATACATCATATAAGACCTGCTGTAGATATTTATTGATTATTTGATGATGTAAGTCAAGAACCTTAATGTTGTATTTGTACACCGATAAAATCTTCTGTCAGTAGGTTTCAATTACCTATGATTCTTGTCATGATGACAGTATGGACCAGACTACTGTATTCTCAGGAAAGTGACAAAATGTACAGATATAAGTTATAGATATGTTACATAGTATAACATGTAGATTTTGGCTTCATCAGATAATCAATGGCTAATTTAACCAGGGTAAAATGCCAAGTATGTCAAAACTAACATCGCTTATTTACTTTTTTGTTACTTTTGTGTTACAGTTCCATTGATACGTATAAATCTACCTGTTTATTATTTAATGAAATTCTTACTTTTGTTTCTGATTTTCAATGTAGTTTTGACTTGACTTAATCATTCCACATAGAGAAAGTCAAAACAGTGAGCCAGGAAGGCTGACAAAATCTGTGTCGATGAAAGTGTTCCTTCGCAATGATGGCATATAACAGATTACATTTTAAAATAAAAGTTATGGAAAGATCAGACATTCAAATTCAAACTGGTTACAGTGATGTAAATTTTTAGCATTGAGCAAATAATATGATATATATTGGCCATGGAAAAGGCAGAAATGTTTGACACCAGTGCGTAAGTTTTTGCATTAGTTTCTGATACTCTGTCATGTTATTTTTGCTTATTGTGAAATCCATCATATCTTGAACAATAGATACAAATGGATAACACTTTATTTGATCATAAGAAATGATGTTCCCAAACTTATTTATCCTTCCTGATGTTCTCATATTTAAGTGATTATGCTTCAAGCCAATGATTACCAAGAGAAAAGACATTCCTAAGTGCTCATTTGTATCTCAGTATTTTCAGGAATTCTACCTGTAGCTTTAACAATCTGTATTTCATACACGTTGAAATAAAGTTGAAATTGAAACAAGAATATGTAAATGTATTGACATTGTAAATCCAGGGATAGTTCGGCATGTGCTTTAGAAAGAAATCCAGTTCTATTTTGTTTTGATGTTTTAAATCCTGTTTTATCTTGTGTATGATTTGTACTTTACATGTGGTTTGTGTGTGTGAATGGGGAAGCTGTATACAAATGTAAGAGGTATTGAAGGTCTATATGTATTAATAAACTTGTTATAATCACAACTAAATACCTTCGTTTTTTTTCTTCCCAGAAACCCTAGTCGAAATGAACCTGTTACACTCCCTTATTCTGCAATTTAGAAAAAAAACTCTTGGTTGGAAGTATTACTCCAACAGATTTACAGGCCTTGTGGTACTTCTGTTTATGTAGAACGACTTGTTTTATGGTTTTAACACATTTAACCCATTACTTTGAAAGTGAATCTACATCATTCATTTGAACATACCTAAAAGGCCATAACGTCAGCAAACTACTGGACCGATTTCGCATTAACCTTGGCCTTTTTAGCTCTATTTGATATGTTAACTCATTTGAATCCTGGGTCAAGGTTATTCATTTGAACAAACTTGAAATCTTAAACCAGCTTGCCACCAGCCTGATATGACACTTGGATACTTTATTGTCCCTGTGAAACACATTTGAGGGGATATTAATTTGGGCTCTGTGCATCCATCCATTCGTTTATCCAAGGGTTCTTGCAAGCTAACTTAAATAAGTAATGTTGGCACCAATACAGAGTTAAACACCTTTGTTCATGCTATAATAAAGAGGATTGTTCAGAAAATAATCTTGCTAATTTCCCATCACCATATATTCTTTAAATAAAACATATATTGGAAAGTTGAACAAGAGTACTGCAACAGCAAAGTGGCATAACTCTTAGTCAAATCATCTAATCAAAACCCTGTTCAGGAAAACACAATTTCATATCATGGTGATTAAGCCTACAAGTTTCATAAAGATTGGCTGAAAAATGTTGGAGGAGATCTCCAAACAAGATTTCTATAGTTAAATAAACAAAGGGCCATAACTCTTATTGAAATCGTCTAATCAAAACCCCGTTCAGGAAAACACAACTTCATATCATGGTGATTAAGCCTTTCAAGTTTCATAAAGATCCGCTGAAAAATGTATGAGGAGATCTTCGGACAAATAAAAGTTTACATCGGACGGACGGACAGCGCCATACCATAACACGTCCGTCTTTCGTGTGATACTGGTTTCACCCTTTGATTAGCATAGGACTACCTAGATCACAGCAGTGTGTTGTGTAATGTTTGTAGTACCTGATCATGTAAATATGTATTGTAGATGTAATATTAGGCTAAACTTTTCACAACAAAATGTCACTTTCTAAAAGCTTATGATATATTTATTGAAATGTATAAACATAATATTACAGGTCACATTTGTCATATATGCTGTACACTTGAACTGAAGCAAGGTATTGATATAAAGAAAAGGGTATTTTTATAAAAAAAAAATTTCTGAGTTTAACATCTACTGTACATGGTAATATACCATCATTCAATTACTTACTGGTATCATTGAAATAACTGAAATCTTAATTTACATAATGTATCAAATATACACCAGTATTTTCATAATTAACAAGAATAATTGAGAAAGTTAAGTAGTTCAACATATTGTGAAACAGTAAACATGGAAACATAGGCCAGAGGTAAATTTATACTAAATACTCGAAAGTCATTCAGCAGCAAGCACATTCATATTAGCTTCTTACGCAGAGATTAAATGATCATTACTGGCCAGGGCAATGGACAGAAATTATCATAAAGTGAGAAATATACATGTTCCTAATTAAGACTAAATTTTGACACGATTATATGGCTATAAGCATATATATACAATGTGTATACTTATAAATCAGAAATATATTAAAACATTAACACACAAAAATCTGACCTCCTGTGATGTGTCAGGCAACAACAATAAAATGTAATACAAACTGATATATGTAAAACGAATTATGAGTTAAATGTAAGGAAGCACAGTATGTGTTCATCATGTGTCTTTTAAAGAAGGTAGGATTTAGTATGAGTCCCTCTTTCATGTATAAATTATTAATCACAGAACTTGTCTACACTATCCTGTACACACAGTGTCATATTTGCTATGTACTCCATAATACCTATCAACAGTAACTCTAGTTTAACAGATCTACTTGTGTCATAATGTTTCACTCCTAAGATATTGTTTCACTCCTAAGATTATGTTTGACTCTTAAGATTATGTTTCACTTATAAAACATGCTTTACCCTTAAAAAGAAACACCGTGGTAAAATCACAGTAAACATGGTACAGTGCAATGCACTGTAAGTGTAGGAAATAACAGACTATTTTTTCTCCCAGAAAAGAAAATTATCAATAAGGTTCATCTTGAAGCATTCAACCCTACATAGTATACCATAACAAAATTTCAAAGATTTTGTCAAAAATATTCTTTTTTTTTTTCTAAATAAATAAACAGTATTTATTGATAGAAGAACAAATGAATAGAACTGGTGATGAAACAACAAAAATCAATTCTACTAAAAAATTTAGAAAGAGTTTGATGAAACTTTTGATCCACAAAATTACCTGGTATGTGTTACAATACAAGTTTGACAAATCCGTATAAAAACAGTACAACCTAATCATGGCGATAACAGAAAAAATATTTTCCTGAAATCTAACAATGATTCTTCTACACAATAAATTTACTAATGAGCTGATTGACACTGAGAAAAGAAATGAAGCAAATGTTAGTAAATCCCTACAGTGGAGATAATGTACAAGTAGCAGTATACTAGCTACCTAAAAATAGACATAAAAAATAGCACCATTAACCATGTTATCCCCAGCATGGTCAAACCAATTAATTACTTCATTACAGCATATCGTGAAAGAAAATACTTAATTATCTTTGGTTAAGATACAATTTTCACAAAAAAAACTCACATTGTGAGTTTAACCCCAACAGTATGAAACCAATTTCATTATGGTTTACACTGAAAATGCACAAAATTTCTGTAGAAAATCTTTCATCAAGAAAGTGGAAGAATATCTTACATTCATTAATAAGCAATGACATGATATCTTCTACATTTTTAGAAAAAAAATTCAGTATTCTGAATAGTTTAACACCTTTATTAAGGTGAATATTCATTTCAATCAATGTCGATAGTTACTGAATTAATTAATGAGGAGAGAAGTACCAAGAAATCTGTGCGAAGTCCAAGGACATTAATCATACTGAAAACAACATAGTATTTCCACGATTTTCTGTAGTCCTTGTCGAGTGAAGTAAATCTTTAATACTTGGTAAATATCATTCTAACATTCACATGATACCATAATTTGTGTTTTTTCTGCCATTTAAGTGAATACTTTGTACTCATGACTGTGGTTTCAGATCTACTCCTTCCAAAATAGATGAGTGTAAAATAAGCCAAAGTAGATTTTTGCCAGCCGCACAGAATGTCATTTACTACTGAGTACCAGGATGTATAGTTTATATACTTCCCATTCACAATTCATCTTTCTATCATCCAATGAAATCAAAAGGCAGAGAAGTTGCTTAAAATTAAATTCTTCCAGTATTGTAATGTCTAGCTGTGTGTTTATAACCCAATATGAATCCCTGCTGTTTTAAGTAAGATGAGTATTCTGTATCTGTGACTGCTCTTCCTCTCAACCTCGGCTTATCTTCTTAGACTTGTCATTTGTCTTTGGAGGCGGGGCAGATTCCGCAGCAATATGGCGACCGTACAAACTGTTGATAATTGTAAAGAAGACAAACTATAATCACTGGGCAACTCATTATACAACACTGATATGGTATTGGTTACACTGATATTAAATCTACCATAAAGATTTTTAAAAAATCACGGTGCTGAGACTCTTCACACTCAGGAGGCCAAAACACCCTTCTTTTACATAATAAATTGAATGCCTGGTGAAAAATTCCTGAGGAGTATGCTTTCATACACATAAAATATTGAATTTTTAATGCCCATCTCAGTGTCAGTGATGAAAAAGCCATTTTTCTGCTATTTTCCAGTGTTTCTGATTCCAAGAATTAATCATTTTCAGGAACGTTTGAGGTAGGTCTTTTTATCTCTGTTACAGCTACAGGGTGGTGATCTTTACAATAACTGTCTTATGATCTAGAAATAATACATGCAGCATAAATACATGTGGTCTCATCACACAAACATTAATACAAAATACACAATCAAATGATGGGGATCTAAACCATTTCCATGTCATCCATAGTAAATCTCCACAATATTAAATCCATTTAGCAAGTTATACTGATATTTTGAAAATTAACTTACAATCGGTAGGTGTCAGATCTTATGTAGTCAAATACATGCGACACACCCACTTGGTATTGGTCAGCTATTGGGGTCACCCAAGGATTGTTTTCTCCACGGAACACCTGCTTTGATCCCACAAGGTCAAGATTTCCTAAAAAACATATGGGATATTCCTCAAATTAATACTAATGGACTTTAATAGTTTCATGCAAGATTTTGACTAACATTTAATCGTGACCAAAAGGAAATTCTTGGAACAATGATTCATTTTGCATGTACAATGTATAAGAAAAGTGTTATCTTAAGACATTTTCAATATGAAAACTAAGATTATCCTAGACACTATCCAGGAAATCTCTCTCCATAACAATACAAACCTATCTCTGGAGGTAACACTGTAAGTCTGTTACCCTGGACGTGCAGCTCTTTAAGACGTGGCAGTTCTCCAACCTCTTTAGGGATAGCTATCAGATCATTGTCCCTCAAAACCAACTACAAAATCAAAACATAATGCATGTATCTCTTTTCCATCACAAATAGTCAAACAATTAGAGTCCCTGACACATATATACACCGTTTATATCTACCTCTACAGAGCTAATCAAAAATTGGATTCACCAACACATACATACACAAATAAGATGTTAATTTGTCTCTACAGCCAATTCCTAACACATAACACATACATATATACACAGCGTTTATCTGTGTCTTCAGGAAGTCCTAAACACATAAATATGTTCACATTCACCTGTCTCAACAACAAGTCTCAAATAACTTACATACACAGTTACCTGTCTCACAGTAACCTGTCTCACAGTAACCTGTCTCTTAGTTACCTGTCTTACAGTTACCTGTCTCACAGTTATCTGTCTTACAGTTACCTGTCTCTTAGTTACCTGTCTCACAGTTACCTGTCTCACAGTTACCTGTCTTACAGTTACCTGTCTTACAGTTACCTGTCTCACAGTTACCTGTCTCTTAGTTACCTGTCTTACAGTTACCTGTCTCACAGTTACCTGTCTCTTAGTTACCTGTCTCACAGTTACCTGTCTCTACAATGAGTTCCTATATATATATTTTCCACATATCTCTACAATCAGTCCTTAACAGATACACACATAAAAATGGCATTTATCTATTTCAACAAGTCCCAATAACATTTTTGGGTCTCCAACAACACATATATCAACAGTGTTTATTCTCTACATAAAGTCCTCAACACATAAATATTTACAAACACAAATCTGTCCCTAAAGTCCCCAAATACATAAACAACACATAAACAATTTTTTTATCTCTACAACGTTTATAAAAATTCCCATATTACCATGATATTACCTCACATCCAAAACCTTTGCTATACCTATAGAAAAAAAATTCTATCACAAATGTGCAAGGCAATAAACTATAACAACACTATATATCACAATTATTGCATTGAAATTTTCCTAAAAATATTCACAGGCAGTCAGAGAAATAGACAAAACTAGTATGTTATCTCCATACCCTCATTTTACCTTTACCACAGGAGCTAGCTTAGAAAAAAAACATGCATTTTACACACACCTCCATCTACATTAGTAAAGGAACTGTTCAAATGCGTAATATCATTTTGAAAGGCATATTCAAAGAAAAAAATCACTTGAAATGTGATATGACAATGTAATCACACCAAACTATCAGCTGACCTTTGTAGATTCAATGACTTCAAACATTTAAAAAGTTATACAAGTATCATAAGTTGTAAGTTACTCACAATCTGAAGACTCTTTAACCTGCCTATCTCTGGAGGAATCACTTCAAAATCATTATCTCCAAGGTATAGAGCTCTCAGTGTATCTGAAATCACAATGATACAAATTTTAAGGTTAAAACAAAAGAAAGCGATGCTCCACCTAAAAACTCTCAAGAAAGTTCTGGTGAGCTTTACTAGTAACTAATAAAGTTAAAAATCAATAATATTCTTGTTAAAGGCATGCATATTGCAATACTGATTGTTTTCTCTGTATATTTAATTCCGCATGTAAAACAGTACAAGCTACGTACACATCTACCGGTATTTACTCATTACAAAAGTTATGTTTAGTCTTATAGCCAAATAAAATAGTTATTTCAACATATTCTTTCCTTCTTCATGGACTTAAATTTTTGCACTAGAATACACCTTAAAACTTTTTCATTTTTGCAAATGTTACATAAGCTTAAATAAAAGAATTTGGAATGGTCAAAAGTTCATAAACATTAGAGAAAATAATCTGTTACATGTTAAAGTCATATAAGCCCCATGTATAATACTGTGATGTAAGTGATATCACAATAAGTAACATGTTACAAACATTGTCTTTGTATTTAGAAGTATATATCTTGTATGTGAATGTTTGTACAATGTATATATTGACCTACAATGTTTCAAAGGCTTCCCACATCTAAGACCAGGTTTTAAACAAGGCATAGTGAATCCTTTTATGAGTCAATCCCCACATTGTTACCAATTAATGTTCATATATTACTTGTTTTGTCTGTAAGTTAATGGTCATCTTGTAGATATGCTTGACTGGTCATTGGTCATTCAAATCATTGTAACACCACACACAATTTTCTAACTGGTTAAGATCAACTAAAATCTATTCTGATACGTCAAATTACATGTACAAAGCCTTTACCCAAACAAAAGAAATTTCCAGGGAATGATCTCTCATTCAGATTGTTGTATGTCAGGTCCAAAACTTCCAACACAGGAAAGGCACCAAAACCACGAGGCAAGGTATTCAGTTTATTCATCCTACAACCAAAATGATAAGATGTTTATTGGTGTAGTGTACATGTATTGATAATAACATCAACATTTATATATATCAGGGCTCTCGATCTGCCAGATTTGGGGCCAATATTCGGCCCCATTCCCAATGCAAAATAGTATCTTTTTTTCCCAATTTAGAACCCAAGTTTTCCCAATTCTAAGGAAAACCCAGTTATTTTTCCCAATTCTAAGGGCCCCGGGCCCCAGTCCCAAAATGGGGTGTGAGAGCCCTGTATATATATGTTCTTGGTAATGAAATTTTTTGTTTTCAAATACTGGACATACATCCCCTGATGCTGATTTGTTTGTTGTTTTTTGGCTGGCTCAGTATTGTCTGCTGGAAAAGACAATATTGTTTCCCTGCTGTTGCCTTTAACTTCAAAATATTTATTGATATATTGAAAATAAACAAGAGATCCTAGAGGGATCTTGGCACCCATCTTTGTGTGATCTGTATATGTTCTTTGAAAGTTCCCTTCTTTTCTCTGTTTTTGCTTTTAATGATAAGACATTTGAACATTCCTTTGCAAAAATAGTAATGATAATCTTTACCTAACAAATCCAAGATGGACGTCTGAAAGCGGTTTTATTTCTGCTGATCAGTCTCAAAAACAAACAGGCACAAGAAGAGACCAAAGGGAACAAACATACAGAATTTGAGAGAGATCCAATAAATAGTTCGTAAGATGTAGGGATAACAATCTTTACTAAGCAAAATCCAAGATGGCTGCCTGTCAGTCATTCTATTATTTTCAATCAGTCCCAAAAATGCACAACAAGGGATCCAGGGAAACAAACACATGAAATTTGAGAAAGATCTTTGTCAAAGTTCTTAAGAAATAGCAATTAAAAAACTAGCAGAGTCAAAATCATAGATGGTCGCCTATCGGCCATTTTGTTTTTCTGATCACACCAAAAAACAAATGGGTACAACTAAGTACCAAAGGGCACCTACATATGAAATGTAAGAGAGATCCATCCAGTACTTTTCAAGAGATAGCAATATAAAAAATTGACGGACAGACGGACCAAAGACGTAGGACAATTTGAATAGCCAACCATCTGATGATAGTGGACTAAAAATCTTACCCAAGGTTTAATATCTTCAGCTTCATCATGGAATTGATTGTACTTGGGATTTCCTGAAAGAAGAGTGATGTTTTATTAACCTTGATTCAACAGATGTGATACCCAGAGGTTCACTCATCCCCACAAATTTACACAATTGTTTTAATGTGTCTGATATGGACTGTTAGCCTTTGTCAATTACCATCCCTTATAAAACCTTAATAGATAAATACACTAGTCATCTATTTTAGAGCAGGTTGACCCATTGTATATATATAAAAGAGTTTTGATTGATAATTTTATATGTCTATTTATGAATAAGTTACATTATTTCAAATCAGAGGACAAAGTTCCTAATGAAAGGACAGGTTCATTCACACATAGCACAAGAGCTTTAGCATGCCTACATGGCATAACTTTTGGAAAAAGTGAAAATTTAGTACAGGTCATGAATAAAACGTGTTCACAGTTTCTTTAGAACTACTCTTGTGCTTCAGGTGATGTCAGAGATGAACAAACAAAGTGATGAGAAAAAAAAGATTTTAATCAACTTTCTGAGTCCCTAAGAATGCTGTGGTGTGTATCACATATTCACATTATCAGAACAAGAAACAAAGCAACCAACCTTAACATGATTATTAAAGAGATTCAGGTGCTCCAGGTTAGCTAGTTCTGTGATGTTTGCAGGAATTGCTGAAATTACAGAAATACATTATGTTGACATTGGTTAAAATTAGGCATAAAGATAAGCAGAGATGAATTAGTTTCCAAAATCTCCAACTTTATTTCCAAAACTTGTTATAACTAGCTGAATATCAAATTAAATCATAAGAGACCTGTTCAAGCTATTACAATCGCTATTTATTATAACTATCACCATCAGACACATGTCACAAAGACCTAAAATGAAGAGTTTTCACAATTTTTATTATACTACATAGTTAAATACATCTATCTTATATCACTGTCACAACCAAGTGAGCCAAGGTATTCTTTTAAGAAACTAATTTTAGCATTATCAAGCTGCATTTAAGAACTGATTTATAAAAACCTTACATATGTGACAAGTAAATACTGGTACTCAAAACCTTCAATCTACAAATCACAGGCAATCAATATTAATGTAGAATAGTAAAGAATTGTAAATGTTTATTTATAAAATTTACACTATAGTTATATAATGTAAAAAATAGAAGTAACTTTTTGTTTCAAAATTTTTATTTTTTCATGTTTTATCGTTTTATTACACACATTACCTGTTATTTTGTTATGTGTCAGTGTTAACCTGGTTATGTGCTGCAAATCCACTGAAAACAGAGACAAAGCCACATAATAAGTCATTACTTGTTTTTAAAAATGAAATTTAAATACCATAAGTACTGGAAAAAGTTACAAAAAATGTCCAACGTTAGCCAACTCTATGATATCATAACTAGCACTCTTTTAAGTATGAATTTACTGAAATATGCATCATATATCATTGTAAATATCATTCACATTTGGCAGTCCATAACATTTTACAATTGTACTTTCAGATGGTCAGGTACTGAGATTACAGTGACTGCTGACTTGCAATTACATTGAAATACAAAGACACCATATGCAGAAGGTTGGCACCTTTTCCCCATTCTTAATCACTTGTCATTTTCCTTGCTGACAAAGCTACCACATGATAGCCCTGCACAACTGCAGGGTAAATAGAATCCTTTACATATGGCTGCTGGTTTATATCTGGATGTTGGGTCAACAAGCACTCTACATATCCACATCAACTTATTCAAGCTGGAAACATTGTTTTGAGAAGATATGTATGTAGTACTGATAAAATACTAACCACAATTAACAACTTGACTAGAGAAAACAAATTTCTCTTTATCTCCACCTGTTGAGTATCAGACTACTAAAATAGAGGTTCAAGGGTTCTTATGGCAGAATAGGATTAAGCAATGATCTCTGTTACATTGGCACACTTCTGGGGACTCAGGAATAATACTTAGTGTTTATTTCTTAAGTATCTATGTAATCCCTGGGAAGCTTGAGGCCAAGTTATTTCCTAGAGGAGTTTGTAAAAATGGTAATATAACAACCACGATATGCTGTTTGGCTAGAAGGAAGTTTTCTTTACGTCAATCGGATGAGTGTCAGACTATCAATCATGTGAGAGTCAGACTGTTAAATCAAAAGTCTTGGGTTCGATTGCTAGCTGAGGCATTATTACAACGAATAAACAATGACCTCTGTTATTTGTAGGAAATCTCTTTTACACCCAGGAATTCCCAATATACATTTTCTTCTCAAAGGATAGCATCATATAAACACTGATTTTTTTTTCAATTTATTTAAAGGACGTGTAAGTTGTCTGAATTTCATCGCATCAAGACTATTAGAGGCCTTTCGCCTTTCAAAAGCAAAGTTGTTCCCTAATTATGGATCAGATATTAAACATCTGAGATTCATTTTTGATGGGGAATCTTCAATTTTTCAACCACGGAACTAAAGTCATCTATACTTGGTGTGTAATTATACTATCCATTGTTGGTTGAACAATCTACCAGCAGGTGTGCTTGACTGACATGTACTGAATACTTACACAGTCCTGGCACTTCCGACAGATTAACGATGGACTTATCGACGAGCTCCAATTCAGGATTTTTGGATTCCCTGTTCTCCTCCACATACTTCTTGGCCTTACCTGCCATACTTAAGATTTGATCTTTCTATAACAGTGTCTGTAATGAATCATTCACCAAACTTGTCGGATGTCCCGTTTTGGAAGAAATCAAAACAGGAAATGCCTAACAACAGCTCTATCATTGGATATATCCGAGGTAAATAGTGCGTGAACAAAATTGAAAAACGTTCATTTTGTTGAATAACTTGTGTACCATTTGATATTGAAAATCTTCTACTTATATTTGGGTATAACATTAGAATCTAGCATGCCTTCATACTAAATACGAATTCGCGGAAGAATGCTAGATATTGGAACTATTTTCAAGATGTCAGCGCCCATGACCTAGCATTAGCATTAGTCTGAGTGAATCGATATATCTTGTCCAAGGAATAAAAGACGTGAATCAACTGAAGAAATCCCATTTTAGCAATGGTATGGCAGCAGAAGATTTGACATGCATATGTATAGAATTGTGTATTTACATATTACGTTATCCAATATTTAGACTGGTCCACACGTTTCCTTTTCTGATACGTTCCCAGTTTTGACGGGTATGCCAGAGTAAGGTTACGGTATCTTCATCCAATTTACGACATATCATTTAGTGGTATGCATTGTCGTTTGTGGAAATACGAGTTAGACAGTGTCTTAAAAGAGCAAAGCTTACATGCAACTATGACATTCTCTATTGAAAGAACCTAGACAATAAAACACCAATAAATGTTGGTTTGTTGGTTAGTGCTTCAAGAAATGAAGAAAATTTGGTATGCTACAGCGAGATATCAATCGCGCAGTTATTGTGATGTTGACGTTTTGTGTGCTTTTGTATATGTTGTGACGTCATGATATTGAGTGACGCTATAAGACCAGTATTTTTCTAATAAGTTATCCACACATGCAATCTCAAATTCTCTTGCCTGAAGTGATCGACATGTGTATCGGACATGTGAATAAACTTCCATTTCTGATGATATCACTAAATCACAGACGCTTGGGTTAGCTAAGTGTGACCAGGAAGTACACATGCATTTCATAAAATCATTAATTGAACGGTAATGACATTTTGACGAAAATACAAATTTTAAAAAAGCATTTATGGTGCGAAAGTGGTGGATATCTCTGTGTATGTGTGCACCTTTTCTAAAGGATTAGATGAAAGTTTTTATTGTTTGATCCATTTTTTTCGCTAATGAGCCATATTTCTTGGTAAAAGTATCTTTTTTATAACAAAAACTATTTAAATATAGTTGATTTTTCATCCCTTGGTCTTCAACTGGCTAGTTAAATAAAATCGGAAATGAGTCGTCAAAAGTAATAATTTTTCATTATTCATGGACAATTTTTATTTGCATGACAGCTGACAACAAAACATTGCCATCTGAGGATAAATTGAAAGGTTATTTCATCATATCTAGTAGGATTTGCGATATGTAAAAATGTGTATTAAGAAAAAAATACACAAATTCGCCAATGAAATATATACTCATAACATCTTATAGTGAATGAATTAAATCATATCTGTTAATTCTTTCTGGTACATGTGATATGGTAAGACAAAATGGACATTCCCAAATACATAGCGGTCCAGAACCAATGTCCAGACGATACAAATATAGGAAAGTAAAAATGCTCTCATAGTATTTTTGATTAACGTTTGCTAACAGAATGTTGTTTCTTTTTAACAGATCAAAATTTATATGTTTAGATGCCGCAGAATAAATGAAACACAAAATTTTCTAATAACAGTGATTTTGTCTTACAGTCAAGACTGGAGTGTGTGTCTGTTTTGGAGGGTCACCAGGACCGTGTGTGGTGTGTGAAGTGGAACCCCACTGGAACTATACTTGCCTCGTGTGGGGGTGATAAGACGGTCCGTATCTGGGGCCAGGAGGGCAACAAGTGGGTATGTAAAACAGTACTAGAAGATGGCCACCAAAGGACAGTGAGATCTGTAGCATGGTCACCATGTGGGAATTACCTTTCTACTGCAAGTTTTGATGCTACAACAGGGATCTGGAGCAGAAAGGAGGGAGAATTTGAGTGTATAGCCTCTCTTGAAGGTCATGAAAACGAAGTCAAATGTGGGGCGTGGTCTCCAGGTGGTAGTCTTCTGGCAACATGCAGCCGCGACAAAAGTGTTTGGATATGGGAAGGTAACAAATTTTGACAATATTCTATATATACAATAATCCCAGGAGGATTTCTGCACCCATAATACTGTTATACTGTTAATATTTATAAATGAAACATTTCAAAACTGCTTTGACAAATTGTTGATACATAGAACTTATTTGGAAACATCAGTGACGATATGATGAATTTGTAACTATGACATGATACACACTAATGATGCCTTTTTTTTTATCAGTGACGGAGGATGAAGAGTACGAGTGTGCTAGTGTCCTAAGTTCTCATACTCAGGATGTCAAATGTGTCACTTGGCATCCAAACAAGGAGATTCTGGCTTCCTGTAGCTATGACAACACTATCAAACTCTTTAAGGAAGACACAGATGACTGGACCTGTTTCACCACCCTTGAATCCCATGATTCCACTGTATGGAAAATATGTTTTGATCAATCTGGATCAAGGCTTGCTTCCTGCAGTGATGACCAGACAGTGAAGATATGGCAGGAGTACCCACCGGGTAACTCTGAGGGGGTGGCTACGACTGGACCTGATTCCACATGGAAATGTGTGTGTACTCTTTCAGGATACCACAACCGTGTCATTTATGATATAGACTGGTGTCATCTGACTGGTCGCATCGCAACGGCATCAGGAGATGATGCCATACGTGTTTTTGTGGAGGAGCCGAGTTCAGATAAAAACCAGCCAGATTTCCGACTGGAAGTGACAGTAAACAAGGCTCACAACCAAGATGTGAATTCTATATCATGGAACCCTAAGGATCCGTATTTACTAGCTTCTTGTAGTGATAATGGAGAAGTCAAACTGTGGAAATACACAAAGGACTGAATATGTTATCTATTCTTGATAAAGACCTTGTTAAGCATACATCATTAAATGTTACTTTTGTGTTTTGCAGGTATAATGACAACAGTGGATAACTTTAATTTCTTCTGATTGTTTTGCTACAACTTGTGAAATAAAATTCAGAACCGATTTTTGCACAGAGCTTCATTTATATTCTGTTCATCATTTTGAAGCGAAGAGACCAAGAAAGACATCATTGTTGCAGAACACTTAAAAAGTCTTACCTTCTCTTACCAGGAGTAAAGTTGATTATCAGAAAGAAGCATAGCATGTCTTAGTTCTTTTCCATTGTACTCCATTTGTAGTCACTGAGAGTGGGTTTGGAAGGAATGAAGACTGATTATTATGTTGTTCACATCTCTTGCAGAATCAGGATTTAAATATATCTACGGTTTTGATGAAATCAGGAAAATGTCCATATATTAAATTCTTATCAAACCCTATTTAAGAAGGAAGCTTTCAATATTTTCCCCAAATTTTAAACAAATTACCAGTAAATCTTCTTAATATTTTTTTAATTTCCTAGTTGTGATTAGTACATGGATTTTGTCCTTGTCTATACATTGGTATCCATGCATGCAGGCAAATTCATATGGTATTGGACATTTGTTTCCAGGGATTTTGATTCACTGTAAAATATTTGCTGAGAATTTCATTTCGGAATGGCTTTATATGGCATTTTTACCAGTTGTGAATGTCTCTTTATAAACTAAATACTTTATGTAAATCTCTTATCTAGTATGGCAGGTCACTTAAATCCAGTGTTAGAATCTAAACTGGTATATATGAAAGCTATGTTCATTCACATGTACTCAACATCTTCACAGATGTGACTGTAGGGAGTCAGGAGTAAAGACATTGTTATCCTGAAGAGAAGATGTTACTGTAGGGAGTCGGGAGTAAAGGGATTGTTATTTTGAAGTGAAGATGTGACTGTAGAGAGTCGGGAGTAAAGACATTGTTATCTTGAAGTGAAGATGTGACTGTAGTGAGTCGGGAGTAAAGAAAATGTTATCCTGAAGTGAAGATAAGACTAGGGAGTCGGGAGTAAAGAGATTGTTTTCTCTCATTTCCACCTGTGTCAGATAGGCCTATACAGGGCAATAAACATGGTCATGATAGACGTTTATTACACAGGCGCCTGTGTAATAAAGCCTCGCGCGCGGAGTAATTCATAGTTTTTTCCCTCGCACTCATCGACTATGTCCTCGTCAACCGCTTCATCCACAAACACGCATAGTCGATTGGAGTCGTTGTTTGCAGGGTCGTATTTACAAAATTGTTCTATAAATATCAACATCACCAACCCTGGGACTCCGCTTTCCGCCGTCGTCCATGTGTGATTGAAAGTGACAGTGACTAACTTTCCTTCTGTCGGTATGGCGCGAAATGTGTGACGTAAGTGACGTCATCTCACAAGCAAACCAAGAATTCCATTCATAAATGTGTAAGATTTGTAAGATTACTATTGACAGTAAAGTAGTATTAATAACTTGAACAACATGTTCAAAGATGTTAAATGTGTTTATGGTATATTATGCATTGAACAATAGTAAATATTAAAAAGAAAAATGTTGTTTTATTGCATGTTTTAAGGCACTATATTTGAACGCGTATGCGTGTCTCTGGGTGACATATTTGACAGGGTATTTGACCCGGCCCGCTTGAAGAAAAAACAGTTAAACACTGACGTTGGATGTTTACATTCACAGTCCATATTATGTTTACGACCGCAAACATAGTTTGCAAAATTTGGGGATGGAGAATCTATTTCAGCAATCTTTTATGTATATAACCCAAGGGGAAAAAATAGAATTCTAAAAAAAAGGCGGCATCCAGTGCTGGCTACCGCGAGTTGAGTGCAAATATTTGATAATATGAGATTAGAAATGAGAGAAAAAAACTCTTTTCTATATGGGTTTGTAGGATAGGGATATTCCACCCGAGGGGTCACAAAATGTGGTAAAACATCACATTTTGTGACCCCTCGGGTGGAATATCCCTATCCTACATACCCATATAGAAAAGAGTCTTATAATCCTGAAGTGAAGATAAGACTGTAGTGAGTCGGGAGTAAAGAAAATGTTATCCTGAAGTGAAGATGTGACTGTAGTGAGTCAGGAGTAAAGAAAATGTTATCCTGAAGTGAAGATGTGACTGTAGTGAGTCAGGAGTAAAGAAAATGTTATCCTGAAGTGAAGATGTGACTGTAGTGAGTCGGGAGTAAAGACATTGTTATCCTGAAGTGAAGATGTGACTGTAGTGAGTCAGGAGTAAAGAAAATGTTATCCTGAAGTGAAGATGTGACTGTAGTGAGTCGGGAGTAAAGACAATGTTATCCTGAAGTGAAGATGTGACTGTAGTGAGTCGGGAGTAAAGACATTGTTATCCTGAAGTGAAGATGTGACTGTAGTGAGTCGGGAGTAAAGACATTGTTATCCTGAAGTGAAGATGTGACTGTAGGGAGTCGGGAGTAAAGACATTGTTATCCTGAAGTGAAGATGTGACTGTAGTGAGTCAGGAGTAAAGACATTGTTATCCTGAAGTGAAGATGTGACTATAGGGAGTCAGGAGTAAAGACATTGTTATCCTGAAGTGAAGATGTGACTGTAGTGAGTCGGGAGTAAAGACATTGTTATCCTGAAGTGAAGATGTGACTGTAGGGAGTCGGGAGTAAAGACATTGTTATCCTGAAGTGAAGATGTGACTGTAGTGAGTCGGGAGTAAAGACATTGTTATCCTGAAGTGAAGATGTGACTGTAGGGAGTCGGGAGTAAAGACATTGTTATCCTGAAGTGAAGATGTGACTGTAGGGAGTAAAGACATTGTTATCCTGAAGTGAAGATGTGACTGTAGGGAGTCGGGAGTAAAGACATTGTTATCCTGAAGTGAAGATGTGACTGTAGTGAGTCGGGAGTAAAGACATTGTTATCCTGAAGTGAAGATGTGACTGTAGGGAGTAAAGAGATTGTTATCCTGAAGTGAAGATGTGACTGTAGTGAGTCGGGAGTAAAGACATTGTTATCCTGAAGTGAAGATGTGACTGTAGAGAGTCGGGAGTAAAGACATTGTTATCCTGAAGTGAAGATGTGACTGTAGGGAGTCGGGAGTAAAGACATTGTTATCCTGAAGTGAAGATGTGACTGTAGGGAGTCGGGAGTAAAGACATTGTTATCCTGAAGTGAAGATGTGACTGTAGGGAGTCGGGAGTAAAGACATTGTTATCCTGAAGTGAAGATGTGACTGTAGGGAGTCGGGAGTAAAGTGATGGTTATCCTGAAGTGAAGATGTGACTGTAGGGTCGGGAGTAAAGACATTGTTATCCTGATATGAAGATGTGACTGTAGGGAGTCGGGAGTAAAGACATTGTTATCCTGAAGTGAAGATGTGACTGTAGGGAGTCGGGAGTAAAGACATTGTTATCCTGAAGTGAAGATGTGACTGTAGTTATCCTGAGTAGTAAAGACATTGTTATCCTGAAGTGAAGATGTGACTGTAGGGAGTCCATTGTTATCCTGAAGTGAAGATGTGACTGTAGGGAGTCGGGAGTAAAGACATTGTTATCCTGAAGTGAAGATGTGACTGTAGTGAGTCGGGAGTAAAGACATTGTTATCCTGAAGTGAAGATGTGACTGTAGGGAGCCGAGAGTAAAGACATTGTTATCCTGATGTGAAGATGTGACTGTAGGGAGTCAGGAGTAAAGACATTGTTATCCTGATGTGAAGATGTGACTGTAGGGAGTCGGGAGTAAAGACATTGTTATCCTGAAGTGAAGATGTGACTGTAGGGAGTCGGGAGTAAAGACATTGTTATCCTGAAGTGAAGATGTGACTGTAGGGAGTAAAGACATTGTTATCCTGAAGTGAAGTGAAGAGGGAGTAAAGACATTGTTATCCTGAAGTGAAGATGTGACTGTAGTGAGTCGGGAGTAAAGACATTGTTATCCTGAAGTGAAGATGTGACTGTAGGGAGTCGGGAGTAAAGACATTGTTATCCTGAAGTGAAGATGTGACTGTAGGGAGTCGGGAGTAAAGACATTGTTATCCTGAAGTGAAGATGTGACTGTAGGTGAAGATGTGACTGTAGGGAGTAAAGACATTGTTATCCTGAAGTGAAGATGTGACTGTAGGGAGTCGGGAGTAAAGACATTGTTATCCTGAAGTGAAGATGTGACTGTAGGGAGTCGGGAGTAAAGACATTGTTAGCCTGAAGTGAAGATGTGACTGTAGGGAGTCGGGAGTAAAGACATTGTTATCCTGAAGTGAAGATGTGACTGTAGGGAGTCGGGAGTAAAGACATTGTTATCCTGAAGTGAAGATGTGACTGTAGAAGTGAAGTGTGACTGTAGGGAGGAGTAAAGACATTGTTATCCTGAAGTGAAGATGAGACTGTAGGGAGTAAAGACATTGTTAGCCTGAAGTGAAGATGTGACTGTAGGGAGTCAGGAGTAAAGACATTGTTATCCTGATGTGAAGATGTGACTGTAGGGAGTCAGGAGTAAAGACATTGTTATCCTGAAGTGAAGATGTGACTGTAGGGAGTCGGGAGTAAAGACATTGTTATCCTGAAGTGAAGATGTGACTGTAGGGAGTCGGGAGTAAAGACATTGTTATCCTGAAGTGAAGATGTGACTGTAGTGAGTCGGGAGTAAAGACATTGTTATCCTGAAGTGAAGATGTGACTGTAGTGAGTCGGGAGTAAAGACATTGTTATCCTGAAGTGAAGATGTGACTGTAGGGAGTAAAGACATTGTTATCCTGAAGTGAAGATGTGACTGTAGGGAGTCGGGAGTAAAGACATTGTTATCCTGATGTGAAGATGTGACTGTAGGGAGTCGGGAGTAAAGACATTGTTATCCTGAAGTGAAGATGTGACTGTAGGGAGTCGGGAGTAAAGACATTGTTATCCTGATGTGAAGATGTGACTGTAGGGAGTCGGGAGTAAAGACATTGTTATCCTGAAGTGAAGATGTGACTGTAGGGAGTCGGGAGTAAAGACATTGTTATCCTGAAGTGAAGATGTGACTGTAGGGAGTCGGGAGTAAAGACATTGTTATCCTGAAGTGAAGATGTGACTGTAGAAGTGAGTGTGACTGTAGGAGTAAAAGACATTGTTATCCTGAAGTGAAGATGTGACTGTAGTGAGTCGGGAGTAAAGACATTGTTATCCTGAAGTGAAGATGTGACTGTAGGGAGTCGGGAGTAAAGACATTGTTAGCCTGAAGTGAAGATGTGACTGTAGTGAGTCGGGAGTAAAGACATTGTTATCCTGAAGTGAAGATGTGACTGTAGGGAGTCGGGAGTAAAGACATTGTTATCCTGAAGTGAAGATGTGACTGTAGGGAGTAAAGACATTGTTATCCTGAAGTGAAGATGTGACTGTAGGGAGTCGGGAGTAAAGAGATTGTTATCCTGAAGTGAAGATAAGAGATATACGAAAACTCTCTTACCTAACTCAACTTGATTGCATTTATGAATGATAACCCTTGTCTTGAGTATACATAATAAATATGAGATTAACTGTGCAGTAACACGCATGTTCAACCAGTTTCTCTAAAAAAAAAAAAAAAAAAGACCACCCCGCCCCCACAAAGATGAACTTACGTGTTGGCACAGGGACCAATCATTTATCTGGAGATACCCATATCGTTATCTATTGCACAAATATTATGACGAGTTCTCGGTGGTCTCGTTTAACATAGACACAAGGCTAGAGATAAACTTTGTAACGATACACGTAACTGCCAGAAATAGCTATGTTGTTTGTTAAGTGTTGAAAGGGCAAGATATATCTAAAAGCGAGACTACCGAGAATTGTTTAATCAATAAATACTGACCTCTTGAAATCAATGATTTTCGCCCGAATCAACGAAACATGTTTTACCATACAACTTTTTAAAATCTGTAATTTGAATATATTCTGCGATAGACTAGTATGTCAACTTAAGACCAAAGTGGGCAATATATTCTGTGTTTTGTCCGCGTAACACCGATATAGTCATGGATTTGGTATACTGTCCACGTAAAACCGAATTAGGCAATGAAGAATGTTCTCGTCGTTTCGCCTCGAAAAGACGAAATAAATGCATGCTGATAACCGACCTTAAATTTTGTCTTTTCGGGTTGAAAAAATCTAATCTAGAAGACGAAAATAAACAAACCTTAACTCTCGCCCTTTCATCTTTTCGCCGAATAGACGAAAAATGAACTTCAGAAATACTCGTCTTTTCGCCTGAGAAGACGAAAAGCCGGGAGATAAGGTTTGTTAATTCTCGACTTTTCGGGGCGAAAAGACCAGATTTTTAACCTGAAAAGACTAGATTGATTCTCGTCTTTTCACGGCAAAAAAGACGAAATTACGAAATGGCACAAATCAGCCACCGTATAAGACCGATATTACCGTCTTGGAAATCCAGGTGACCGCGGAAGTCGAGGTGAAATGCAAGTGCGTTACCACTGTGCTACGATTATGATCTTCAAGAGTTATTGCCCTTGTTTTCACTCTGTCAGTATAGCGATAAGTTTGACATGGACAATCACCGATATATTAGTGATTATCCGCGTTAGGCCGATATAGACATCATATTCAACGTCATGTATGTTTAATCTGTGTCAGACCGATATATAGAAAATAGATTCGGCGTCATGTTTGTTTTATCTGTGTCAGAGCTATATATAGAAAATAGATTCGGCGCCCTATATGTTTGATCTGTGTTAGAACTATCTGTAGATTCGGCGTCTTGTTTTTTTTTTTACATCTGTGTCAGACAAATATAATTTTTGGTGTCTTTTACGTTTTTTTTGCAATATACCAGTGAATACAGTCGGATCGTGGGTTCATTTCCACGTGAACTCGTTATTTGCAATAAATTATGTGTTATGTCCGCATTAGACCGATATTGGCGATGTGTCTGCGTTCTACTGACATGTGGTGTTCTATCTAGACCGACTGCAAGTTTACAACGAGCTGAACCGTAGTTTCGATGGTATGCCTTCGATAGACTGAATTTGAAATTAAGGAATCAGTTGACATTTTACTGCGTTTTAATTGAAAACTCCATACGGACGTGACTTAAAATTCTGTCAAGAAAATGTAAAATTCGAACATAGACAATATGTATTATTAAACACTCTGGCCATGCTAGGACACAGACCCAAAATGTATCGTGCTTTTAAAGAGACCTTGAGATAAATGGGCAATGAACTACATATAAACAGATAACACTTATCTCGCTACAAGCGTTACGTCGGTAGTGATATGCAAACAAATGTACTAAAGACACGGACATTATGTGACGGACTACAGTAGCTAATGTATCATAGTGTTTCATAAGTTGCAGTGAACAGGAAGTATGGACAGCGGTTCGACATCGGGACTAGTGCAGTGTTCCTCAGTGGACACAGCCTGGAACGACTGGATTTTCGACTCAAACTATGCACACGTCAACGAGGAAGATTTGGCTGCTGAAATATCTAAACTGAATGAATTGGCTTACCAGACAGGTGAGGAAGGCCTAGTCGTTGGAGGTCAGGATCCGGGTATGTCTGTAAGAATAGATGTTGAAAAATCTTTAGAAACAAACAAATCAAAATACGAAACAGTTATAGATACTTTTGATGAGGAACAAATCAAACTTGATTCAGAAATTTTTGGAGGTTATGTTAGCTCAGTTTTACAATATCCAGACATAGTTCAGTGCCCTACAGTTAGCCGGGAAGACAATATTGATGAAGCGCCTGTATATAACAATGAAGAGGTGATACTATCCAGAAACAAGAGAAATCCGACTGAGCCAGTGGTACCCCTGAATGATGTCGCCCTCCAAAGCGAGGTGTCTTTCTCCCCTCCAGATGCAGCATCTACAATAACTGTCCATGCCGATACGTCTTTTCCACATAACTCCTTGGATACTGGTATCGCCGCGACACATGAAGAAGGATATTTGTTCCCAAAAGCTGATTTTGAAGTTGTTATCGGATCAGATGAAAATACGCCAGGGGATAGCAGTACGAATCCTAAGGTATCATGTAGTAAACATCCAGATGTGGTGGCTGAGAGTTACTGTAAAGTATGTGACGAGTTAGCTTGTACGAACTGTGTCTTCTGTCTACATGGCGGGCACCAGTTAGAGCCAGTCAGTGACGCAATAGAGACAAAGAAACAGGAGCTTGTCGAGATGCTAGATATCCTTACCGAGAACTACATTCCAAAGCTGCATCACCGTATCATCTCAAACAAACAATTTAGTCAGAAGTATGAGGATCAGTTTGACGAGGTAATGAACGAAATAAAAACTAGAGAATCAAAACTTCAGAGTCTGCTTAGAAACACCACTGCAGCAAATATCGCGATACTTTCGAAACATAGAAAACAGCAAAAGGAAAGGTCTAGTCGGATAGAGGCAGAATGGGACGATCGTCTAGTCCATATTCGGGACCTTGTGAAAGAAGGAAATACAATGAGTACGCCTGGTAAGGCTTTCCAGGTGGTCAAGGAGCTAAGATCAACTCTCCAGTCTCTAGACGTTGCACTAGAACAACTCCAGGGTACAATACCGTCACCGACATTGGCTATTAGTGACATATCACAGGATAAGGTGACCGAGTTACTGGGCGCGCTTACAACAATCGAGGACAAAGGCATCGAACGACCACTAAGACTGAATCTAGAACTTCACACCACATTTAGATTTACCAAGAATTCGGTCTGGGCGCTTGTAACACATGGGAACGGATCCGCATGGATCGCGGCGCACGAGGACTCCACAATCCGCCTTGTGACAAAGACCGGGGTTGTTCTTAGATCAGTCACTCTTTCGGCTAAAGTGTATGACATCACGGTGAATGTTGACGGGAATCTCTTGATTTCTGCCGTCCATGATAGCCACATATGGCAGCTTTCCTCTAACCGGGATGTCACGAGGTTCGTAAAATTCAAGGGCATGTATCCCTGTGGGCTGTTTGCATCTCCGAAAGGTCACGTATTTGTCGGGGTTGTCGGAGGGGGTCTTCGGGACAAACACGCGAACAGTAGACAATTCGTCGTTAAAATTTCGCCAGCGGGCAAAGTCCTGCAGAGATTCGAAAAAGACGCGGTAGGTAACGCTCTCTACTCCCTTCCCTACAGGATACACGAGAACACTAATAACGATGTATGTGTAGTAGACTGGACGGACTCCGCGGAGGCTAGACTAGTAGTGACTGACCACACCGGTAAACTCAATTTCATTTACACCGGATTTGAGGAAGATGCACACTCATTCCGTCCTGGTGGACTCACGTGCACACCCGCAGGAATGATATTGCTATGCGATATATACAGGGACATTATTCACGTGCTGAACAGAGATGGCCAGTGTGTGAATTTGCTGAACTCTCAGAGGCTTGGCGGTTTCTATGGTCCTTGCGATATCAGTCTGGATAAAGACGGATATCTGTGGGTCGGTGGTTGTAAGGGTAACGTGCAGTGCCTTCGATACAATCAGTGACTTTGTTGATTGAACACTTTGGGTTAACTGACACGGTACCCTAGCAATGTCGATCATTTCTAAAATGTGATAACTGAAAGACAAATTACAACTCGACGTAAGCTTTTTTTTTAATTGGGTTGGTGTTATTTGTCACTTAAAAAATGTTAATTTAATGACGTCATATCTCTGTATATGTATGTTTGTAATGGTCCTTACGCACATGTAATGCATGGGAGGGGGTGTTACTTATTGGGGGAGGGGTTATGTTACTTATTGGGGGAGGGGGTTATGTTACTTATTGGGGGAGGAGTTATGTTACTTATGGTTTGCTGGAGGCCTCTGAAGCCTTAAAGAACTCAGTTGTGGCACTATGGACGCTTTTCTCGTCCAACAGGTTCCAGGCGATAGTGGTACTGGAGAGAATGAGTTGTTAAAGTTCTCCCGTTCTCACGTCTGCGACATCGTATCTCCTATTGTTGTTACATGAATGTTTTTCGATGATGTTACTTTAGGGGAAAACACTGAAATCTTTCGGGCGTATTTCTCGTCGTTGCCTTTCAGTGTCATGAAGTCCCGCAACCATTTTGAAGAATAGTGTTGGGTGCAACTTTTGCTTGCGATCTGCTAGTAGAGTCAGGCCCAAGTCCTTCAACATTTTTGTCATTCCACCTTATTCTCTGCATGTTATGAAGCTTGCAGCCTTGCCCTTAGCCCTCTCTAGGGTTTGTTACGTCCTATTGGTAGTATGGGACATGTCCATACTCCTAGATTGACCTAACATGGCAGCTGTATGTTAAATAAATACAATGTAAGTAATTAAGTAGTAAAATAAGTAATAATTAATAAAAAGACGATATTGTAATGGAAGTATAAACAGTGAACAGTAGATAATGCGGTTGTTGATAAATACGACGATGTTAATAACATGCTTGAAATAAAATCGGATATGAACATCGCCACGATATAAAGATTGTTTGTAAGTAAGTAACATAAAATGTTTTACACCACTACATATTCACACGTGTTTATGGTGTAATTATTTAGAACTGTACATGTGTTATATCTAAGTGATTTCGCTGCGCACCTGCATCAAACAAAATCAACCGTTTGTAATCTAATCGACAGGTCGGTTCGAGTCGAGGCCTACTTAGGTCTATGTAGATATCTGATCCCGGTACAATCTAATCGAATGGTCGATTTGACCCGAGGCCTGTAAAGGCGTATGTAGATATATGATTCGGGTACAATCAAATCGGCTGTTAGGTACGGGTACGAAACAAAGTAAATTCAAACATCTAATTTGATGAAAAAAAAACAAAATATGAAAAAAAAAAGATTTTTACGGAGAGTTCTGAAAAAGAAAAATAAGACCAGGTGTACCGAAAGGGTAAGCGTCTTCTGGTTCATCGACTACACGTTTATCAATCCAATTAAATTATGACACGTTCTCAAATGTGAAACGGTAAACAACAACGAAACCAACAGGTAAATAACGAACATTTAACACTAGCTTTATATCGTACAAGGAAAAAGAATATTTCAAAATGAGATCACTATGACGACCGTTAAACTCTCTAGTCTTCATCAAGATGCATCTCAAAACCCTGTGTATTGAGTGTATTTGTCAGGTGCATACATCATGAAGTGAACAACTAAAGCCGATTCTGTTCTGCCTTTTCCAAGATGTGATATGTACCCGACAAATGACATTACCGTAGGAAGGACGTAACTCCCTAGAAAGACAATTTTGGTAGATAAAGGACATTCATTTCAGGGTTGTAGGGTGAAGATCAAGGTCATCATAACTATTATTAGAAAATTCTTGTCAAGACTTTAGTTACTTCATTCCTTTAGGAATTTCAACCAGTTTTCCCAGTTTTGAAAAGGGACGTAACATCGCGTGGAGTTTATTTATCATTTTTTTTTGAGAAAACATTGTCAATACAGCAATGACTTCATTTGTGTCAATTAGATATTTTGTTCACCAATGGGTCAGCTACTATACTCACAATTTATTTTCCAATGAGATTGTCGCTGTAGTCCTCTAGGTTAACAACCATGGTCACCATTAATTTTCCTCTGGGTTGACCACCATGGTCACCATTCTTTTTCCTGTGGGTTGACCACCATGGTTTCTATCATTTCCCTCTGAGTTCACCACATCACCATTCATTTCCTCCGAGTTGGCCAACATGGTTATCATTCAGTTTCCTCTGGTTTGGCCACCATGGTCACTTTCATTTTCCTCTGGGTTGGCCACCATGGTCACTTTCATTTTCCTCTGGGTTGACCACCATGGTCACTTTCATTTTCCTCTGGTTTGGCCACAATGGTCACTTTCATTTTCCTCTGGGTTGACCACCATGGTCATAATTTATTTTTCTTTGGGTTGGCCACCGTGGTCACTTTCATTTTCATCCGGGTTGACCACCATGGTCACCATTCATTTCCTCCGAGTTGGCCAACATGGTTATCATTCAGTTTCCTCTGGGTTGGCCACCATGGTCACTTTCATTTTCCTCTGGGTTGACCACCATGGTCACTTTCATTTTCCTCTGGTTTGGCCACAATGGTCACTTTCATTTTCCTCTGGGTTGACCACCATGGTCATAATTTATTTTTCTTTGGGTTGGCCACCGTGGTCACTTTCATTTTCATCTGGGTTGACCACCATGGTCATAATTTATTTTTCTTTGGATTGGTCACCATGGTCACTTTACCACCATGGTCACCATTCATTTCCTCCAAGTTGGCCAACATGGCTATCATTCAGTTTCCTCTGGGTTGACCACCATGGTCACTTTCATTTTCCTCTGGGTTGACCACCATGGTCATAATTTATTTTTCTTTGGGTTGGCCACCATGGTCACTTTCATTTTCCTCTGGGTTGACCACCATGGTCACTTTCATTTTCCTCTGGGTTGACCACCATGGTCACTTTGGTTTTCCTCTGGGTTGACCACCACGGTCACTTTCATTTTCCTTTGGTTTGGCCACCATGGTCACTTTCATTTTCCTCTGGTTTGGCCACCATGGTCACTTTCATTTTCATCTGGGTCAGCTGTTATCATCACAATTCATTTTCTTATTGGTCAGCTACTATGATCACCATTCATTTTCCTATAGGATGGCCACAATGATCATCATTCATTTTCCTATGGGATGGCCACAATGTCACCATTCATTTTCCTATAGGATGGCCACAATGGTCACCATTCATTTTCCTATAGGATGGCCACAATGTCACCATTCATTTTCCTATAGGATGGCCACAATGGTCACCATTCATTTTCCTATAGGATGGCCACAATGGTCACCATTCATTTTCCTATGGGATGGCCACAATGGTCACCATTCATTTTCCTATAGGATGGCCACAATGGTCACCATTCATTTTCCTATGGGATGGCCACAATGGTCACCATTCATTTTCCTATGGGATGGCCACAATGGTCACCATTCATTTTCCTATGGGATGGCCACAATGATCATCAATTATTTTTCTTTTGGGGCAGCTACTATGGTCACAAAGAATTTTCTAATGAGAAGGTTGCTGTGGTCAAAATGTATTTCCCTATGTGTCTGATGTCTTTGGAGGAATATCTATTTTCACCCGTACCTTTGTTTACACAGAGATATCCTGCAGGAATAACCTTCTTGGTATCAAATATAACTAGACATTTAATGGATTACTTTCACCTGAACTCTTCTTCCTGACCTCAACATTCCAAAGTTACCTGTAGCTCAGAGAGCTCTAAAAACGACAAATATAAAAAGTATTTCATGTTGGGGCATGACGCTCACATACACTTTGTATGTAATATTGCATATCAGAAAATGTGCTCCTGAAAACATTATTGTGCAAAAACCTTTTGAACTTTTTGATTCACAAAATAAAATCTCAAAACTGCAACAAGAAGAATTGTTTTTATTTCAATGTAAATATTTGATTTTGAGGCAAAGCTCACACTTCATTTCCCTTACATTGAAAATAAGTTAATTTCTCAGTTGCCATCAATTCATTCAGTCATAGATTTCAGTTAATGAAGAGAGACAGTGGTTTCCATGCATGACCCAAAAGCCTGTGTTAATCATGTTTGGTTTAAAACAATATCTAAGGATTAGAGTTAATTTCAAAAGCAAAGCATTTGAAAACATTCAGTTTTTATATGAAGGGAGGTAACTTGTTACTCTGAAATTTCTGTGAATACTGAATGTATGATACTGCTTCTGTAGAATAGACGTATGTACCTAAAATAAATTTCCAAAAAATAATCATTTATATAAAGATCAAAAATCAATAAATTTAAATGAGTATCAAACTGATAAAAACCAAAAGGTATTTAATGACAAGGCACAAGTTCATGAGAAGGCAAATTATTGCAGGTTTCAATTTTTTTGTACTTGTAGGATATTCTAATATTAAATGATTTAGTCAAATTACAGTCCTCATCAATTATTTTTTTTTTTTTAAGGTGATAAAATTCACCTTGTAAAGATACATGAATATTCAAGCCTGTATTTCTGTTTGCTGTTATTCCAGGGATAATTCTGGGTCCTCACTATCAGGAGAGAATTTTAAAATTTGAAAGGAATAAGATGGAGATTTTATGTTTAATTATGTAAATGCCAAACGCATTTGTGAGGGAGAAAAAAAACATGCAATAAATCCCAAAATCACACTCAGAAATATCCCTGCTTGAATAATCCAAACTTAACAAGATAGGTAGTATGTATTCTCTGTTCAGGACATCAGACAAAATACTTTCCAATTATCATGGGTTCCACGGATGGCTGTTTTGGGGAGTGGGGGGGAAAACCTCAAAAACATATGTTTGTTCCCCTTATCAAATCACAGAACAACGTTCTTTCAAAAAATAAAGATTCTGTAACAAAATCAACATGTACAGTATATTGTGTGAATTAATATCATGGCATAACAATGATATATGCCAAGTGTGAATGTAAACATGGTTCAAAATACAGCACAAAGTACATGTATAAACTTTTCCAGGTAGGTATCAAAATATAAAGTACCAAGTCTTCCTTAATGACATTTGTTATATCTACCAGATAAATCATCATGTTGACATCCTTTTGAATTGTATTGACGACATTCTTTGACACATGTAATATCAAAACCAGTGAGCCAGTTAATTTACTGTATTTAACCTACAATAAGCCCAGAGGCCAACACCTAATATTTGACTTATAGCAGGGTGGTGGTCTTATTGCAGGACAATAAGCCCAGATGTCAACACCTAACTTCTGAGTTAAAGTAGAAGGTGGTCTTATTACAGGACAATAAGTCCAGGGGCCAACACCTAACTTCTGAGTTAAAGTAGAAGGTAGTCTTATCACAAGACAATAAGTACACATGACCAACACCTAACTTCTGAGTTAGGGTAGAAGGTGGTCTTATTACAGGACAATAAGTCCAGGGGCCAACACCTAACTCATGAATAGAAGTAGGAAGGTGGGCTTATTCTATCATTGTACACACCTGATGTTTCTTCTGGAGTCTAAACGATAAGAGTGAGGTTGTTATCAGTACTAAGCTTATTGCTGAATAAGCACAGTACAGTATATATGTGTTTTAGATTAATCTATTTGTAAACCCCTCTGGGGCTGATTAAGTAGATATTTGATCTTACGCAATAACGTTTCATTAATGACATTTTATGTCACTCAAACACAACAGGGCTAGATCAGTCAAAACAAACATTACAGTTTCGTTATGTATCTGAAACTGCGAATCGTGAAAATGAAAGTACACATTTGAATCCCCTTCCTTGTTGATTACTCCTTTAACAGGGTTAAGAAATTAACTGGATCACTGATGTACCCTTCTACAACCTTCAGCACTTGTATTGGCACATGAATGTGGAATTAAGAAAAACTTATCAATATCGTTGTAATTGTAAGCATGGTACTAAAGATACAATATATATCACATTGCACAACTTTAAAATGATATCACATGGAACAATTGATATCACAAAAATCCATGTCATATTGAGATCTTGTAGAACATTGCCTGGACACATGACATGCATATCATCAAAAATTCAGAATTAGGGAGAAAACCCCTACTACTTACTTAGTAGAGAAATCACTTCTACACTAACTCAACCAGACACAGTATCTCTCCAATTACAGACATTTTTGTACTTGTACAACAACTTTTGAAAGGAAATCAACGTTGTCCAACATCAATAGTGATACAAAAAATAACACAATCAAATATTTCTTTTTTAACCATTGAAAAATTCTGTGTGCTGCTGACAAAAAACCTGATCCCTCAGCACATAAAGATGTAAATGTAAATACCAAACAAAAATAAAACTTTAAAAATTGAACAGTGATTTTTGGGACTCAAGATATTTGAGTCATTGACTCATGTTTTTTCTGTGAGACCCTGCTGTATCTCTTGGTATTGGAATGCACCAAAATTTTAAAACTGGTGTCCGGGACTCATGTTAATAATTCCTTCAAAAAATGATTATCAAACCAACATAAGCACCTAATATAGCAGGACAGGTATGTTTTTAAATGTTAGTTATCCTATATCCAACAACATGGAAGTGCTTCTGTAATCTCAATGATTGTAAACAGTTAATATAAGCCACTGAACAACGCTTTTTAAAGCATAGCTACAAATTATTCCTCACATAATGATCTTATTGCAAATTGTCACATAATATAGAACAGATATTTTGTTCCTGAAATTGTGTTGCATCCTAGGTCTGATTTTGTATCATTCTACTTCCTCTACCAGAAGTACAATGTCCACATCATCATGAGCTCCTTGGAGTAACATCTCTCCTTTGTATGTGATGTACTTCTTTCTCTTTGCTGCCCGAAGAGTTCCAACAAGGGCCTCAAACATGTTGGCACAATCGTCATCATTGAAAAGTGTACCAAATTTTACAACGTAATTCCCATCTGCATCTGAAAAATAATAATTCATTAAACAATCTAGAATATTACTTCTAACAGAGTCGATAACTGTATTAGAGAAAATAACCTATTTGTTAATCAAGGATTTGAAACACTATCCTAAACAGTTTAGGCAGGTGACTTGTTACATGGTACACTATCATTAAATGATAAATCATAGTGTCAAAAATCATACACCTCTTGTTTAATTGAACTCTACCACTTCAGAAAAAAACCCTACTTGGAAAGCTACTTTGAACACAAGTATTTTGGGAATCTGTGTTTGACAATCTTAATAAATGACATAAAAAGCATTGAATAGAGCATAACATGAATAATTTTGAAATAACAGTATAACAGGAATCCCCTCTTCACAACCCTAATATGATACAAGGAAACCCCACACTGGTTAAAGTATTGATACATCAGTTCATGTGTTTGACAAAATTTTACAAAACCAGCAGAGCACTTGACCGTGCTGTTCTAAGTGAATCACAAACTTAACAAATTGTAGATTCACTCCATGTTTAACTTCTCTTTAATATGTAAATATGCATATCAGAGTAACATCCTGAAGGTTTGTGTTTAATTTGGTTATCACTCTGTGGACAGTCAGGGTCATTTTTGAAAAGTGGCCTATAAGTAACAGCTGGTGGCTGCCACACTGAACAACATGCCACCCAGATCGATTTGGATCTTGCACACAATCGCAGTCACACCAGCATAGACTGGTTCGTTTCTTAGTTTTCGGAAAAACACAAACCCTCAAAGGCAGCAAACATCAATTCCTGCACCTCACACCTTCATCTGAGGTTACATAGATCAACACACTAACTGGCTGAACTATCGCACCCAGAAATGGTTTTCACTAAATAACTCTTAAAGCAAAATCCTTAGACTAAATCCTATTTTGTGAATTCCACACCCTTCTGACCTAGTAAGGACTGTACCCTGTTTTATACACATAACATATATGTTCACTGTCACATTCCCATAATGGATTCTAAACTCCTTCAGGAGGAAACTGATATCTTAGGAATAAAAATTGAACAATATGACATGATTCTTGAATCAAATGTATAAACTTTTGCCAAAAATCTTTAAAATTATGAAATAAAGAATGCAATAGTTGGTAATGAATATTGATAAGTAATTTATAATAATGAATGTCCCAAACTTACTCTTTTTTCCGTCAGCTAGACGTTTCAGCTCCCTCACCAAGAGTTTTACTTCATGATTAACATCCATACTGTCGTGCCTGTAACCACAAATGTTTCATGATTCAATAAATGATCAGACAAATCAGTGTCAAATTAAATAAATGGCATCCTGATGACTTTAACCTTTGCTCCCTATTGGTAGTTCAATTTTCAGCAGTTCTTCGTAGAGCCAAGAATCAGTGGACCCATTAAGGTTGAGGTATCACATCATATATAAAGCTTATCCAAGATATTATCTAAAAAGGGCCCTTACCCAAGAATTACACTTTTTGGTATGAGTGTACATTTCACAATAAAAGTTACCTAAGTGTCACCTACTTTCACAAGAGATCCAAGAGGGATCATGGCACCCACCATTGTATAATCTTAATTGATTCTTGATCAATTTGATCATGTCTTTCATTTTTTTCTTTTTTCACTATCCCTCAAAATAGCGATCAATTATGCACAAACAGGGACCCAGAGGAACATATTAATATTGAGAATGATAATACAGCTGACATATTCCAAAATAAGCACAACAGAGACCATGAACATGACCTTGAACAATGCTCCATCCAGTTCTTCTCAAGAAACAGTGATAACAAGTTAAAGCTATTAAAATCCAGAATGTTAGTCACTTTATTATTTTTAATTAGTCTCCAAATGTAATGTGCACCACTAGGGACCCTGGGGAACCTACATTTGAACTGTACTTCTCAATTAAGTGAGAGCAGACTTCAAACATCAAAATCCAATATGGCCACCTGTTAGCAATGTTTTTGCAATTGATCCCAAATTTAACATACAATCTAGGGAGTCTACACATAAAATTTGAGGAGGACTCATCCAGTCTCTTTTCTCAAACAATAGTGATAACAAATTTCACCTTCAAAATGCAATATGGTCACATGTCTGTCATTGTTGTACACAATGAGGGACTATGGAGAGTCTACTTGTGAAATTTTAGAATGATCCATCTACTAGTTCCCAAGAAATAGTTAAAGTGATAATTGTTCAAGGACAAGAAAAAAAAGCATGGAGTTTGATTTAGATAGCCAACCATCTGATGATGGTAAAAGAAAAAGTCAGACATGCAGAATTGATAAGACAGTAAGTGACAAGAGCTGACGACACTGCTGACTGCCTATCAATTGCAAGTCAAATAATTGAAATGTATTGTCAGTCAGACCTTTCAGTAAATTGAGAGGAACGGTAACAGAGGGGAAAGACATTAATGTAAAATCAACTGATGTTAAGATCAAATGTATTATTTTATATTATGTGGACTGTCATAAATCTGATGTCCTATTGATACAGAAAGCTGTTCGACTTTTAAGGAGGTAACCTAAATGATAACTTAAACACTTTTATAATTACAATGTTATGAACCTTTGAAAGTTGATCAAGTCACAGTACATGACATTCCTTGACGGAGACGGGTCAACAACTTTAGTTAAGGTTTAATTTTGTTTTCTTCAAATTTCAACAATACAAAATATTATCAATTATGCAATATACAAAAAAGAAACAGAAAATAAAAACAAGCGTCATGACACTTTGTAAAAAATTGTAACTTGATGAAAAATTAAACAAACAGAACAATATTGAGTACTAATACTTTGCAAATGATGAACCCTAGCTCGGTACCACCAGAACGCCTATTTTTGTACAATAATAATAAAACATATACACAAGCGATTTGACAAATTTTCACACGCTAAGATTATAAATATATCAATTAGAAAAAACTCTGCCAATGATATTCGGATGTTCTCGCCATTGCTCATTTCCTGTTAGTAGCTGAACCTTGTTACAACCACTGTACCACTTCTGATACGCCCAGAGCACCTCCACATATTAATGCGATATCATTCATTATTTCAGAACTTCGTTTTATGGGTCACGATCGCAGATAAATACTTACCTGAAAAAATTGATCTTAATAAGTTATTTACTAATACTATTGCAGCAGATTTGTCAGCTCTGTCGCGATGCCTTATGCCGGTGTCGAAACCCTTAACCAGGAAGTAAACCGGAAATAGCGTGAAAAGGTTGCGCATGTAACATTTTCCACAGTCGCACATGCGCATCATTACAGAGCCATCTTGAAGTTGTCCACTGAAAACGGAATATTATCGATGAAATTCTTTTAATATTATCGTAGTAGGAAAACTTTAACATGGCAGTTGTCAGAAAAAGATGATAGAATGTGTATTCGACAATGAATTCGAGGAGTCCGATGCAGCCATACCTTAGTAATTCCCTGGCTATTCGTCAGGAGATTCAGCGATTCGAGAGCGTACACCCGAGTATCTACGCTATTTATGATTTAATAGATGCTATCCCTGACCAGTTAATACAGCAGCAGATTCGAGAGCACGTCGTCTGCATAGAAGGTATGTAAAATTGAGTTTATTTAGCTTTACAAATAATTTTCATGAAATAATTTGACATTTCAACACGCTGCAAATTACAGCGGAGCAAGTGGAGAAGCCATTTGTAAACAAATAATGCATACAGAAGTTGGTCACACGATTCTGCTGCCGGCGAATGAGGAATCTTCCGACGTACTGGGGAACCTGACAATGAACATCATATATATTTCATTAAGATTTATTGTGCAAGAATATTGTTCATATTTTAAACACATACAGAAACGATAAGCGTAGATGTCAACGTAAAACACGTGATGTGGAGAGACATCATAAAACTACACCCATTCCCCACTGACTGGTAATCAATGTCTGCATTTCTAATCAATGTGGCCATACAGTATCTGCAGTTGTCGAATCTTGCATGAATCGTTACTGGAGAGAGTGCTATTTGCATGTGAACATATGTACTTGTATCCATATCATATTAGCTAACAGCAATGATCAGGTTCATGGAAATGTTATGATTAATTTAAATGGGACCTTAAAATCTTCAACTTAGATGTTATAACTATACTATCGTGAAATAGTTAAAATTTTAGAAATCACTTTCTCAACCTCAGGCAAAATATTTTCCTTGTTGACAATAATTTAGTTATTAATGTATTTATGGTAGAACTATAATCTTAGAAATTCCTAACCAAATACTACATATTTCTATTTTTTTTCTTGGAATATTAATAGTACGCCTTGCAATCTAGATCTACTTATTACTGAAATAATTCAAACGGGAAAGAAATCCACAGATTAAGATTCAAACACATTTATTGTTGGCATCTGTTTGAGAATTACTTATTCATAAATGACTGGCTGAATATGTGCTCTCTGACCAAGTTGTCGTTATCAAATTGTTAGGTGCGGTATATATACAGGTCAAATTTATAACAGTAAAGTCTTAATTTATCCCATTTCACTTTTCCCATATTGCACACGAATGGGTTCTTAATATGTTGCAACAAACAGCAGATCCACAGACTTTGTGGGAGGGGATGTTTTAAAATATATCTAGGTGATAGTGGATGGTCATTTAACAATATGTCGGTACATTTGTCTAAGAATTCATACTTGACATTTCCACAGGTAACAGAAATGTATGTTGGGCTACAGTAGTTCTTTCCTTTTATATATCACAGAGGTCCAAATTTTGTCTATGTTCTCCTTTCAGGGATTTAACCCAGAACCTATGGCTTATAAGTGTTATACTCTATGGATTGAATGAGAGAGAAATGTTCAGTGTAGCATGGTTGGTGATATATATGGCCTACTCTAATAACAAGACTTCAAAAATGAATGTGATAATTGAAAATAGCCAATCACTATTATGGATACCCCTCATCATAAATCTATGAAATTAAAATTATGTCACATTAATAAAGATTTAGATTCATGGCATAAACATGTCATGTACTTGTCAAAAATACTGAAGAAATCATTATCAAAATTGAGCAGTACAAGTGGTTTTGAGTATATTGTTGGTGCGAAGTCAGGGCAAAGTGGGATTTTCAGCCATTGCTTAGTCTGTCACTGTGCGCAATGCATAAACTTTTGACATTTTAAAACTTATTCTTAAGTTCCACCAGTGGGAATGAGCTCAAACTTTTCTTAAATGATCTTGAGATGGTCCTGACCGAGTGATGCTATTTTTCAGGTCACCCTGAAATCCAAGATGGCTGCCTTCTTAAAAAATATATTTTAAACTTCTTCTCCAGTTCCACTGGTGTCATTGAGTTGGAATGTTCAGGAAAGGTAGCCAACAAAGTCTTGTTATTTTATGACCTTGTCAAAACTTTGATATGGCAGCCAGGGAGTCTTTGAAGACAGATGACATTAAAAGTCCTATGGCCTTTTTTTCTCTGATGGGTGTGGAGGAAAATTTCTTTATAATTAAACCATCTTTAATTTTGCTTTTTGAAAGTACCATTGACATAGATTATACAGATAATTTGCCATGGAGTAATGATATTGATCAATGTCTTATATTATACCTATATTTCATAATACAGTACCTTTCTTGCAGTTATGACTATTTCGATTGAATAGTCATTCATCTGATTTGGAACATGTAATAATTAACCTATATAACAATTGCAGTCTATGTATTGAGTAGTACAGATATCCACATTGTGTCATTAATAGTATGAAGTCCAATATTACATAATGTGCGAACCATTAGCAGGAGCACCTGCAGGCACCTCCTACTAATAAACACACATGTCATTAATGGCTGAGTAAGTTTGATGATAGCATGGTTATAGTATAGATATGTATTATAGATGTGATTAACTTAACACATTGCCTGTACTTGCATAAATATAATGATTGCATCATACAACATTGAAATCAGTGTCAACATGCCTCCTATTATTTATATTTTGAGTCAGGGAGGAATAGTGTTACCTTTGTCCATCAATCATATCCTCTCTTTTTGCATCAATGTCTTACCTTGAGATATTTTCATATTTACACCTACAATATTATAGCATCAAGCTCTGCATCTCATATTAAGGTAATCATCAATCAAGGTTGAAAAGTTTAAGTCAATACCAGTTATACTATGCATGTGAGCAGAGACATTTCCTGTCTTATAGACATATTATAGTTTTACAATTTATTGAAGCAGTGACGTCTTAATTTGCAAATTATAAAAAGATTTTTGACAAATTAAGAGTTGTTTTCTCATTTATTACCAAGTACAAAACTTTTCTGTCGGCATCAACATGTTTTTGGCTGTAAAGCACTGGATATTTCATGTCAGCAAAATGTTAATATGTGTGCAAGATACGTGAAATATAAGATGGATGATACATTGTAATAGTTGATACTTCCAGCCTTTTGGGGAGGGGGTATTGTTGACATCACTTTAGATCAGGAGAAGATGTTTGGCAGTGGTTTTTATCATTAATGTGTTGCATCATAACGGGTGTAGCACATGCCCAACTATATCATGACGAGAGAACTGTTGTTATATGTGTGATATAAACACAGGAAATGCTTGCTGTAGCTTCCTCTGTACATGATACTATTTTAGACCTGATAGAAGATTTAATGAAAAAAAAACCTTTATGGCTGCATGCCATTATACAAAGTAAAAACCTGTTTCTTTTATAAGTAAAATGTGTGATACAGAAATGTTGACTTAAAGGATTTGAGCTAGTTTGAAAAAAATAATTCTTTATTAACACTGTCACTATAGCAGGTTTTATTAAGGTGAGTTTTTTTGGTTTCAGTGATTCAATACTTGCTTTGATTAAGTAAAGCATGTTTTCATCATTGCGGTTAACTTGACTATACGATGTATCATGTGGGTAAGGATTGTGTCGGTTTGCTGCCAGAAATGTATATAACATGCTTTCTGATTATCCTCAATACTTATTCTTCTGAAGTTAATCCTTAATTTGTAACACTCAGTTGAACATATTATTTCCAGAATTACAAAGGATTTCTTAGTTGGGAAGTGAATCATTGATTTTAGATTAGGTGTTTACATTTGTTCACATTTTCTGAGAACTTAATTGAAATTATTACATATTTCATGTACATGTGTCAAGCAAGATTTTTACAGCTCAGCATACATTGATGACTTGGTCGCCATCAGACATTGTTGAATTGGTGAGCAAGACTTACCACACAAAAAATCAAACAGACCAACCATCATATCATATATGACAAATAAAGGTATGTATATGTGTATATATACATACAATAGATTAGAATACTAATTTTTGTTTGGTCTTGTCTGGTATTGAAAGATACGGAGACAGGATAGTGGAGATACATATATAAATATGTATTTTATTTATCATCCATGATTAGGATACAGCCTGACCTAAGTCCTGGAGCTGAACACCAAAGCTTAATTATAAAGTACTATGATGAACTGAAGCCGGTGTTACACAGGATGAAGGTTATATGTATTACTTGAGAACATTCCTGTTTGTAATTCCATACTTAAAACCACTTATTACAGTATTAATATTTATATTGTAAGTGTTGTTTTGGTTAATCAGCCGCCTAGTCATAATTATTCAGATATTCTTTTAATTTTTTTATATCTCTTTGGAGTAGATGGATTTCAGAACTGCATCCCTATATCAGGAGAGGGGAATACCATATTTATTCTAATAATTGTCCATTACCTGATTTGAAGGCAAAAAAAACACCTGTGTTTTTTATTTCCGCCAGTGGCTTTTTATAAACCTGCAATAATAGCTCTCAGCCTATTTTCCTTCACAATTTTTGCCTGATCCATGTAACCTAGCTGTTGCCCATTTCACCTCATCCTCATAGATCATATCTATGATGTTCTTGTTTATCATGTTGTTGCACACTGTATGGATCCCCCTTCCATGTCGGAAAATGCCAAATCTAGCTGAATACATCTGAAATGTGACCAACTGTCCTCTTGTTTCTCTTTACTATCTTTACTATTATAGTGCTATGCTGTTACTTGAAGTGACCAACAATGTTGTAAGACCTTTCACAACAATATTACAGGTGCGGCTTTGATCTTGATTTAAGAGCAGGAGGTACAAAATTTACCTGGATAGGGGTTTCCTGAGACCGTGATAGGTTAATTGGTGTCATCGTGAATCATACAGGTGTGCAACTTTTTTCACTTCTTGATGATTTACCTGACAAAATTCTATTCAGAATGAAAATTGGATAATTAGTCAACAGAAACGGATGAATGTTCCAAATGTTTATAATTTTGTGAAAATGAATATTTTAATATATCATTGTCCTATTCAAATACTATTCTTCAAAACCGATATTAGAATAATATACCAAATTTTTCCATCATCCATCCACAAAGGTACGTTTATGTGTTTCCTCCTACACAGGTACGTTATACTCTCACAAAGGTTCATTTGCATTCTTCCCTCACATAGGTACATTTGTGTAACATAATGTAAACTTTATTCATTTTTTAATAATTGTGAAACAAGCTTTTAGCATATATTATT